TATTATTCAAGGGCTGTAAAAGTTTTGCCAGCTGTTCATGGCAGTTACTTGGGTACCCTTTTTTTCGGGTATCAAAATTTTTTTATCCAATCCTTTATATTAACTTCACTGTGGTTCATGGGTGGCTGGCTTGCATAATCTTCCGACAGCTAATTGGCCCATTTCCCATCAACTTATCAAGCTGAAACATGGCACAAAGACTCGTTGCCAATGACCACACATTCTGTCAAATTTTCAACACCTCCAAAAATCAGTTTTTACATGTTTTTAAAGGGGAAGATGAATGAAATATAATTTGTTGAAAGAGTTTGTGTTTTGGTCTGGAGATTAATTGTGTTGCTATGGGCTTTGTATTTGCGACGTATTTGGGTTAAATTGGGATTCTTATGTATTGCGTTAGTTGTTTTGTCAAAGTTTCAGCCCAGCCCTCATTGCTGGATGTCACATTTTATCAAGGATTTCTACACAAAACTTTGTTGTTAAGGGTTGTTTAATTTTTTAGACCATATTTGTTAGTTAAGGTCGTCCGGTGCAATAAAATATGATAAACTCTTTTTTACAATCTATAATTTGGTTTCATTTGTCTAAATCCTTATGGCAAAAACTTCTTAAATAAAGGGAAAATGCCACGTTTCTTCTATTCACCTTATCAGCATTACTATGTGCTGTGAAGATGGGGTAATATATTTTGCAACTTTGATCGGCCTACATTTGAAATCGGTTATTTTTGAGGTTGTTTGTAATAAATGTTTTTTATTCCTTTTATTGCCACTCAGTGATTTGGGATTTGATGTGCAAAATGTGTAACAAGTTAAATGTTCATCATTTAGTGTACCAGACAGGAGATATAGACAGATATTGTCATCAAGGTCCTCACCTTTTTTTTTTTTAAATTTTCCGATCATAAATTTTTTTATTTATGATTTTATTTATGATTTTTTTTTTTTATCCTATTTTTGTAGATGATCATCTACAGCAGGCCTGCACAACTCAAAATGTAAGGGGGGCCGTAATACGTTATGAAAAACTTGTGCAGGCCAAAAGAAATAGGACAGGACTTTTGCAGGCCTAAAGAAAATAGGACAGAGGGAAAGCTATTAAGAAAATAATACGAAAAAAAGAAATTTTCGTTACTTAGTGGGCCGCGAAGAGTGTGCTGGCGGGCCGCATGTGGCCCGCGGGCCGTATGTTGTGAAGGCCTGATCTACAGGGTAATAGCAATTATTGTAGAAACCATTATCTCTTTGCTTTCATGCAAGTATGAAGAGGTGTTCAGATAAGTTTTTATGAATTAATTAAATGGACTTTTTTTTAATGAACAAAAATCAAACTTTTTCTAATTAATTTTGTTTTATAGAACTGTCAAAGTTGTTAGTGTTTCATTCTTTTTACGTTTTTTTTTAAAAAAATGTTAACATTAAATACTTTCACAAGTTCTGCGATGAACTGGAATACAGAAGAAATTAAATTTACTTAAAGGTTTTTCTTGTTGAAACTTGAAATGTTTAGCACAGTAATAGTAAATGTGCTATGGACCAGTCTTAATTTTATTCAATCAAACCTTGATAAAATGAGTTGTATGCAACAAAAAATCAACTTCATGTATTAATTATTACTCTTATTTTTATTAATTCAGTTATTTTAAAACTTGTACAAGAAAACCATGATAAATAACTTATGAATTCATTTTCTTTTTTAATAAGGAATTGAAAAATTGTGTTTAATATGCCAATAACATTTTTATTATTTTTTACCATTTGGATTTACTGGTGTCATAAAAGGTAAATTTGGCGATGTGCCGCGAGATGTGAGGCCTGCTGGAGGTTCATGTTGTGGACTTTGATGGTGTCCTTAACACTGTTGAACCACTGCCTTTATGGTCTCCCTCTGGCTCTAAAATCATTTTGCCTGCTATCTTAAGCTTGGCTCTAAAATCATGTTGCCTGCTATCTTAAGCTTGCAATGCAGGTTGACAGGCAATCTGACCAGGAGGCCAAACCAACGATTTGCCGTTGGGCATTATTTACTGGTTGATTGGTACGGCACCAACAATTTGTCTTATTTTCCTGGTTCTCAATGTATTCCCTACTTTTATGTGTGGTTACTGTAACATTTATATATTGTCATTCCGATTTGGTACTGTATTTGTCGTGATCTCTTTCCAGCATGTTCATGATAGTTTATAGATTACCAAAGAACAATCTATTTATACTTTTTTTAAATGTAATTTTTTTTTTTCATATTCATTTCTTAAATTATAATTGGGGATTACCAAAGAACAATTTATGTATACTTTTTTTCAATGTAATTTTTTCTTTTCATATTCATTTCTTAAATTATAATTGGGGATTACCAAAGAACAATTTATGTATACTTTTTTTCAATGTAATTTTTTTCTTTTCATATTCATTTCTTAAATTATAATTGGGGATTACCAAAGAACAATTTATGTATACTTTTTTTCAATGTAATTTTTTTTTTCATATTCATTTCTTAAATTATAATTGGGGATTACCAAAGAACAATCTATTTATACTTTTTTTTAATGTAATTTTTTTTTTTCATATTCATTTCTTAAATTATAATTGGTGATTACCAAAGAACAATTTATGTATACTTTTTTTCAATGTAATTTTTTCTTTTCATATTCATTTCTTAAATTATAACTGGGGATATTATTTTTCATTTAATTTGTACAAATTTAATTTTTTTCTTGATACTATTGAAGAAAAAACAAAATTTTAATTTTTTCTTGATACTGTTGAAGAAAAAAGAAATCAACATTTCAGAGTCTTTGCAGAACATTCATTCGCTTTCAAGTGTATGCTTTCAATATTTGTTGTTAATTTTGGAAAACTGAATAGGTTGCAGAAATCTCATTTTAAACCAGTTATAGGTTTTTGTGGGCTGCATAGAAATATATTAGTTATTTTTTTATAACAGATCAGTGAAGACTGGAAACATTTAACTGGAAATTGGCGTTGATGAATCCATATTTTCAATGTTAAATTCATTTATTTTATTTCGTTTAAACAAATTACATTTCATGTTTTCGGTTAGAATTATAATGACCTATTAGACTACCATTAGTTTGCTTATATTTTTCAATCTGTACTTAGATTTTTAAAAATCAGCCTTTTGAACAGTAGATTCACCAGAGTTTGTTTTTTTCAGGTTTTCCCAAATTTTGTTTTGCTTACTTCCAGAGCTTATGTATTTTCTAATTTCTAGCAGAATTTAAACAAGAAGTTTATTTCCAGTTGTCTATATTTTTACCAATAATTCAGACATTGGAACAATCGCTACATCATTTTATAAATGATCTCATGGAAACATTTAACTGGAAATTGGCGTTGATGAATCCATATTTTCAATGTTAAATTCATTTATTTTATTTCGTTTAAACAAATTACATTTCATGTTTTCGGTTAGAATTATAATGACCTATTAGACTACCATTAGTTTGCTTATATTTTTCAATCTGTACTTAGATTTTTAAAAATCAGCCTTTTGAACAGTAGATTCACCAGAGTTTGTTTTTTTCAGGTTTTCCCAAATTTTGTTTTGCTTACTTCCAGAGCTTATGTATTTTCTAATTTCTAGCAGAATTTAAACAAGAAGTTTATTTCCAGTTGTCTATATTTTTACCAATAATTCAGACATTGGAACAATCGCTACATCATTTTATAAATGATCTCATGGATTTACACACAACACCTAAATTTCACTCTGCTATTTAAATACTTATTGATGGTTTTATAAATAATTTTGAATTGTACTGTTTTTTCTGCAAACAATAATAATAATAAATTAGATTGTTGTATGATTGTTTTCAATTCTTATTACCAGAAATCCAATTATTGCATGACATCTTAATTAATTTATGCTATCATATAAAAATCTTGTCCAAAATAATTTTGCCATATCAAGAAGAAGTGATACGAAATGATATACTATTTATATTAATCTTTCCCCTTTTTTTTGGAACTTTTATAGATTTACTGCAATATCCAATCAGCCATTAATGAGCCTTCATCACAAGAGTATTTTATCAATCTTTGTGCACAACTGTTCCCAACCTGCTTGGCGTCGTTCAATGTTTACTATATTTTATATTGCAGAATATTTCATTCTCTGTGCTGCCATTTATCTTATTTAAAAATTGTTAAAGTAGAGCTTCCATAACACGATATTCCAACAAAAAGTTTGTTTAAAATTTTTGATTACGTTATATTTAGATCTCTGACTGGAGAGTTCTAAACCATGATGACTGTATTTTCTTCATTGCATTTTAAAGTAACTTGTTAAGTTTAATGTGGAATAATAAAAGTTAGATTGACAAACTATCAGCTGTTTCAGCATATGCCTTATTAATGATGACTTTAAAATTATTTTAAAGGTAATTCTTCATAACTCAGGTAGAAAAATGGGGAGGGGGCCAATCTTCAAAGAAAGCAAAAATTGTCCTTTTTCATGCAAAATATATATCGTAATAAAAACTGTTTGTGGAAGATGATGTCAAAATTCAGGTTTTTCTTGCCACAGCCCCAGTAGTACAGGTTCCTGGTAGTAACAGGTTTTGCTTGCCGCAACCCTGGTAGCACAGGTTTTGCTTGCAACAGCCCTGGTAGCACAGGTTTTGCTTGCCACAGACCTGGTAGCACAGATTTTGCTTGCCACCGCCCCAGTAGCACAGGTTTTGCTTGCCACAGTCCTCGTAGCACAGGTTTTGCTTGCCACAGTCCTGGTAGCTAGAGCTCAAAGCTTAGGCTCTCTATAATAAAACAATCAAAAATGTCTGTGGGCCTCAGAATCTATCAGCATTTGTTATACTTTATTTCTCAGCTGTTATCAAAAGAAATTTTTGCAAACAAAATTATTGACAATTTAATATCATTAGTTAAAACGAGACTTTGAAAATGTGCTCATTATAAGAGGATTGAACAGCGAAAGAGCTTTTAAGTACTGTAGATTGTAATTTAATAATCAAAAACAATTTTTGCAAACATTATTAAAATGTTACAATAACCACAAATAAAAGTAGGGAATACACTCAGAACCAGGAGAATAAGACAAATATTTGAAGACAAGATACAAATCTAAATGTTTCTGCAAATGCCTTCACAGGTAAAACAGAATAACAAAAAAGCAGTGTCAATTATACTATATATCCTACCTATTAAAAAAATAAAAATGGTGGGCACAAGTCCCTCACAAAATCAAAGGTAAGAAGAACAGAAAGCTAAGGTATGGTAAGGCATGTCCAATGTTAACTTGATTTACCATGAAATATCACAAAGCAGAATGAAGATGCCCTAACGACAATAAAAAATGGTAACAGTAGCATTCAATAAATTCAAATAATGATGTATGTTATTAGTTACCTTGGCTTTTATTGGAAGTTTCTGGAATTTTGTACGATATGAAGAAAGCTACAATTCTCTCCATATCAAAATAAATAATGTTCATATCACAATTTGCTTGTCTGTGTTAAAGACCTTCTCTCCTTCTCAACTTCTGTATATGAAAATAACAATCTTCTTTCTACATCTATCCCTTCCAGTTTGTGAATGCACTGAAAGAGCACATCGAGTAGAGCTCGCCACTTGTTGACATTCGTGTAAGCCACAGTTTGGTCGATGTAGTTAGTGGTGTAGGCCCAGCCCACTTTGTAATGAGGATCTGCAGCGCCACACTGATCCCCAAACCCAGCATGGCCAAACATGCACCACATCTGAAAATAAGATTTTGTCATCTTCAAGAATATTTACATCAAGAAATCATAAAAAAATATGTAAATGCCATAGAATAGCTAGTGTGTTGTTTAATTCAGTCCAAAATGATTTGTATCTATTGAAAAGTGCTGGGTCATCCAACCAGTAGGTAGTGCTGGATCATCCAGCTAGTAGATAGGTCTAGTGGATATTAATCAGTGTAGGCTAAACATACATTTTTAAGATTTAACACACATTATTTTAGAGTTATTTCAAGAAAGGTTGCTTGAAGAAGTGGTACAAATCATTGGTAAAACTAACTTATAAATCTGCCCTTGTCAAATAGATTGGTTAATTACATGATTATTTTAACAATAGTAAATTGATATAAAAATTAGTTCCATGAGCTGCAAAATTTATTTAAGTTTTATCCCAATATTTGTACCTTCTGTCCTTCAACAACAGGAATCAACCACGTTCCTCTGCCATTGATGTTAGATCCTCCAGTTGTGAGATCTATTCCGTGAGACATCGGTTCCTGTAGTCGAGCTATGGACTCTGGTAAGAGCAATGTTTTGCCCTCATGTTTCCCGCCATTAGCAAGTATACCTGCGAGTTTGGCAACTCCAAGTGCAGATCCGACGCCGTGACTTGAAGGATTTGGTAAACACATGAAGTCTGGGCCATTCATACTTCGGGTCTGAAATTGTTTACGTTTGATTTCTTTTAAAGTGAAGATACAGTGATGATTTTAATAAACAGACAAATTTATCTTCACTTTTATATTAACGACAATAAATATGTTAATTGGTAAAGTATGTTTGCAGGCGTTGATGATTTTTTTCAATTTTTTTAAAGAAAAAGGTAGTGTTATAAAATAATTTCTGAAGTTTTCCAGATTTCTCAAATGGAGTCAATGAGTTCGATCAAAATATTTCTTTGCTCAACAAGATCACTAATTGGTGTTACAAATATATTAATTAATAATTTTAACTGTCCTGTCTTTTCATTTCAAGCCAAAACATATCTTGTTCCGCTATATCCATTACTTGCTTAATATGAAGAAAGGATGTGGCTCCAAAATTTATGAATGTAAATTGAATTTTTTTTTTTTTTTTAAACTCAAATATTCAATAGCTAAATTTTAACCTATTTAATGTAAACAAGAACATACAGAAAGAAAGTCCTTTGGCTGTGAGAATGCCAGCCGATACAAAGAAATATCTCCTTTGAATGTTTCCATCATTTTCATAAGGTCCTCTTTGGCCACTGTCTTTGGTTCAAGTCTAGCTGCTCTGTACTGAAGATGTTTAGGTAAACCAATGTAAAAATCTATGCCTGTAACATTAATTAATAAATTTGAATCAAAGCTATAATAAGATACTGATTTATTTTAGAAATTAACATTCCGACAACACTATTTTCTATGCCCACTAAAATTATTTTGAAAAATTTATTTTATTATAGCGATTCTATTTGAAATTTATATTTTAACGTATTTAAAATGATTCATATTTTTTCTGCCACCGGACAATTGGTTACGGGAAAAGCAATGAGAGGATATGTGTCCAGATCCGACTTAAATGATTAATTTTTTCTGTTTACTTTGACCATCACCTATTCACAAATTATAAAATCTCAGTCATTTTAAGCAAATAGATAAGAAAAGCACATACATATTGAAATTCAACTTCCATTGTGGGACACATTTTTTAATGACAAAGCACTATTGATGCAGAGATATATTTCTTATCAATGAATTAATCTAAATCCACAAATTTTAATTGTTTATTTTTTAAATGCCAACGATAGTAAAGGAAATGAAATGTATACTTACCAAAGGGTCGACCAATTTCTTCTTTGAAATACTCAGCCAGGCTACGCCCTTTCTGGTCAACCCTCTTCACTATTTCACTGAGATAGAGGCCAACTATATGAGGACTGTAAGCAACAGATTCCCCTGAACATAAATTGATAGTCATGTCACTAAATACACAATCAGCTTGTAGTACATTGTTCTAATGAGTAAAACAGTAATTTAGCAAGTTCTTCAGTGCTGAGAAATTTTTATTTAAAAAAATAATAAACATCGTTTGTACGTTATCATTTGATAAACCTTTCATCTCTTTTAACTTTTATATCTTATGAAAGATTAAGTAATACACATTGCATATATCTTATGAAAGATTAAGGAAAGTAAATACGTTGCATATATCTTAAGAAAGATTAAGGACCGTAAACACATGACATTATCTATATATGTCAGAATAATGAAATTTTTAATTTATAATAATAATAAATTTCAACTTTAAATACAATTAGGACAAAATATTTCTGCTACAACTAACTAAAGCCCAGCAGACAATGGCGGCCCCAATGCGTCAATCTTCCCATCGACTTAAGTTACTTGACAAAACATGCATTCAAGTAACGCACTTTAGAAGAGTCCGAATAAGTACCCCCATCCCCCCACCCCCTAATCGGTACACCACGGCCCCTGAGCTATATTGATATTCTAATTTCACACCCCCTTTTACACTGCAGATTTATTAGACCATAAGCCATGTTGTTTGTCCTTCACATGGGAAGATGACCAAGAATATGTTCAAAGGTGTTTACACACGTGGCTTGTCAGCCCTATTTGTGCCTGGAAAGCTGTTCCTCAAGTAGACGGACAGACAATAGATGAACTACCCATCTACTAAAGTTACTTGACAAAACATGCACTCAAGTAATGCACTTTATAAGAATCACAATAAGTGCGCAATTTTTGCAACTGTACACTTTTTCACGCCCCTAAACTATATTAATAATCTAATGTCCCACCCCCTATTATACCGCAGATTTAAGAATTATAACTCCATATTTAAATTGTGAATATTCAATGAATATTGCCATAAAACAAAATAAACATTACGCACCAAACGCATTCACTTTATTTTAAAACATCTCATTTCGTGCAGTTATCTGAAATTTTATTTAGTGAATTCTGCACCATCTGGTAGCATTGTTACTGTTACATATAAAATTATGTATTTTGATTTTTTTAGAAGAGGTTTATATGCATCAAATTAGTTAACTATCTACCTGGTTCCGTTAATGGGGCTTGTTTTGCAAGTAAGTCACTAAGTTTTTTGGGATTCTCTCTCATCCATTTGAGCTCAAAATTTTCACTGAATGCTGCCAAACCTGCCTATAAAAAAATTAAATGGGACTATTTATTAATTCAATTTAATGTACATGTAGTTAAAACTTTTTTATTTTATCATTAAATTTACATTTTATGCATTAAAGGTAGTTGAAATTTATTAAATACTAATGAATATCTACCTTGTAAGACATTAACATTTCCAAAGTTATATTATCCTTGCCATTTTGAGAAAATTCAGGCCAATACTTGGCAATTTTGTCTTCATAGCGTAAAAGGTCTCTGTTTCAGAATATGCCAACAACAAATTAATTAATTAATGTTATAGCTTTTAGTCGAACCTTATGTAAATAAAAATAAAGCAGTCAAAGCACTGAGCTACCTAATAAAGTTATAGAATTGCTTTTAAAATATTACAAAATGTGGTTGATACCCAAAAAAGACAAATTGCATAAATTTAGTAAGATTTACACATTGCATAAGACATGCTTTTCAAACTCATGCAAGTTATTATTTAAAAACAAACTAATTTTCATGTCATTTGATAAAATGACATTTTAAACTTGATATTTAAAAAATAAAGTGAGATGAAATACAAACAACCTTTCTACTAAATGAGCTACTGTCACACTGGCAATTAACTTTGTTGTTGAAAAAAAGAAACCGACAGTCTCCTCTTTCCAAGGACGATGTAGTTGTTCATCTGCAAGGCCTCCCCATAGGTTTACTACAGGTTGTCCTTTATAGTATGCTGCAAAGCTGCTACCCCTTTCTACACCCTTGGAAAATTGTTCACTGTAAAAGTGAGAAAATTAGAAGATATTTAGATTTCTTTGAGGGAAAACTAATGGATTAATTAACTCATCATACAAATGATATAATCATTGGTTGGTCCATTATGAAATCACAACCAAGCCAAGCATATGAGAGGTTTCATTGTGATTGCCTTTTAAGGCACTAAACATCAACTAGACAAACAACAACCAATATACTTCTTTTGGCTCATGGAGTTAAAATTATGAGGAAGTGGCATAAAAAAAAAACTTAATTCCACCACAAATTAAAATATGCTAGTAATGCTAGGTTATTTCATTTGCCTTTAATTTAGCTTCCTCAGCCAAGATAAAATATGTGATTATCCCCCTTTCTCTTTTTATGTCAAAAAAATAAAATGGAAGTGTCTAAGACTAAGAGTACCAAGATAATGTAACCAGGTGCAAGCATAATTTGCCTCGCTATTTTTTACTATTTAGCACTATTTTATGACATGTTCATGGTCAAATAAAAAGATAAAAATAATTAACATCTCTGGTACCTGTAGGGGTCCCTGGTCAAACGCCACAGGAGACTTATCCATCATTGATCAACCAAACTTAAAAGTTTGAGACACATTGTACTAGATTATGTTAGTTTAGACAGTTGAAACAAAGTAAAAAGACTTGTTTTTAAAAGAGAGTGACTGACCAATATTAATCTGATTAATAGTTGATCCATTTCAATTTTCATTTGAGTAGTTTTGTTCTAGTATAAACTATTTTTTTTAAATTTACTATACATCTATAATATAAAAGCAAGTGTAGTGCATTCAATCACACACAAAAAATCCAGAATTAATGGAGGAATTCTAGTTAACCTAAAAGCTTGACAACATTGAGGCTGATGCCATCAAAAACCTTAGAAAAATTGAAATTTGTTTTTTAATCTCTCCCCCAAGGGAGGGAATTGTGTGGGTTTTTTTATATAAAGACAAAAATGCATTTTCCATCATCCTAGAAACATCAAATTTGATACGATAGAAGCTGATATTGCCACAATTAATTTTAATACCTAAAATATTTTTTTCAAATTTTATAAATTTTAGAGCGAGCCTCAGGTGTCAGATTGGAAAAGGGGAGAATCCATTCTGAGAACATTCTTAAAACACATGACTCACTGGGTTTATTGTGATATGTGGCATTTTATTTTTGTGACGCACCATCATCATCACCAGTGCCGCTACAGCCCTTGTAGGGCCCATTGCTCCACCACATCCTACCATTCAGAACGATCCATGGCTTTAAGTTTGGTTGATCAATGATGGATAAGTCTCCTGTGGCGTTTTACAGGTGTAAATCTTTCTCTACATCGTCAATCCATCTCAGCCTTAGGCGACCAGTGAGTCATTTGCCCCTAGTTTTCTGCCTGTATATCACTTTTACTGCTCTATATTCCGGCATCCTTTCAATATTTCCTGCCCAGCGCAGTCTGCCTTTTTTTATTTTTGCGACTATGGGTGGATCTTTGTACAATTGGTATAGATCTTGATTTGTACGGATTCTCCAGATATCATTTTCCATCACTGGGCTGAATATTTTTCTGAGGATTTTCCTCTCCCATGTATTGAGAAGGTTCTCTGCTTTTCTGGTAAGGGTCTAAGTCTCACTAGCGTAAGTTACTACTTATCTTATGATAGTGGTGTATATTGTCTTCTTTGTTCCCCTTGAGAGGTTTTTGCGTCACAGTAACTGTAGGCTGAAATAGGAACTATTGCCTGCTGTTATCCTTTCTTTCACCTCCGACATTATTTCATTGTGCTTGTTTATAGTTACCCTTAGATATTTGAATGTAGCCCCTCTCTCAAATTTGTGGTTGTTTATATTGATGTTGTCATCAGCGTGGGAGTTTCGTGAAATTATCATATATTTATTCTTTGGGTCATTTACATCAAGACCAGCTTTGACTGAGACATTTTCAAGTTCCCTGAATGCTTTAATTATGTGTCATTACTGTTTCTACCCAGAAGCGCTATATTGTCTGCATATGCCAGGATCTGCAATGGCTGGCTATATCGTCTGCATATGCCAGGATCTGCAATGGCTGGCTATATCGTCTGCATATGCCAGGAACTGCAATGGCTGGCTATATCGTCTGCATATGCCAGGAACTGCAATGGCTGGCTATATCGTCTGCATGTGCCAGGATCTGCAATGGCTGGCTATATCGTCTGCATATGCCAGGATCTGCAATGGCTGGCTATATCGTCTGCATATGCCAGGTACTCCAATGGCTGGCTATATAAAGTTCCTGAGGGTTGCTGTCCTGTAACACCCCTCCTGAAGTAGCTTGTTATGGTTCCACTGGTGCCGACGTGTATGCTTCTAATAACTTTTTCTAGCGCGATGTTAAACAGGATACATGATAGTAAGTCTCCTTGTCTATGCCCCCATTAACTGGGAACTCCCTTGAGTATTCTCCCTACACCTTGATTCTACTTTTGGAGTCAGCCATCATCTTGTTAGGGACTCCAAGTTATTGTAGAGCATTGTATAAGTAATTCCTGTCTACGCTATTGTATGGTGTTTTTTAATCCATGTATAGTTGGTATTTGTCGATGTTATATTCGTAACATTTCTCCAGGAGTCTTCTTATAGTAAAAATATGATCTGTGGTTGATCTATTCTGCTGGATCTGTTCACTATACTTTTCCAGTTTTCTGGCTAGAAGTTTTGTGAGGATTTTGTACATTACATTGAGGGAGATTCCTCTGTAGTTTGAGCAGACCAACTTAGATCCTTTTTTGTGAATTGGGATTATGAGTGCAGTGTCCCATTCTATTGGCATTTCTTCCTCCTGCCAGATTCTGGATATGAGGTCATGGATTTTCCTATGCAGTTCGTTACCACTTAGCTTTATCAGTTCTGCAGAGATAAGGTCTATTCCTGGGGCTTTGTTATTTTTGTATGGTGAAGATCACATCCTATATTTCATTTAATGTTGGTTGGGTGACCCATGGATTTTGTGATGCACCAATCAATAATATTTATACGAGGTCACTCTTTTGAAGCTATAGCGCCAAAATTATGGAACAGTTTGCCTCAATCTTTGGGCAAAATTGAAAATGATCAAAAAATCATTTAAGCAGCATTCAAATACTTTTTTCTTTAAATAGATTTTAAGACATCAGAGTGCTGTGAGCATGCGATAAAAGTATTCAATCATCATCAACATTCAAGGGGTTAGAAGCAGTAGTGAATGAAATACTATTTGGGGATAAATAAAAAAAAATATTGTATATTATGTTGAGTGGTAAAATAAGCGGCTGATTGTAGCAAACAAGCCTACCATTATGGCTATTTAAAAAATGTATGTGGTATTTATTGGTAACACCTCACAGTCTCACAGGAGATGAACCATTTTTGTGTCATCAATTTAAAAACATTAAAGATGACTTCAGACGTCCAATAAACAATGAGTATGAGTAATTAAATCCCCTCCTCCTCACCTGCAAATATTCCCTACAATGGTCAAGTGTTTCCTTTTCAAATGATCTATCAGATCAGGTATCACTTACTAACTTACTAATATTATTATATGATATATGCAATAAAATGGAGGTAATGGACCTGTAATGTGCACAAAATATCGGCTACACATTTTGTAAAAATCAATCAATTAAATTATAAAAGCACAACCTCCCGGTAGTGAAGCATGGGTATATTAGCTGGCTATTTATAAATTGATGATTAATTAAATGTTATCCTGAGTTCTCAGATCACTCAGAAGGGTTCTGGTTTGATTACTGATAACTACTGACTGACTAGTGAGTCTACAGTGTAGGCTACGGCTACATTCTACAAACACTCGCTCGGACTACTCAGTAGGCTACTACTATTAAGTCTATTACTAGGCTACTGTGAAGTGCGAGTCACTCAAGTCACAAGTCTCACTCAAGTCTCAGTCTCAGTCTAGTATTTAATATTTTTTTTTTTTTGCGGCAACCTACGTGTATATATCAAGTACTTGTTCAAATCCTTGTGCTAAATATCCAGTAGGCAAAGGAATTGGCCGAATCTTTGGGGGCATTTTTTTTTTTTTTAATAGTTTGGGTAATAACTAAGACTCAATTTTGTTGTTGATATCAATTGAAAGTACAATTAAAATGAACTTTGACCCATTCACCCATTCAAGTTCTTAACTCTTTTTCTAAAAGAGTTAATAAAAGTGGTATTGATATATCGCCTCTTTAGAAAATAATTATATTTCATTACACTAATCTAATACAATGAGTGATTAAGCAAAATTGTCTTTTAGAACCAGATTTAAGACCGAAATTTTCAAAATAAATTATATGTAGGGTGCCTACTATTTAAATCTAATTTTTTTTTTGTTAATAATAGAACGTCAATAGTCAATATTAAAACAATTTGAACAGTTAAAAGAAATTTAATCAAGCTGGCAATGTTTAGTTTTCAAGCAGATCTATTCCGCCGCCCAAGAAACGTGTCAGTCAGATTTTCGTGCTAATAAGACTTTGTATTTTAGCCAAAAGATAATTATGGGTAAAACCAGAAGGCGGTTGTTTGATATTTGTAGCCACCTCAGAGGGAGAAACGAACGAACTGCTCTTCCTTCAGTGTTTCCGTTGCCCCAGCAACTGCCACTGCCCAACATCCTGCAAACGAACGGACTATCTCGCACTCGTCCGTCCACTACTAGAATATGGTGCGATCATCTGGGACCTAAAACAAGACGTGGACAAGATGGAGCGAATACAACGTAACGCAGTGCGCTTCATCGCACGTGACTACAAGCCCATCACTCCTGGTTTCGTCACTGACCTCTTAAATAGATTTGACATCCCCTCCCTCAAGGACAGACGAGAAAAGCTCCCACTTAGTGGTCACAGGGCTAGTGCTGACCATCTAAGCTGACACATATCTCACCCCACAGAAGCCAGGTCGCTTAATCAGAGCCTAACGCTCAATAATAATAAAAATAATAATGATAAAGTTCATTTCAAAAACACGCTTCATCCCCAAAGGCTCGAAGCGCGGTACAAAGTCAACAAAAAACAAATCTATAATTTACCACATTTAAAACAAACACAACACTACAAAAACTAATTACAAGCATACAATGTCAAAGTCTTTCTAGCCATTTCAACCATAAGCAACACAGCCATTATGCATTAACTGGAAAATAAGATAGACAATCATCCCAGAAGGTATTTGCGAAATAGATGTGTCTTTAAATCGGTTTTAAAGGACTCCAGTGTCTGGTTGTTTCTGAGAGCGACCGGAAGGGCGTTCCAAATTGTTGGACCAGCAAATGCGAACGTGCGCTTTCCGTAAGTCTCAAAGCAAACACCTGGTGTCGAGAGTTTGCCACTATCGGATGAGCGGAGTCGTCTAGTGGGTACATAAGGCGTCAGCAGCTCTTTCAGATAGGACGGCGCCAGGTCATGTAAGCAGCGGTAGCACAAAGTTGCGATTTTGTACTCTATGCGAGCGCGCACCGGCAGCCCGTGCAACTCTCTCAGAAGTGTTTTTGCATGGTCGAACTTGCGTTTGCGGAGAATAATGCGAGCCGCATTATTCTGTGCTATTTGAATTTTATCCAGGAGCGTAGCTGGAAGACCCACCATGAGAGCATTGCAATAGTCCATGCGTGATAGCACAAATGCAGACATCAGCCTCTTTGTTGCATCAATTGTTAGGAAGGGCCTGATGTGACTAATCCTGCGCAGCTCCAGAAAAATCGCCTTGCATAGCATGTTAATATGACTTTCAAAAGTTAGTCTTCTATCTAGGTAGACACCCAGGTACCGCACTGTTTGAGCTAACTCATAATAAACATTGACTTCACCTCTGACAACTCCATGAGCAGTTACATCCGGAACAATGATAAATGCTTCACTGTGCCTTGGTGTAACACAGTCCAATATAAACAATCATTCTTCCCACGAACAATAATTGCTTGGCACCAACTGGCCAATGCCGCCGTGGACTCGACATCAATCGAGAGTTTCAAGGCTGCCCTGGCATCCGCTAGGAGCCGTTAGGATAGCCACATTGCTTACCCATCCGTTGCACATATGCCAGTACTTGGATGCAGCAACGTACCCCACCAGAATCAGATATTTTCTGTGATTTCTTTACAAGCAACGCTGATGGCAGTCGCGCTGAGCTTGATCGTCTTCACGCACCGCCCCTAGATTTGCCTCCCTTTTCTTGTGTCAGTTCACATTTCGATGTTTTTTAACCGGTTTCAGAACAAGAGGTCAAAAGTATTATTCTAAAATCTAAACCAACATCATGTTTTTTGGACCCCCATCTCCAACCCAGTGTTGATTAAGTCGTTAGATCATTTTCTCCCAACGTTAACCCAAATAATCAATGAAAGCTTGTCTTCTGGCACTGTTACCTCTATTTGTAAATCAGCTGTCATCAAACCATTGCTTAAGAAGCCTGGCCTGGATGAAAATAACTTTAAAAACTATAGACCATCATTTTTATCTCAAGTCATTGAAAAACTAGTTCTAAACTTTTTGCTTACTTAAACGACCACTCTCTTCTCAGTCCTAATCAGTCGGCCTATAGACCTTCCCACCACACGGTGACAGCTCTCTTGAGTCACCAATGACCTCTTGCTCGCATTGGACAGCGGTAATGTCTCCATCCTGATCCTCTTAGATCTTAGCGCGGCCTTTGTCACGATTATGTCTCTTTTGCTAATATTTCAAAGTACAGCGCGGTGAGCCCAGCCCTAAGCTGGGGTACCGCGCTATATAAGACCACTAATAATAATAATAATAATAGTTCATAGTTAGTAAAAGAAAGTAAAAACTTCAGTTAATGTAGAGACCAATTTCTATGGTTTATCGCCTTCCAGGGGAAATGTGTTTTCACGGAAACACAAGTTTCCCATGGACAATTCTTTGAATCCATAACCTTTGAGTTTGCCAGCCTCTACATCAGGGGTCTCAAACTCGCGGGCCATTTGCGGCCCACAAGACGATATTTTGCGGCCCGCTACATGACATCAAAGTTTAGTGTTAATGTGGCCAGCGCGTTTCCCCCATTCTCATATCTATAATGTGATCCACCACGACGGTTTCAGTTGTATCTTACCGACTAGTCTAATTCTGATTTTTTTTTATGTTTGTTGATTATAATGGTAAAAACCGTTTTAAAATCGGACTAGAATTTGTTCCTGTTGCTAAATGATTCCAAATGGCTCATGGACTTGGCTTTTCTTGTAACGTTACACAGTAGCTGAATGTGCTTAACAAGATGTTACAAGAACAGGGGTAGCTTGTCAGTGTTGTCTATGACAATGTCAGGGCATTATGCACAAAACGTGTGTTAAGGTTCTTGGACTCGGGCACACAATTCAGTAGTAGGTATACTGATCCCATTGCAAAGCTACAGGAAGAATTTGAGCACATGTTTGCAGACTTCAAAACACAAAGAGCCACTATTCAACTTTTTGCTGATCCCTTCTCCTTTAATGTGGAAGATGCCCCCCCCCCCTTTTTTTTTTCTCTTTTCTTTGCGCTTTGATTGATCTTTAGTGATATTCTAAGTTCAAGGGGATCAATAGAAAAACAGACAAGCATGGACAATTTATGAGAGTATTGCCCTCCACCTTCCCTGAGATTTCCAGGTTGTTCAAGCGGATCATGTGCCTTTTTTGGGAGTAACTATCTGTGTGAAAAGCTCTTTTCCATTATGAACTTTAACAAGTCAAAGTTCAGGGCCAAACTTACTGATAAGCATCTTGAAGCTATACTGAGGATCTCAGTTGCTTCCTCACTTAAGCCAAATGTTGCTCAGCTGTGTAAAAAGAAGCGTTGCCAAGGCTCTGGGCACCAAGGAGTAGGAGTAACAAAGTGAAGTCTAGTTCTTGAGAACTCTTAATGTTTTTATTTGTTATTAATAAAGGTAGAGAAGATTGCAACAGTTGCACTTTATTGAATTTGTCATTGCTTTTTTGTGGAATACTTGATGCGGCCCAGTCTCACTCAGACTCTACCTCATGCGGCCCCCAGATGATTTGAGACCCTTGCTCTATATTCTCTCAACTTTCCTCTACACGTCCCCCTTGTACAATTCTCTCACACCATCTCCTCATTCCTTCCAATTATGTCCCCTTACTATGTCCATCCAAAAGGATTAATCTTCACCTTAAGTTTTTTACCTAAAATATTTATAACCCCCCCCCCCATTATTATTTATTTATTTATTTATTTAGGCATTTTTATATAGCGCTTATCATAAAGCTCTAAGCGCTTTACAATTATTAAAACATGTAAACTAAGTAAATACAAATGAGACACTAGGATAGTAACTACTATTCATTATATAGCGCTTATCATAAAGCTCTAAGCGCTTTACAATTATTAAAACATGTAAACTAAGTAAATACAAATGAGACACTAGGATAGTAACTACTATTCTATAGAAACAATGAAAATGGCTATAAAAAGAGGACACTTTGACACTTCAGGATTAAGCCGAAACAGAAAATTAGGTAGGGCAACGAGGGTGCATCACAGACTCACTATTTTTTTCTGATTTACCTTCCCAACTGTAAATAATCTGTAATAATCAAAACAAAATAATTTATAAAGATTATAACATTTAAAACATTCAATATGTTTTTACTAGAAAGAAACAAGGCATAAAAACATTTTCCTTTCAAAAATATTTATTCCTTGTTATTGAGGGAAATTTAAATACAAAAATGTTTAATTTTTGCTATTTAGCAATCTGATTTAAAGCGTGGATAGCATAAGTGTAACCAGATCAAATATTTGTTACAACATCTTTGAACCCATAGAATTTTTCCACTTTATAAATTTGCTAAAACAGCATAATAATTAGATCCAGAAAAAGAAGTATGCTACATTCAAATAAGTTATTCAAAGATTTCAAAATATAATAATTTCAGTGTTATCTTATAAACATCACAGCTATCTATACATCTTATCTAACATTTCAGACACTCTAGTTTATTCCTATGATTTTTAGTTGAGCCTGTAGCTGAACCTCCACTTTTGAAATAAACTAATAAACTTTGTACACACAGGCCAACATTTATTTGCTGATAACTTTAATGCAGTTTTTTGTCAGGGTTCCTTCTCTCCCAGATTAGTCTGTGCTTCTGCTTCATGTAGGCCTCAATAGCTCCCTGTGTGGCTCTCATTTCTCCATCTGTAACAACACCACAGTAAAATATTGGTTAGTTCCCTTTGTGATTCTCATATCCCCATCTATAATAACACAAAATAATATATTGGTTGACAAATTTAGGTAATCTATTAGCACGTAAGGTGCGACAAAAATTTACCTTTGCCATACATGCTGCCGAAATCCCTGACTTCTCAGGACAGTGAAGTCAGGGAAATAGAGAAATAATTGCAGCAGCATTTCCTATTTATGCTTCTGCAACTATTCTCATTTTCATATTTATCCAAACTGATACTTTCAATTAAAACTAAAACATTGCAAAGAGTAGATCAAAAATAAATGTTATATGAATGTAGGACTTCCAATTTTGCTTGCAAAAAAGGAAATGTGTATCAGCCTACCACCACAACATTGTTGCAATCAACTGGCCATATCCTCTTCTCATTAAGAGCTATAATTTAAGGATGACCTATTAATAATATTTAATAATTAAATCAACAGATTATAAAATTTTACTGTTAACTGAATCCGTTGACTAGGAGCAGAAGGCAGTGTTAGTTAAAAAGGATGATTGACGCCAATAATTGGCCTTCTGGACCACGAGATTATGTTGTCGTGTCCTAGTCCTAATTTTACATGAAACTTATTAACTGAGAGAAATAATGTCAACTTTGAAGAAGTGACTAGCAATATTCTTTGTCTCAACAACTCTAAACCTTTCAATCAAAACTTATGAAGATGGTCTGAAAATATGATTAATTTTAAATCCCTTCGTATTTAACCAAACTTGTGTGTAGGCTGTTTGTAAAGCCATTTTTATCTAAGTGTTTTAGTAAAAGTCAATAATATCAATTTCAACTATAATAATTAAGTTTTTGGTATAAATCCTTTATAAAATGTAATATGGAGCCAATGGAACTATATTAATATTCTAAAACCAATGACCCATCCACTTTTACGCTGCAGATTTATTTCACAACTATTTCAGAAAAACTAAAGAAAATATTAACACACCAAACGCACCTGCAATTTTGCTTTTTAAAGAATCTCATTTATTGCAGTTGTCAGGAATTTTATCGCAAAATATTAAACACCAATGCACCTGCGATATTGTTTTTTAAAGAATCCCATTTAGCGCAGTTATCAGGAATTATAATTCATGAAATCCAAGGTGAGGTATTTCCTTCATCTTCTATTTGAAAAACAGGAAAAACTCATTTTTGGTGGTTGGGGTTGGGGCTGAAAATTTGAAAGAATGTGTTGCAATCTGGAGTGAGTGCCAAGTTTCAGCTCAATAGATTGATGGGAAGTGGATCAATTAGTCATCCGAAGATTTTGCTGGCCAGCCACAAACAAAATTGAAGTTAATATAAAGGATTTAAAAATGATCCATAGATACTCGATGTTAAAATTTTAAGAATTGTGTTAGTCAGCAAAATTATACTAAGCGTTAAACCTCAATTTTAGTAATAGGAGATATGTTTCTAATTGATTCACAGTAACAGGAAACAGTGAAACATATGGGAAAACATGAAAAAAGGATGCAACAAAACATTTATATTATGTATAAAGACGTGACTAATGAATGCATGAACGTACACTTAATAAACCAGTTTGTAGCAGCATTCTCATACTCGTCTTCAATTTTCTTGCATTTGTATCGGGAGTCAGGACCCTCCCATGCCATGCATTCAATTTTCCTCTGTCTAAGAATTTTCACTATGTTACTGTCAACAAGCCTGTGGAATAAAGTTGGTTTTAAGAAGTTAAATATGGGAAAAAACTAAAACGGATCAAGTACAGCATCGATTTTTTACAAATTAATTATTCAAATGGCCCAAATCTTTATTTTTATTTTTTTGTACAAAATTCATCTGGCATGGCACAAAGGTGTACGAGCATCCAATTTCAACCCCTGTCACATAATTGAGGTAATCTAAAGACGTACAGAACGTGCCATGATCAGAATTGAATAATGCCATCGTAAAACCTATTAATTAATATGTATTACATAATATATGAAAAGAACCAGCAACCTCCAATTTTACTCTAAAAGGGCCAGTTATCCATTTCTTGGACACAACTTTTCACAGAAAAAAGGTCAAGTTCTCACCAATGTTTCCTACAATTTTTTTCTAGTCTCTGAGCACAAATTTTCAGTGTTGCGCAAAGATTGACAACAATTTTTTTACAATAATACTGTTGTTTCTCGAGTTATGCATGACCTGTAAATTAATTCATAAAACTTAAACTAAACAACACACAATGAGACAAATGATAAGAAGAACGTTGACAGGATGGAGGAGGTCCAACGATGGGCAGCACACTTTGTTCTGGACTGCTACAGGAACATCTCTAGTGTTGGCAGCATGCTGGAGTACTCTATGCACTAGCTTCTATAATTGAGGAACCTTTCCCATAGGAGAGTTCAGTTACCTAAACTAAACCACCAACAGCGTGAATAAGTGTGGAAAATGGGCACTCTGCTATATATACTTTTTGTTGTAAACCAAAAGAATTATTGATTGATATTTGCCCAATCCTTGTATGAATCCAAATTTAACGTATTATGGGAAACACTGGTTGTTCATTTTGAGCAAAACATTACAATGATGTGGGGAAAAAATTGCATAAATGCATATTAAAAATTTGGTGGTATTTTGTTTTTTTATAAGGATTAAATTACTGATGATAATTAATTTGTACTTTATTTCTCAAACTATTAAAACATGCAATTAAAAAAATAAAATTAAAAAAACAATTAAATGAACTGACTTGTCCCTGTAGAATTGTTCATCAGCCTCATAAATACAGACTGGATCCTCATAATCACACTGATCCACTGTTGGAACTCTATTGAAGCGTCTATGGTAAAACTTTTCTTTGTTTTTACTCTGTAATGGAAGTACAACTTTCTCTGTGAAACAGAAATTCAAAATGTTCACATTATAATTTTGTTTTTTTAACTGCTCTCCCGGCTAATTGTTTAAGAAAATTTAATGAGACTCTAGCTCAAATTAATTAAGATAGATAACTCAAAACCACCCTGGACATTCTACTGCACATGTCCAAAAATTATGAAAAAACATGTTCTATAAAATGGCTACACTGTATCTTTGGCAATTGCATACAACATCTAGGTAACATTAGTTTATTAAATAACTTCTTTCCTCATCAGTGACGTATTAGATTTTGTGTTCTGGTGATTCTATGAAATTTATGCAAAGAGTTTTTTTGTGTGTCACAGACATGATTATCATAACCAAATGGTAAGTAATCTAAGTTAGAGCTTGGGTAGTGATATACCCAACCAAAACCATGATGATAATGCATGAACATTAGGTAAAAGCCAACTATGCATGGTTTCTTCCAAAATAATGTTTTATACTATACAATAGGAGGTCATAAGGGACTAGACTTAAGTCTAAAGCTTTATACAATATATATATTTCTTATATATATATTTGATGGCATCGACGATGATGGTGAGTAATTTTGTGACTCACAATTTGAATGTGAATCCTATTTAAGCTGGGAAAGCTATCCTAAATGCAGGACGCAAATGTTTTTGAGTTCTAGAGTCTAGAGTAGGGTGACCAAATCATGAACTGGAGAAAACGGGACACACCCAAGGAGGCTTGGGGGGGGGGGGGGATACCCCCCACCAAAAGAGGGGCCCAGGGCCCCCCCCCGAAAACGGTTTTTTAAAATATCCTCAGTTTTTCCCATTTTTACCTTTTTTGAGACCGGGATATTTTTTAAATTTTAATTTATATCCGTAATGCAGGACTGAAATTTTTTTGAGTTCTAGAGGCTAGAGTAGGGTGACCAAATCATGAACTGGAGAAAACGGGACCCACCCAAGGAGGCTTGGGGGGGGGGGGGATACCCTCCAGCTAAAGAGGGGTCCAGGGTCCTCCGCCGAAAACTGTTTATTGAAATATGCTCAGATTTTGCTCATTTTAACTATTTTGAGACCGAGATATCTTTTTAAATTTAACTTCACTTTTCTAATTTAATTTAAACTCTGAGGTATATCATAAACGAAGTTATTAAAGTAGGAAGTTTTAGTGATTTGAAAATGTCACTAAATGTGTTTAGTTTAGGCATCCCGAAATACTTTTTCGGGACACCCGGTACAATTGTGAAAGAACGGGAAAATTCCGTTATTACGGAACATTGGTCACCCTAGTCTAGAGTGGTACTCACTACTGGGGGCGATTCTGTTTTCCTTGCTTTAGCCTTGGCGCTTTCCTTTAGCAATTGCAAGTGAATCGTTGGTAGTTTGGAGTGTGTGTGCTCCTGGCCCTGGTCAAAAACGCTTCGCCAGGAGTGTAATTTAATTACAGAGTTTACATAGTCTTTGACTGAGAATGGAATGCTGTGTTTATTGAATTACTACTATAACAGATGAGTGTATAGTGTATCCTTTTAGGCCAGATAAACCCAAACAATTTATCCTTAGTCCTTAAATGTCCCAAATAAAGTTGAAACAAAAATTGGAACGTGAAACTGAAACGTACCTCTGAAAGAAGTTACAGTTCCGTCGATTGCGCTAAAAAATCCAAGTGCTAAATTCTGGACCTTTAGATCTGTGAAAGAAATTCCCTTATTTTTACTTTGAGACTCATCAATACATTCGGCTTCGGTATCGTCGTGGCCACCCATAGTTTTCAGATGTCAATATATTTAACAATCTGTAAGTGCAGGATTACCAAGGTCAGTATTGTAAATTGTTCACGGTTGACTCCCTTGGCTAATTCTAACCAATCCAATGGCCATTTTCACAGTTGGTGTCGCTAAACACCGAGATCTGTTTTAATACTGTACTGGAATTAATATTACCATTCATTTTCATGGGTATTAAAAATACTGGTAGCCTACTTATAATTTTTAATTAACGAATTTATATTTTAAAAGTTTTTCTATCTTTATATTTATACCGCAAAGGCATATTTGATTTTCCAATAGTATAAATTACAACCTCCTCTAGCCACATTCTCCTCATAAATAAGTCCGTCACACTCGTAGTATATCTTATTTTCAGTCTTAATTCACGTGTAAATTTTAACCTTACCTCCTACTGGTCTCATTTTTATTTTCTAAACGTGGTAATCGTATCATTATCATTCAATTTTCCAGTCCAAAGTGTAAAGCTTATTAGCCCTTTTTATATGCTGCAACAAAGTTTAATTTTAAAATTCTGTAATTTATCATTTCATAATTTTGTAACAAAAAAGTATTTGACCGACTTTCTTATCTAGAATCTGACAGCTATCATTCCCCATTTTGTTATAATTGATGACACTAGGTACTTAATATACAAGTCACATTGCCATCAAGGACATTTGCAAAAGGAGCGCGAGGGAAGCCAACAATGAAATCAATGAATGGGAGATCATCGCTGAGCGCTGTTCCAGCTAGCGGACAGCAGAGGATAAAGGAGTCAAAAAGGCAGAAAATATGTGAAACAAAGCCATTGCAACAAAAATAGCATTACAGAAGACCAAATTTAACCAGAAGTCAAGGTTCTCCTGCGAGAAATGCAGCAGAAGCTGACATTCCAGGATTTTTCTTTATTTCAAGATCTGCAATTTCATGTTCCCATTGTTTATCTTCTTTTTCTACACATCCAACTGAAGCTTAACTTAGATCACATCAAAGAAGACAGTTGTTACTATTTTGCATTATAAACTTTCCCTCCAGATATTAAGTCAACGCGTGGAAGGGTGTTTTTTTGGCTCTGCAATGGTATCATTTGTATACACTATAATGGTAAACACCCTTCAGGCTTGCATGAACTTTGGTTCCTGATATTTTGCCATTCATTCTGAAATATTATGGGTGATTTGTTATAAAATTCAGAATCTATGCTTGGATATTTGATTTTGATAATGTTAAATGCTGTCAAAAGTTCTAAGAAAAACATTCTAGCGTATGCATTGGGGTATCTAGGTTATTTCAACTGGCTTTATTTTTCTTTGCGATGGGCATATATAATTTATAAAAGTTTTCTATACTTCTGACATAATTATTTTAAGTCTTTCAAAAAAATTTTTTTTAAATTTATAACAAAAACAAAAAACTGAACAGTATTTATAACGACATCTTGGACATTGGTCCTCATCAATTTAGTTATTTTAAATGTATCCATTACAAATATCATAATTTACACAAACATATGTTATTAGTAATGTTTAAGTCAAGTTTATTAAGTATACTCTACTTAAAGTTATTTTTATTTTTTAATTAAATGCAAGAAAACTTTAAACATTTAGGGAAATTTGATGTAAGATATATGAGCAATACATCACAGGATGATAACAAAAACTTCTTCGAATTTTTATCATTTTAAACATGTTTTACTTGGATAAAAAAACAAAATAATAGATCAAGAACTTTGACATTTAATAATTAAATTGATGATGCACAACAAGAAAACTAGAATAAAGATACATATGTCAAATTTTAATTAAATTTTTAACATAATGATGGTCTGTCTAGTTTCTTTTGGAGTTTTTAACACAAAAATGATGCAATAGTAGGCAGATTTACAAGTATATTGCCAGCATATGGTAATATTTTCCATTTTGCATTGTGTAATTTTCACCACTTAAAAGTCATCTCTTTGATACCATACTAATGGCTAGTCATTTTGGTAGAATGTATACAAAAATATTACAAATGTATTTTTTTAACCATTCTAATAAGCATTATAACTGTAAAAAGATCTGATCAACTTCAGGTGTTACATTCTAGCATATACCACTGAGTTTGTCCCCTATGTTATACACAGGTCTTGTACTTGTATTTTTATTAATATTTGTTCTTTTAAATTTAAATAAAATGTTAACTTAGCAGTTTAAAGAATGTCCATGATAAATTCAGTCTGAGCAGCCTTCACCCCATTTGTAGTGTAAAATAGTTGTAATAATATCTAAGCTAATATAAATTGTAAACCAATTTTGATTATCGCAACTGGTTTTCACTTGAGAGATAAAAATAGTTATTTTTTCTGGGTTACAGACTAAAAAATTACAAATAATAGCAAAGAATAAAAATACTATTTTAGCCTAATTTAGAATTTTAAAAAATGCAAAAATTGAAAATGTACAAGATAAATGAGAGTTATCATAATTAATGGTGTTGAAAATATGGCTAACTCGTAGATCCTTATGAAGGTAAGAAAAAAGTGAGTCTGAAGTCAACCATGCACATCTACCAGCTAGACACGTAGTGATGATATTTATGTGGTAGGTAAGGACACCCATGTCCATAGTGCTGGTAATCATGATTGCTGGAATTTAATCAAGAGATTCATTTACATTAGGGAAAGCAAAATCTGAATGACAATTTTTATAAATAATAAAATAATGGGTTTGTCATTTGCGAGAGCACTGAGAGTGTCAGCACTTTATCAGTCGACAAGAATTGACTATTTCATGAACTTTAATGTTGTTGTGTTGTTCTGTTCTTCACTTCAGTGAAGTAATGATTAAGTCTGTTGGGCTAAGGATCTGGTAGAGTAGTATTATCAGTAAGGCAAAAGTGCATGCATTTCTCAATGATTAATTTAACAAATACAAATGATTTAAGTTATCTATTAGACATTAAATTAATTCAGTCTGAAAACGTCTCCATTGCTTTGGAAAACCATTCAGGCTCAGCTGTGGAAATTTTTTCAATAATGTTGTTGACTTGAAAGCAAAGACTTTGAATTTGTCGATCCCACATGGGCAAAGTTTCACGGGCTGTAATGAAGTAAGTGGACAGAATTAATACAGTCAATGAATTTTGTTTTAAATTCTAGATGCACTGACAAAAACTAAAGAACTAAGTTTTTTCAATAAAATGGTCACAATTAGTTATCATAATTAATGATTTTGCACTTTTATCTCTTTTCTGTACCAGAACTCTAGTTTTTCCATGGCTAAATCTTTATAATTTTGATGACTTTTTTTTACATAGTATCATGTTTTCTTCCGAAACAAGTTCTCATTAAATTGGACTTCAGCACATATTCTTGTTTTGTTGTTTACGTTAGTGTACATATCAGAGTAATTACATTTGACTGCCTTCAGTTCTGCAAAACACAGATGAGGCTGTGAGCCTTAATTTAAGAGTTTGGGTGTCTGAGTGTTAAAACATACCTTCAAAATGTACGGTGGAATCAATCTGATCAACATAACCATTCATACGACCTTCTGTGATCATCTGGGAGGCTATTTTTTCAGCCTGAAAATTAAAAATAATATTTTTTTTTTTATGTGCCTTGATCCAACCATCTATTTATTCAGAGAAAATTATATGTAAGACCAAAGAATTAATCCATTTTGCAAAGCAATATTATAAGGAACCCATTTGACGATACACGTTGGAAATTCATAATCTAAGTTTAATAATACATTCCAGCTTATCTTCAGAATACACCTGGTTCAGGAACAGCTAAGCCAAAGAAATGGTATGAAATTTCTAAGGGGGTTGAAATGACTTGTTTAGTGCACAATGATTCAAAATTTTCAATACAGAACAAGGTTTTGTTTAATCATGTGTCTAGACATTCAAGTGAAAATACATAAAACATAAATATGTAAAAGTATATGTGACAATCTTTTACTTACTATTTCAGTACCTATCCACCACTCTATTACTAAATTTTAAACAGAATTTCGAAACAGAAACTTAAGCCAAGCGCACACATCTCACTCACCTTTATTGGAGGTATCTCTAGCAAAGACCCAAGCTCTTCAAAAGAAATGTTGTTGTAAAGCTTACTGGCTGATAGTAAATTATGTTCAGTTACTGCCCTGTTTAATATTGTGGAGCCTGAAACATACGTTGTTGATATTATCAATGCTTGACAGATATTGTTGAGATTGATTTGTATAGAATATAAAATAGGCCCATAAAAGATATGAGTGCGGAATTTGAGGATTGCACTTGACAAACAAATGACAAGAAATACACACAAAATTTAAATGAGCAAAATTTGATATTTCTTGAATAATAAATCTAAAAATGTTCCATGTTCCTAATAGATAATTCAATATATCTTCTTTTAATACGCTTTGACTTTAACATGATAAAAGTTTAAGAAACTAATAATTTCAACACTGATATTTAGTCCCCACTTTTAACAGTTATCTGAATATATCATTTATCTAAATAGACAAAAATTCAAAAAAGCATCATTTAAATTGAAGCCACTGGGCTTCTTCATTTATTTTAGTTGCCATATAAAAGAAAGATGCATTTTAAAGAAACATATTTATCTACTTGTCTTAAAAGCAAAAAAAAATATTTTAACTGATTTGATTCATTTTGTTTGTCAGAGAATTTGATTTCCATTTCCTGACATTTGACAATGAGCTCTTATTAGTCAGCCAACAGTTTGCTGGTGGACATGAAAATAAAACAATTACTAATTTCTAATTACCATCAGGTGTAATGGCTTTTTGATGTGGCTGTAACAATGCTGCGAAGTCAAGTAGATCAGAGCTTCTAATGATTCTGTCTAGGTACCTTATCAAATATATTTAAACCAAACAAATTTTATAAGGTAAAACATATATACCCAGTAAAATAGTGTGGGAAGCAACAAATTGAATATACAAAATCTATACAAAAGGCAAAAGTTATATTTTTAAATATAAAAACTGAAGTCAGTCACTTAACAAAATTTAAAAAATACCATGAAAGATAATACTAACTGAAGATTTACAAAACTGGTAACTAAAAACTTTTAAAAATACAAAATATTACGTGTATGTTGAAATTAAATATTTCTAAAATAAATTCACTTGGATATATCATGATTTGAAATCAATTATAAAACAAGATTTGTTAAGTTTTAATTCATTTTGGTTTTAACCACCACAAATTGTTTATATTTTAAGTTATTAATAATGATAAGTTGAGAAAAAGATAGTTACATTTTTTCTAAAATATTGTATGCTGGTAACTGTTGACATCTCTCATCCTTGAAAAGTGTGGCTAACATTCGAGATCTTTGCTGACCTATATGAGAAAGATTTTTATTGAAATATTATTATATTTTTTTTTAAACAAAAAACATTCAAACTTGCTTTTAATTTTAAAATGAGTTTATACAGTGCTGTCTAAACATGGCTAAAATTAAAATCAACTGTTTTCAAATGAGGTGACAAATTTCTCTCCTATATTAGCTCATAACCTGAGTTTGAGCAAGTTTTGGTGTAGAGATATTTTGTGACACATTACGGTATGGTAAAGAGCTGATCACAAAAACATTTAAAAGGTATATTTTCCATAAAAAGGGTTTCCTTTTCTGATATAGCACACATTGCAAGCGATAGGAACTTCATTAACAGTAGACTAGATATGCTCCCGATATAAAGGGAAGTTTAGATTATTGTATAACCACACCTGCTGATGCTAAAACTGTGCAAATAAGTGCATTCTTCAAAGCAGTCATTCTTTCATCTTCAGATACAACACTCTTGAAGGAAAGTTCATTATACCGTTGAGCTGCTTCAATAAACTTGCGCCTAAAATCTAGGACACGAGCATAGCAGGCCTGGTAAACAGAAAAAAAAAAAAATTATATTAAATTTGTATGTTTCATCAAATATTTTAATGCAAATTACCATAAAAAATTATTTTGTTCATTCGCAATGATTCGATTTAATGTCTGACAGCAAAAAATGTAACAATTTATAAAAAGATGTTATCGTGAACTTAAATAAATTAGTATTATGGATATGCTTTCATAAAAACCTTGTAAACAATTTGCAGTTCCTCATTCTTTGACTCTGCCTGAAGCAGAGATGCTCTGTTAATATATGCATCAGCTTGATTGGCATCCTCATCTTCTAAAAATAATCTTGCAATCTTGAGATACGTCTCTAATTTATAATCAGGACTGTATTGTCTGTGGAATGAAGCATTTTATAACAAACATAATAAAAATGTGCAGGCTTAAAGTTTCATACAATTAAATGAAAACAAATAAAACCTATAACATTGAATTGAAATGTATTTCCAGAACAAGAGGTTATTAGCCATGATGGAATTTTACTTATTTTAATATTTTTTTATACACCTACAACATGATGATGATTACAAGTTGAGTAAAGTGAAGAAAAAGCATTTCATGGCTGCATTTTGTAAAAAGCATTCATTCGCATAACTTACTTCTGTCCAGTTTCTAAAGGTATCCCCACTAAAACATTAGCAGCTTCTCTCCAACTTTCTTCCCTTTCATAAATACTTGCAAGATGTTGTCTAATGGCTGCAACCTATTACAAACAGATGGTATACAAATTGGTATCTCAAAAAAATAAAAGTTCTACATAATTAAAAGGCTTTTCTAGAGTAATTGTCAGCTAAGAGCATATAAGCTTTTATTCACGTAAAGATTCTCCCAGATTTATTTTTTTTAAGCTTTCATTTTAATAATGCACTTTTTTTAATAAATTGATCCATCTCCGAAGTCTTTTTTATGTGAACTTTAACATTCCAAAAATCTGTGAAATCATGTAATATTGTTAAAAGGTCATGAAATATAATACCTGTTCCTCAAATGAAATCACCCGGGCTTGGATCTTTTCAAGAGTAAAGTGAGATACTTCCTTAGCCACCGTATCTGGCATGCGTGAAAGCTGAGCAGTGAAGTCAGTGAGTATTTGCCGTGAAATTACAAGACTGACACCTTCACTGACCACTTTAAAAGAAAAATCAAACTTATGAGCATTAAAATATTCTTAAGTAACAAAGAACATAAATTTGTTTTGAAACAAAATATTTTTTAACTCATATTTTTTTTAAATTTCAGAATTCAAGAATTAAATCCTCTGCTGCCTTAGCGAATGCCCCCGCCTCACAAATTTCCAAAATAGTGAGATTGGGGTAGGTTGAATGCAGAATTTGAGTAGTAAAATTTTACTCAATCTATAGAGGTCAAGGTCAATATCAAAATACATATATGACATAATATAATTACAAGTTATTTTCATACCGCAAGATATCTTGTCCTAATTACTTTCTGAAAATAAATGCTTGTAAGGGTCTCTGATACTATTCAGCTTAGGACTAAAATTGTCTTATGTTGCTATCAACGCTAGAGAGCAAATACTGTCATTACTAGCACATGGACTATCTCTGAAATCATTCTTTTCATTTGAATTAATTCCAATAAAGAATGTCTGTGTTGATTTTTCAATCTACAGAGGTGCCTTCTTGACTCAGCACCAAGACATAATCACAGTCCAAAGAACTGAGCAATCAATCCAATGTCTGTGTTGATTTTTTAATCTACAGAGGTGCCTTCTTGACTCAGCACCAAGACGTAATCACAGTCAAAAGAACTGAGCAATCAATCCAATGTCTGTGTTGATTTTTCAATCTACAGAGGTGCCTTCTTGACTCAGCACCAAGACATAATCACAGTCAAAAGAACTGAGCAATCAATCCAAAAACAAGCCCTGATAAAAGCATGTTTACACAAAGATTAACGGAAATAGGAAGCAAACTCATCTATACAGAGTGATTTCCCCTTAACCAACGTAAATTAAATCATTTGCATTTTTCATGACGATTTTGCTAGCGAGAGGCCAAGACACCACAGAAAGGGGCATTACGGCTGAATATTGGCCGTTATGACAGTTATGGGGTTAAAAACTTACAGGCCTCAATAAATGCTTGAAGAGACGGAACAAGTTCTGTTCCAGAAGATTTGATGATTCCCTCAAGTATGGCTTTGTACCTGAAATCAAATGAACAAGAAAGAGTAATGAAAATTCTATATTTAATAAAGTTTCTATTGTCAATTTCCCAAAGTCTTGTGACTTGTGCATTTTCAGTAATAAGATGAAGTCACCAAATTATTGCCTAAGCCCAAACTAAATCAAACATAGTTATTGATTTTATTTAAAATACAAAAAGTTATTTGAACCATTTGTATCAAAGTTCAGTTCTGACTGGCACCAAAGCATGATTTCATCTATTAGAAAATTAATCTATAAGAAAATTACAAATTAATCGACCACAAATTATTTATTATGTAAATGTACTTTGAAAATGAGATTGCCTACAGCAGGGGGTCACCAAACCTTTGTCACGACGACCGTGGTCGCCCGAAAAAAAAGGTAGATATTTTAATTCTGTACAGTGGCGGCCGAAAAAAATCGGCTGATAAAAAAACACGGTCAGATAGCAACTTCCAGTCCAATATTTAACCGGAATTAGAGCCACACTTCCTTTTATTAATAATTAAATCATCTTCCAGGTCAAGCTGTTTGTTGATAACTTAAAAATAAGTACTTTTTAATCATAGTTTTATATCGCTGTTCATTGTCCATATAACTAAAATGGATGAAGCTTTGGCTCGGCCTTCGGGTAAAAGTACCAAAAAATATTTTTGAAAGCTTTTTAGAGAGCATTCAAGTGGTACTGAAGATGATTTTAACATTCCCCATGAAGATCTTAGTTCGGAATCTTCTTTTAGTGAATCTGATACTAGTCCAGGTCATACTGAAGTGGGCCTACTGTTAGACTTCGAGCCATGCACGGAGATTGGGCAAGGACTGACTGAATTTTAGTCACAGATGCTACAGATTATAGATCAGAACTAATAAATTTTGTAGTTATACAACACAAATCGATTCCACAGTTCCTTTTTAAATGTTTACTTGTCAATAATAATTTTTTTACCTGAGATTTTATAAGTTGTACTGGTTTTAGCTATGGTCCAAGCTTCTTATTTTCTTTAGCAATAAATAAACTAAAAATTGCTTTCAGAGGCTTAATTGCAATCCAAACCTTAGCACACTATACATTTTCTGAGAGATAAATGAATTGGCTACCACAAAAGAATTAATGATGTTATGAGCACTTGAAAGCACGACATTGTATAGATTTTTTTTCTTGATAAACTGACGTCAGGGGGCCCGCAGTTTGGCGACCCCTGGCCTACAGTCTAACTAATTTCAGGTACTGGCATAGGTTTGTTTTGTTCTTTGCCATGAGTTGTCTCACAACAATTTTGAATAATCTACCACTTGAGCGCCGGCCAAGAAAAAATCCAATTGTTCCGATTTGAAGGGCTATTTAAACAATTATTCTTATATTGTTTTTTATGACATTGTACGTATTCATTCGAGCACATATATAATATATATATGCAAATGACACAAGACAATTATTTTTTAATAGAAAACTAAAACAATTTAATTTTTAAAAAAATCAAAATAGAAGAATTTAATTAATTTAAACAATTTAATGTGTGAAAATGAAATTATGCATAGTTCTCCCCCAAGGTGACAATGAAGTTTAAAAAAAAATATAATTTCCATGAAAACGGTAACGAAACATAAATTCATGTAAATATGAAGGGAAAAGATTGTGGCTTGTGCATAACAGTCTTTTCAGTTTGCGCTTTGCGCGCATCCACATGTTTTCCACATTCTGTGTGTGGACATCAGCGTCATCTGGATCAAAACATTTTTATTGATGTACCATAACGGAGTATTCATATTTACCATGTCTTATTTGGTTTATATTGGCATACGCCGCCCAACTGTCGGATACAATAAGTGATCCTGGAAGTATAAATCTTTTGATGCACTCTAGTAATGTTGTTGCACGTCCGTCTGGCACTTTAATTAGAAAGCAGCGCCCACTCTCTCTATCCACGCCACCGAAAACCCAGTGACCCTCTCTCCCCTGTCCACAGTGGTATTTCCTGTGGAAGTATTTTGTTTCATCGAATTCAACTACAATGGATTCTCCTTGATCGTCGAAACCCCCAAGCCAGCCAGGATGCGCACTCCTCCTGCATAAAATTGCACCAGTCCATCACAATTGTGACATTTGAGTCGTCAGCCTCACATGCCATCTGCAACTGTGGCATATCTGCATGCAACACAGGCCCACGTGAGACTGTCATGTCCTAGAGCGTATCTGTTTAACCTGCACAACCTATTGCAGACACCACATATCATGCTGTTTTTTAACAGGCGTCAACGCACACACCATCCTAGTGCTGAATTAGGGTCTGACGAATTTGGCAGTAGTGTGGACAGCCGCCATACTTCTTCATTTCGTATCTGATCAGTATCAAACACTTCAATTTCATGCATCGGCACTATCGTAGTCTCCCCTCTTTTTCTTCCTGCCATACTCGTAGCTTAGAAGTAATAATTATTTGGCTACCAATTATTTAAATGTATTGTGCTAAATAACTTTATAAGGAAGCGGAACCATTAAAGGACACCAATATTATCAATATAAGAATAATTGCTTAAATAGCCCTTCAAACTGGAACAACTGGATTTTTTCTTGACTGCCCCTCAAGTGGTAGATTACCCAATTTTGTTGTACTATTTGTTAATTGGTTGTTTATTTTTTTACACAAAGACAGTACTGGTAATGTATTTAAATTTTAATAATATTCTTAGGCTTAAATAATGAAACTACTGGACTGGATGAATTGAATGAATGTTATTTATGAAATGTTTTCTTTTTGTTTAAATAAATAACAATTAATAAAAAATGAGGCTAATGTAAAGCATGAATGCCACAGCGTCATTTGCTTGTTTATTATAGTTGCAGTGAATTAGGGTTTAGTTAAGGCAAGGCACAGGGATCGATTTAGGGTTCAGGTTAGGCATAGTATATGGATCGATTTAGGGTTCAGGTTAGCCATAGGGATCGATTTAGGGTTTAGGTTAGGCATAGCCAGCGATCGATTTAGATTTAGGGCATTAGTCGCGGTCATCGATAAAATAGTGGCATTCGTCCTTTACATTTACCAAAAAAGATTCATGAAAAGTATAGCATAGTACCAGTACTAATTATTAATAGTGTAGTATATAGTATGTATAGTGTATAAAGTACAGATAGGTCATGATCATAATATGAGTAGAGTCCGAGTATCATAGTATAGACATCATGAATCATGGTTATAAAATTAAAATAAGAGTAGTTAAGATTTCAGAAGAGAGTTTAGAGAGCTACCCAAAAGTGCAAAATACGCTAATTCATTTGCTGAGAACTCAAGACGCTAAATTAAGAAAGTATCCAAAAATAAATATGCAATTAATTTTAAAGCGCTTATACTTTTCTGTCACATCTTTGTGTGATCCACTTGAGTGAGACAAACTGATCAACTGATTCAGCTGTTGTTTAACGGTGGCAGACATTTTTAATCCGGAACTGGTTTTTGTTATAGGATAAAATGGTATTCTGTTTTTCCACAATAAATATGATAATATTTTCGCATTTTTTTTAAAGTCTTGATTGGTTTGGTGAGGAAAAAAGGTTTGGAGGGGGGGGGGGGCGGGAGGGAGGATTGTTTATGAATTTTAAGGTGGAAGCTTATTTTTGTCCTTTATTTATTGATCACTTGACACTGACTGTTATGAAAAACGATGCCTTGTGATTTATGATGGAATGGGGGGAAGATAAATTATAATTTATTTAAATAAAATACTTTTTAAAAATAATATAGGCTACATTAAACAAATTTAATTTTAAAAAAAGATAAATAATACTTTCGCTTTTTTTAATCTGAGTTTTAATATAAATTCATTTTGATAATAAAAATAGGTCAATTAACATGTATATGCTTTTTTTCTTTTTAAGTTGCTCTGTCCTTAAGTGTGGTTAAATAGTGCATTTCAAGCCGATACTGTGTACACTCTCCCCCCCCCCCAACCCAGACACACCCACACACACACACACACACCATCAAGCCGATACTGTGGACACTCTCCCCCCCCCCAACCCACACACACCCACACACTCACACACACCCACCCACACACACACACGCACACACACGCGCGCGCGCACCACACCATGACAGCACAACCCATCATGATCTGTAGGTTACAGTGACCTTCACTGACCCTTGATGGACCTTCGCGGAAATTTCATGAGCGGGAAGTGATAGGCTAGGGACCTTGGGTTTTCACTACCACAGCGTTTTCTTGTGCATGGTTACTCCTTCCAACTTCAAGATTTAGATCTAAATCAACAATGACCACACACAAAAAGTTACCACAGGAAAGTCACTATCCAGTACTGAAATCTTCCAAGAATGAAAAGTATAGAATGAAACAATATACACAAATTATTTTTTTTAAAGATATTTAAACAAGGTTTTCCAAAAATGTACTAAAAAGAAAAAAAATAAATATCCACCAAACTTAAGATCTGTTATAAACTTTAAAAAAAAAATAGCGTGGGACGCACATTAACTCAATTTTCTTTGTAAATAACAAAGACACGTACGCAGCAATATCGCAAATTGCATTCCACTTGTCAAGGTCACGGTCGATGGGAGCATACAACAGTAATGCAAGACAGTTGTGGGAGCTCAAATTCCAATGATTGAATAATCCATATCATATTCATAACAATCGTGTCACATGACACTTACTTGCAGAAATGAAAAACATATACTTGTGTTTAACATTTGATTTGTCAAGTCAAACGTCAGCATCGTATTTCAAGGGCGCCCCTCGCTTTTTAAGTCATATGACCGATACAACAGTCAAGTTTTGGTGGACATTTAATTGATACTTCTTTTTTGGGGTACATTTTATTAAAATCGTGCTTTTAAAAAGGGTATTTTTATACTGTTTTATTTTAAATCCTAGACCAGTGGTTCTCAACCTGTGGGTCGCGACCCCCTTGGGGAGTCGCACGACCCTTTCACAGGGGTCGCCTAAGATCATCGGAAAACACATATTTATGTAGTAGCAACGAAAATAAGTTATGGATGGAGGTCACCACAACATGAGGAACTGTGTTAAAGGGTCGCGGCATTAGGATGGCTGAGAACCACTGTCGTAGACCATAAAGTGCTACAAATATAACAGTAATTATTTTTATTAAGGTGTACATTCCGCTAAAATTTAACATATTATTAAGTAATTTAAAAAAGATATGACTAAATTACGTATTTTAGTATCAATATTTGTGTACAAGCAACCTTCACTAAAGGCAGCGGTTCTCAACCTGTGGGTCGCGACCCCTTTGGGGGTCGCGGGACCCTTTTCCAGGGGTCGCCTAAGACCATCTGAAAAAATATATCCTTATGAAGTAGCAACGAAAATAATCGTGTGGCTGGGGGGTCGCCATGACACGAGAAACTGTATTAAGGGGTCGCGGCACTAGAAAGGTTGAGAACCACGGACTAAAGGCATCACGCCTTAGATCATTTTTGACACACAAATAAATGTACAAGAAAGGAAGTTTGCGTCACTGAAATATAACAAAAAAACCTCTCTATTGTTTCCCTTTAAAAGTAGAAGAGTCTTTTTAAATTGCATCTTTTCCTTTTCCCCACGATTAAGAGTGAACTAAAAAAAAAATACATTGCCCAAATCGCAAATTATGAAATATGTCATAGAATTATCCATGTATCCATCCAACGACCTAAAGGGGGATACAATAAAGGGAAAAATGAAAGGACTGCGATAGACGTACACACAGCCGTTAGTTATCATAATCATAGTGGCTTGTTTGTTTTATTCTAAATCAGTGTTCAATCGAACATGGTCTAGTTATACAAAGAAAACTATAAGTAAACGAATGCCTATCTCGTCTGCATCCCTTACCCCTCTCTTGCTATACCATGTGCACCCCCCCCCTTCCCCCCCCCCCTCCCCCCCCCCCCCCCCCTTTCCCCCCAACCTTCCCCCCCCCCCCCACGCCTTACAAGCTCGCCTCTTAGCTCAGAGCAATTCATCCACATTGGATTCGCAGCATCGCACAAATGTGCTGGTTCCTCCTCGTGGGGCACCGCGCGCGCTAACCCCGCTGCTGAGTTCCAGGGTCAAATGATGATAAGACTCGTCTATAGTAGGCCTACAATCACAGCACAATGAGCGCCTAAAAAATCCGCCGTGTGTGTGTGCAGCGAATTGTAAACATTGGGTTCGCAAATAAGCGTTATTAGAACCCCAGTAAATGGAAGCAAGCAATCGTCTGGCAGTGGTCACTCGCCAAAGGTCAACTCCTCACTCACTCCCGGATACAACACGAGTGAACGAGTTGCCGTGTTTTCATCCTAATGTTAGGAAAGTCGACAGCAACAGTGGACATTCTGGGATTTGATAGTAAACAAAGTGTTTTTTTTTTTTTTCTTCACACATACCATCTTACACAACACGTGTTGGAAGTACCCGGCTTCTAGCACCACTAGGTTACGTAGCACCACGGCTTTGGTGTTTGGAGAATTGGTGTTTAATCTTCATGACTGATATGTTGGAGTCGTTGTTTATGAGGAAAGATGTTTCAAAAAGAGTGTTGTTTTGAATGTGTAAGTGCTGGGTGAGTTCAAACTTTCTCTTCTAAGCACGGCATGGAAACCTGTTTGCGTTCATCTTTTATACAAGAAATTAGGAAATGTGCTTGCTTGTGTTAATTGTGAGTTCAAATTTGTATTAAATTTTTAATCAAACCATCTCCAGGGTGAATCGGCACCCTTGTTATTTTAATATATAATATGCATTTGTTGTTGTGTAGTTGCGTTTAATGTTAAAGGTTGGCAAGATTGTGTATTGAATGAAAAAGAATGTTTAACAAATAAACTACATTGATACCTCGAAGTCATGTACGTGTGTGTGTCGAGGATTGCTGATCTGTCTTGAGACACGAAGTCATGTTCGTGTGTGTGTGTCGAGGATTGCTGAACTGTCTTAAGACAAGAGACAGCCAATAATCCTTCCTTTATACTAGAGATAAGACTTGGTCATAACAGTGGGGATAACATTCCTTGCATTGTTACCCGGATAACAACGGGTGACCCTTCGTGTGTACTATGCAATAGCGGAATGTTGCCTATAATATAATAAACTACAGATGTCCCACATCCGGGCCCGATATTTTAGAATAGAGGCGTGTCGGTTTCGGAAAATAGCCGGCTACAGTGGCTCCAGGTGTCATCAATGGGCGTGTCTATGTACACTTACATATCCCAGAGTTGCTATTGGTTAAAACCAGCAAAATCTCCCCAAAATGGAAGAGTTATCATGATCAAATTTTTCAATTATGTCTGAGTTCGGAGCCTTTTAAAAACTCCATATATTTGGTCACAATTTTAAAAAAAACACAAATTATTGACCCAAATGACGGGACAATATCAATATTTCTAAATGCTTGTTTGTTTATGTATGATAAAAAACTAAGGTTTTTTGGATGTCCGTCTTCTTTACCATCGGAATGTTTCCAACATGACTCCACAGATGTATGTTGGGACTGAGAGTCTTTGTTTCTAGCCTGATGAGAGCTGTGCACACTCTAACACGGCATACAGCCGCTACACATGTACACGTCAGACACTCACGAGCTTACACACTGAGGTCATGTGTAATGAGATAAGTAGCTAGAGAGAAAAGACAGTTTCATCAACCGTGGCTCAGCTGTTCGCTCAGCTGTTCGGTGGGATGCTCTGAGGGGGTTGATTTGAAAACGTGGAGTGGGGGGGGGGGCTGGGGGTGGTGATGGGGAGTTGGGGTGGTGATGGGGAGTTGGGGTGGAGATTTGGCCTTGACAAGTTTAAAAAATTCTTGAGAATGGCAGGAAGGAATCTCCCCCGTTGTGTCAATGTGTCACGTGATGTGTGGGCCACTTTTCTTGATCTTCCTCACCGTAAACATGATCCTAGTTCTTCTATTTGTTGATCTCGACACCTCCGTTGGATCATCGTTTATTGATCTACAAAAGTTCGATGGACTAAAATACCTTTATCTCCACCAATGCTACCACGTTATTAATGGAAGCCACACCTGCTCGTTAACCTGGCTGCCTAAGTTGTCACACTTGCTCGTTAACCTGGCTGCCTAAGTTGTCACACCTGCTCGTTAACCTGGCTGCCTAAGTTGTCACACTTGCTCGTTAACCTGGCTGCCTAAGTTGTCACACCTGCTCGTTAACCTGGCTGCCGAAGTTGTCACACCTGCTCGTTAACCTGGCTGCCGAAGTTGTCACACTTGCTCGTTAACCTGGCTGCCTAAGTTGTCACACTTGCTCGTTAACCTGGCTGCCTAAGTTGTCACACCTGCTCGTTAACCTGGCTGCCTAAGTTGTCACACCTGCTCGTTAACCTGGCTGCCTAAGTTGTCACACTTGCTCGTTAACCTGGCTGCCTAAGTTGTCACACTTGCTCGTTAACCTGGCTGCCTAAGTTGTCACACTTGCTCGTTAACCTGGCTGCCTAAGTTGTCACACTTGCTCGTTAACCTGGCTGCCTAAGTTGTCACACTTGCTCGTTAACCTGGCTGCCTAAGTTGTCACACTTGCTCGTTAACCTGGCTGCCTAAGTTGTCACACCTGCTCGTTAACCTGGCTGCCTAAGTTGTCACACTTGCTCGTTAACCTGGCTGCCTAAGTTGTCACACTTGCTCGTTAACCTGGCTGCCTAAGTTGTCACACCTGCTCGTTAACCTGGCTGCCTAAGTTGTCACACTTGCTCGTTAACCTGGCTGCCTAAGTTGTGCCATCCATATAGACATGACTAGGTTCACACCCATTTAGGCGTGACTAGGTTCACATCCATATAGACGTGACTAAGTTCATATCCATAAAGGCGTGACTAGGTTCACATCCATTTAGGCGTGACTAGGTTCATATCCATATAGACGTGACTAGGTTCATATCCATATAGGCGTGACTAGGTTGCATATCCATATAGGCGTGACTAGGTTCACATCCATATAGACGTGACTAGGTTCATATCCATATAGGCGTGACTAGGTTCACATCTTGACTGAATATAAAAATAGCATTAATGATTAGAATTTGAGCGCTTGTACCACATTGTGTTGTAAACCCAGAGCCTCGTTTTGGTTTTGTTTCAAGTTAATTTCATTTTAAAAATTGAGAATAAAAATGGATAGAAAGGACCACTAATGAGTGCTTATTCGATGTGCTTTCTTGTGGTGATATTGTGCCAAATATCTCGACGAGTTTTGTGATAGTGGTAGGTCAGGATAAGTTTTGTGATGGTGGTAGGTCAGGATAAGTTTTGTGATGGTGGTAGGTCAGGATAAGTTTTGTGATGGTGGTAGGTCAGGATAAGTTTTGTGATGGTGGTAGGTCAGGATAAGTTTTGTGATGGTGGTAGGTCAGGATAAGTTTTGTGATGGTGGTAGGTCAGGATAAGTTTTGTGATGGTGGTAGGTCAGGATAAGTTTTGTGATGGTGGTAGGTCAGGATAAGTTTTGTGATGGTGGTAGGTCAGGATAAGTTTTGTGATGGTGGTAGGTCAGGATAAGTTTTGTGATGGTGGTAGGTCAGGATAAGTTTTGTGATGGTGGTAGGTCAGGATAAGTTTTGTGATGGTGGTAGGTCAGGATAAGTTTTGTGATGGTGGTAGGTCAGGATAAGTTTTGTGATGGTGGTAGGTCAGGATAAGTTTTGTGATGGTGGTAGGTCAGGATAAGTTTTGTGATGGTGGTAGGTCAGGATAAGTTTTGTGATGGTGGTAGGTCAGGATAAGTTTTGTGATGGTGGTAGGTCAGGATAAGTTTTGTGATGGTGGTAGGTCAGGATAAGTTTTGTGATGGTGGTAGGTCAGGATAAGTTTTGTGATGGTGGTAGGTCAGGATAAGTTTTGTGATGGTGGTAGGTCAGGATAAGTTTTGTGATGGTGGTAGGTCAGGATAAGTTTTGTGATGGTGGTAGGTCAGGATAAGTTTTGTGATGGTGGTAGGTCAGGATAAGTTTTGTGATGGTGGTAGGTCAGGATAAGTTTTGTGATGGTGGTAGGTCAGGATAAGTTTTGTGATGGTGGTAGGTCAGGATAAGTTTTGTGATGGTGGTAGGTCAGGATAAGTTTTGTGATGGTGGTAGGTCAGGATAAGTTTTGTGATGGTGGTAGGTCAGGATAAGTTTTGTGATGGTGGTAGGTCAGGATAAGTTTTGTGATGGTGGTAGGTCAGGATAAGTTTTGTGATGGTGGTGAGGGTGAGTTTTGTGATGGTGGTAGGTCAGGATGAGTTTTGTGATGGTGGTGAGGGTGAGTTTTGTGATGGTGGTAGGTCAGGATGAGTTTTGTTAGGATGGTAGGTCAGGATGAGTTTTGTTAGGATGGTAGGTCAGGATGAGTTTTGTTCAACTTCAGTTTTGTTTTAAACGCCATTTGAAAGCATCATGATGTAGAACTGTGCTGAAACGATTGAATACCCAAACAATGCCGTCTAGGATTGAGACTAGATTTGGAGCGGGGAAAGTTCATCCTTTCATTCACTCTTTCTAAAAATTCTTGATCCGTCCGACAGAGGGCATCGTGGTCTAAGAATCTGGGAAAAGGGCATGGAGTCTTTGCATGATTTTTTTTTGTTTTTGTTTTTGTGTTTTTTTTTTTTTTTTTTTTTTTTTTTTTTTTTTTTTTTTTTTTTTTTTGTTTTTTTTTTTTTTTTTTTTTTTTTTTTTTTTTTTTTTTTTTTTTTTTTTTTTTTTTTTTTTTTTTTGTTTTTTTTTGGGCTTTTTTTTGTTGTTGATATCAATCTCACGTTTTCTGAAATATTTATTTTAGAACATTCTGGTGAACATAATAAAATTGTGGGTTTTTTCGAAAGTATCACCATAGCAATAGCGAAAATACAGGGAATCTAATTGGAGACTAAATGCATACCAAGGCAGACACGTCTTGTGTCAAAGATAGAAATAATAAGGCGTTACTATGGAGGTCACGTGACATCAAGAAAACATGTTTACGTTTTTTTTAAAAAGAGTTTAAACATCTTAGAATTTTTTTTTTTTAATTTTCTTTTATAATACATTTACTTGTGGGCTTGTGTGAGTGGCTGTTTAATTTGGAAGGTGGGTGGGTGGGAGGTTGTGTGGGTGGGAGGTTGCGTGGGTGGGAGGTTGCGTGGTGGGAGGTGGTGTGGGTGGGAGGTGGTGTGGGTGGAGGTGGCGTGGGTGGGAGGTTGTGTGGGTGGGAGGTTGTGGGGGTGGGAGGTTGTGGGGGTGGGAGGTTGTGGGGGTGGGAGATTGTGGGGGTGGGAGGTTGTGTGGGTGGGAGGTTGTGTGGGTGGGAGGTTGCGTGGGTGAAGGGTTGCAAAAAAGAAATTGGGGTGGGGTGGAAGAGCCTCTTTGTCTGAAAAGTAATCTCATATTATTTATACAATAGTTTGGTGGTCCCAATCCCACTTATCGTGACTCATGGAATGATCAAAGTCTCCGTCTACTGTAAATGGTCATCAATGCTAATGTCTGGTTTAAAAACAATTTTATTTTATTAATACCATTTTAAAAGGTTGGAGAAAGCTGTTCAAACATCGGAGAAAGCTGTTCAAACATCGGAGAAAGCTGTTCAAACATCTAACTCTCAAGTACGTTGAGGTTGGTTACTAAAGTACATTCAGTTTGGTTACGGTTTCATTAAATTTCCGAGCAGTCTCACTTTCATAAAACTTAAACATTTATTGGCATTCGAACATGCTGGATGATGTTGCTCGATGTCACACTGTCACACGAGTTACACTGTTAAAGACCCCAAGTGCCACATGAGTTATACTTTTACACTCATAGACATTGTCCTATTTTGTTATATTCCCAAGGACCTTCTACTATTTTTTTGTAATCTTCCCAAGGACCTTCTACTATTTTTTTTTAATCTTCCCAATGACCTTCTACTATTTTTTTTAATCTTCCCAATGACCTTCTACTATTTTTTTTTAATCTTCCCAATGACCTTCTACTATTTTTTTTAATCTTCCCAATGACCTTCTACTATTTTTTTTTAATCTTCCCAATGACCTTCTACTATTTTTTTTTAATCTTCCCAATGACCTTCTACTATTTTTTTTTAATCTTCCCAAGGACCTTCTACTATTTTTTTTAAATCTTCCCAATGACCTTCTACTATTTTTTTTTAATCTTCCCAATGACCTTCTACTATTTTGTTATATTGCAAATGACCTCCTACTACTTTGTTTTATTCCCAAAGACATTCTCCTATTTTGTTATCTCGGGGACATTCTACTAATTAGTTATGGAGAATACGGTATTTTTTTTAATCTATCATCAGTTTTAAAGGCGCCCCCCCCCCCCCCCCAACAACACCCCAGCCCGGCTCCTGGGTGCACGAGTGTCGTACTTTCTAACCATGACGAACACCAAAAGTAGGTCAAAGTATTAAATACACGTGCAGATCCTAAACCTCTATGTGGGGGTGAGACAAGAAAATTTCCCATCCAATCTGGCACTAAGGGCCACCTTTGTTATGAGTAACGCACGGTGTCAGGTAGGTCAGTTGGGGAGAAGGAAGTAGGCTGGAAGCACTGTGGCTGTTTGCAGTGGGGGGGGGGGGAGATATACTATCAACAAAACTAAAACCCACGTTTAAAGTTGGAATTGTAATGACGCGGTTCTGGCACTGTCACAAATGATGGCCCAGAGAATGTTTACAAGAGTAAATAGCAATGCTTTAAGCCAAGGGTAGCTGTTACCCTGAGATATCTTTGTTCAAGTCGACTTGGGAAGGGAGGGGGAATTCCGGGCGGCGTTTTTGTCTACATGTGTGGGTGCAGCATTTTTGTCTACATATGTGGGTGCAGCATTTTTGGCCAAACGGCACGATTTATTTCGTGGAATGGGGTCGGAAAAAGTCTTAGCCCGCCCCAGTTGGCACTTAACCTATTTACACCACCTACCCCCTCCCAATGATTCTAAAGGGAGAAAATGGACTATTTAAATTTTAAAAAAATATTGATCTATTCATACTGAGAATAAAACTATGAATATAAGAAGTATAAAGTAATTTGTGAAAAAATAAATGATTAAAGTACGGTACGGAGCAAAATGATTTCACGGAAAATATTTCTCAAACGTTTCTGTAGAAATGTTTTTTTTTCATTATTTATATATATTAGATATATCCCGCCAAACATTGGCGACCGCAATGCACGAACTTCCCATCTGCTAACGTTACTTGACAATAATATGAACTCAAGGAAAGAGTTACTCAAGTAAATTAAGAACTTAAGAATCCCAAGTTTTGCTACACCCTTTCCCCATGATACGTCATTGCAACCTTTTTATTACACGCCCTTGAACTATATTAAATATTATGATGTCCCAACCACTTTTAAACGGAATATTTTCTCTACTGTGCTTAAATTGAGACGATTTCATTTTCCGAAAAGAAAATTTACGCCCAAAATGCAGTTGCGTTTTATATATATACTAGAATAAATGACCCGATGTTATCGGGATAATAATGGTAGGTCCTTTGCGATAATTTCTAACTGCTATTGCAAAAACTCATCTAAATTCATAACTTTTAAAATGTAATGATATTTACGTTTCTAACATCATTACGTTTTGAGAAGTCCTTATCAAATATATATGATACGCATATCCTACACCCTTTCGCGCTCCTAAACTACTTTCCCCTTCTAAACATGACCTTAAATTACCAAGTCTAAATTATCACCAATTATATCACTTTTGTCACTAAAGAAGTTAAGTGAGGGAAAATTACTACGCTAGAGAAATACTTTAGATTTACCCCTTTTTTGTGCCTTTGCATTACAACTGTTTTCTCTCAAAATTTAAAAAAAAAACTAATCTTAAATTTACAACAAAAACTCTATATATAATATAAATATATTTTGTATTACAGGAATTCGATATATATTGATATCTTCATCAAAAATTTAAACAAATTTTTTGCCATTTTTTTAACAAAATTATACATTATCAGATATCATAAAACAAAGAATTATTTTATCTAAGAAGAATCTCGCAACTGTTTTCATGCCTATATCAGATTTGACTGTCTTTAAAAAAAAAATTAAATTGTTAATCTCATAAAAATACACACCTCTTTACTTTTTGCAAAGTAACAACAAAAATTTATGTTCATTTAAAAAAAAAAAAGAAAATATTAACCCATCTTCATTTGTCAAAATTTAATTTTCAAGTGTGTAAAATGATTGGGTTTTGATATTCCTGGATATACTTATATAAACGTTCCCAAGATTTGTTAACGTTATTGATTTTATTAATTGGTAAACACATGTTTATTTGAAAAAAGAGAATTTAACATCCTTTTTTTCACAAATTTAATACCATAGGATTTAAATATACTGTCACCCACGTAAAAATGTACAGATCCTATTTCCTACCACCGATATGTATGTACCCAAGAAGGTTAATTATTTATCAAATTAATTCCTTTACTTTGAGACGTTTCTTGTGTTGCCTGGAACAAAGTGACCAACCCCTCCCCTCCCCCCCCCCAGATTTAAATAAATTTAGAATATCTTCCACCTTCCATACCCAAACTAACATATTTTGCACTTCATATGTTTCGATCTTATTTGTATGAGGTAGGCCTAAACGTGGATAAGTAAATGCTATTTAGCTATAGAGTTGGGCTGCACTGATTGACTTAAACCGCATTTTCTTATTAGAATTATGTTTAAAGGTTAGTTTTTATTACGTTATAAATTTAATAAAAGTATATTTTTGGAATAAAAAAAGGCAAAACTTGATAAAAGCAAAAATGTGTGTGTGTGTGTTTTATTAACAGTTTAAATGCAATCAATTGTATTTATTAATTTTACTTTTAAGAAGGGAAAATGCATTATCAGTTTTGTCCCTCGCAGTTATTAAATTTAAAGAAACCTAAGAGTTTTGACGAAATAGGCTATTCGCACTATGACGGTATTTGTGTGATTATTTAGAACATATTAATTTTAATTTTACTTTGCAATATTAACAACACACTAAAAGACGCACTAAAAACACAGTTGCTTGAGTTTTCCCGATAAATGTGATTACGGCGCAATTTTTTGATCATGATTATTTTATAAAATGCCTAAAATAGTTCATTAGTTGATATTTTAAATTTATTTGTAATTTATAATGATTTAGCTTTAACTTTTAATAAAATAAAAGCGGGTTTAAAATATTTTTTGCGCATTTAAATTTATTCGATTTCCGTAAAATAATAGAAAATAACTATGATTGTTTTTAATAATCCGAAAGTAATTAAATCGTTTAGGTTCTTTGGCGTTGTATCACTTTAGCTCATTCTTATAATATAAATATTATTTAGTGCAGTTATCGGGAATTATATTTTGCGCGCTATTGATGTCATTATTGAACCATACTTTCTTTCAAACATTTAGAATTATTTGTAATATACTCTCGATACCAAATTCGCAGATTAGGAAGCAGTCCACGGGTCACACCAGAAGCGTAATCTATAAAAGAGATATATGAAGTCAGAAAATTTGGCTTCTGTTTTATTATCGATTTCCCGTGCTGAACTGTACAGGCGAAACTGAGTTGTTGACACCAGGGATTTGGGTCGGAGCTTGAAGTTGAAGCTCAGAGCTCTTGAGCAGCGTCTTTTTGCCCGGAGCTAAAGCGCAGTTGGAGCCGGTAACATTTCTATGTTGCCCCAACCCTCCAACAGTGTTGCTTTCCCGTCTATTCTACGATCTATGTTGCCCCACTCTTTTACCAGCTTTGCTGATGGTGCATGCATGTCTGATGTCTGGCTCATAAGAAGTTGTTAGTGACAAGAATTCAACAAAATATTTCTCTTTAACACTTAACAACCCTTTAATAACCGCTTAACAACCCCTTAACAACCGCTTAACCCGAGCTCGGAGTGGAGGTGCACCGGAGCTAAGAAGTTTAGTCATGAGCGAGGCCCAGGCCCAAAAACGCGTCTGCACCAAATCCCTCGCTGACACAGTGTGGTGTGTCACGACTATTGCACTAAATCCCTCGCTGACACAGTGTGGTGTGTCACGACTATTGCACTAAATCCCTCGCTGACACAGTGTGGTGTGTCACGACTATTGCACTAAATCCCTCGCTGACACAGTGTGGTGTGTCACGACTATTGCACTAAATCCCTCGCTGACACAGTGTGGTGTGTCACGATTATTGCCCTAAATCCCTCGCTGACACAGTGTGGTGTGTCACGACTATTGCACTAAATCCCTCGCTGACACAGTGTGGTGTGTCACGACTATTGCACTAAATCCCTGGCTGACACAGTGTTTGTGTCATGACTATTGCACTCAATCCCTGGGTGACACAGTGTTTTGTGTCACGACTATTCCACCAAATCCCTGGCTGACACAGTGTGTTGTGTCATGACTATTGATCCAAATCCCTGGCTGACACATTGGGGTGTGTCATGACTATTGCTCCAAATCCCTGGCTGACACAGTGTGCTGTGTCATGACTATTGTACCAAATCCCTGGCTGTCACAGTTTTTTGTGTTCTGACTATGGCACCAAATCCTTTGCTGACACAGTGTGGTGTGTCATGACTATTGCTTCAAATCCCTCGCTGACACAGTGTGTTGTGTCATGACTATTGCACCAAATCCTTTGCTGACACAGTGTGGTGTGTCATGACTATTGCATCAAATTCCTGGCTGACACAGTGTGTTGTGTCATGACTATTGATCCAAATCCCTGGCTGACACAGTGGGGTGTGTCATGACTATTGTACCAAATCCATGGCTGACACAGTGTGGTGTGTCACGACTATTGCACTAAATCCCTCGCTGACACAGTGTGGTGTGTCACGACTATTGCACTAAATCCCCGGCTGACACAGTGGGGTGTGTCATGAATATTGCTCCAAATCCCTGGCTGACACAGTGTTTTGTGTCGTGACTATTGCTCCAAATCCCTGGCTGTCACAGTGTGTTGTGTCGTGACTATTGCTCCAAATCCCTGGCTGACACAGTGTGTTGTGTCGTGACTATTGCCCCAAATCCCTGGCTGACAGTGTTTTGTGTCCTCACTATGGCACCAAATCCCTGGCTGACACAGTTTGTTCTGTCCTGACTATGGCACCAAATCCCTGGCTGACACAGTGTGCTGTTTCGTGACTATTGCTCCAAAGCCCTGGCTGACACAGTGCGCTGTTTCGTGACTATTGCTCCAAAGCCCTGGCTAACACAGTGCCTGGTGTCGTGACTATTGCTCCAAAGCCCTGGCTGACATAGTGCGCTGTGTCGTGACTATTGCTCCAAAGCCCAGGCTGACACAGTGTGCTGTGTCATGACTATTGCAAAGTTTGTTTGAGAAAAAAGAGTGATGTCATTAAAGTCACTTTGACTCGGCTTTCTTTTTTTTCATTTTTAAGCAATTGTTATTTAAAAATTAAATAGTACTTAGTTTTTCTATCATCTAAAGATTCAATTATAATAATAAAACCCAGAAAATAATTTATATTTAATATATATATATTTGTGTGTGTGTGCGTGCATTCGTGCGTGTGTGCGTGTGTGTGTGTGTGTGTGTTTAAACGCCCTTAAAAGTGTAAACTAATTCTTAAATTTATAGATGAATCGCGAAAATAAAATCTATGAAGAAACTATTTTTCAAAAAGTATTTTTAATTTTTATTTTAATTTAAGTTTCTTCTACAATTAATTCGAATATTTTTTTTACCTCACAGATTGTCTTACAAACTTTCTGTACAGACATTAGAAATCCTGTAGCCGGTATTAATTTTAAGTGGGTGTGTGGAAGAAAGAAAAACGTTTGCTAGCCCAGATCAAATACTGAAGACTTATGTAAGAAAGTTTCTATATGCTTTTAGAACAGGGTATAACATTACTACTGTACTTATGGGACCTTCCAACTCAATCAGTGATTAATGACATACGTACGAGGGGCACAAACTCCGCGGCAGCTCACATCATTCATTTTTAATGGTTCGTCTCGTTTTAAGAGCCGTGCTTTTAATATTACTTGATGGATCCCCCAACCTTCAAACACACACACACACACACACACACACACACACACACACAGTGTCACACAGAAACAAGTATTCCGTATTTAATTTAAACCAAACAATCTTACAGCGTCAAGAGTTTTTTCAAGAGTCACATTTTATTTAGAATATTAAAATGTACAGATAAGTTTTAGGGAAATTGTAAGATTTTTTAAATGTATTTGTCATATTCGTTGTTTATTTCAATTATTTGACTTTATTGACAAGAATTTCTCTACCAATGAAGATTAAGTTGATTCCTTTGGACGTCTTCATGAGATGCGGTATCAGAATACAAGAGAGCTCCCCTAGTTCACCGTAAAACTAATTACACTTTGTTGTTTTTTGAGTGCGGATAGCTTTAGGCAACAACCCTTTTGGGTGTGACAGTAGTTAGATGTGTATAACAGTGGTTGGATGTGTATGACTGGTTGAATGTATAGCATTGGTTGGATGTGTATGACTGGTTGAATGTGTATGACATTGGTTGAATGGGAATGATATTGGTTGGATGTGTATACATTGGTTTACCGAGTGGCCGAATGGTCTAAACTGAGCAAACCTCAAGTTGGTGGTCTGGTGTTCAAGTCCAGCCAAAGGCCAGTGAAGCAAAAACATCACCCCGGGTGGATGAGACTCGTTATCCTTGGTCGGCAACTCATCTAAGAGAAGGAAACTCTGAATTCAAACCCGGAGTTGGAGTCCCGTAAGGCGCAAACAATGACAATTCCTGCAACCGAACCCATCCCTGGTCGTCTTGACGTACAGTCCTGCCACTGGATATAGTGGGCTCGGAAGAGAGAGTGAGGTTGACGCTGCGCAACTCTTCCTCACTTTAAACAAAGACACCCGCGCAAGTCATCAGTCACCAGACGACTCGATGGTCCTCGTCGATCCGACGGACGAACAATATATAAATATATATATATATATATATATGTTATACATTGGTTTAAAATGTATGACAGTTGTTGAATGTCAATAACATTTGGTTGGATGTGTAACATTGGTTGAATGTGTATAACATTGGTTGAATGTGTATAACATTGGTTGGATGTGTATAACATTGGTTGGATGTGTATAACATTGGTTGAATGTGTATAACATTAGTTGGATGTGTATAACATTAGTTGGATGTGTATGACATTGTTTGGATGTGTATAACATTGTTTGGATGTGTATAACATTAGTTGGATGTGTATGACGTTGTTTGGATGTGTATAACATTAGTTGGATGTGTATGACAGTGGTTGGATGTGTATAACATTAGTTGGATGTGTATGACATTGTTTGGATGTGTATAACATTAGTTGGATGTGTATGACATTGTTTGGATGTGTATAACATGAGTTGGATGTGTATGACATTGTTTGGATGTGTATAACATGAGTTGGATGTGTATGACATTGTTTGGATGTGTATAGCATTTTTTGGATGTGTATAACATTAGGTGGATGTGTATGACAGTGTTTGGATGTGTATAACATTAGTTGGATGTGTATGACATTAGTTGGATGTGTATAAAGATTCTTAATATTAAGCAGTTGAATGGTTTAATTCACAAAACAACAGAGTAAACATATACACATACATATACATGCATCAACATTAATTATTGCTTTTATGCAAAACTAAACTCTTGTTATTTCAAGTTGTTAGAAACATTTGCTTGTAATTATTTAGTGACAATTAGTGACCAGTAAGAACTGCAGAACTCATCACGTGCTGAGTGGTGGTTTGTATTTTTGTTCCTACAGGTTATGTCCAAATTTTACTTAACAAACATTATTACTTAAATGTCCATTGCTCGGGATAAGGCGTAGAAACTGAAGCAACTCGTGGCCAGATGACCAAACTCTCATGGCCAGATGACCAACCTCTCATGGCCAGATGACCAAACTCTCATGGCCAGATGACCAACCTCTCATGGCCAGATAACCAACCTCTCATGGCCAGATGACCAAACTCTCATGGCCAGATGACCAACCTCTCATGGCCAGATGACCAACCTCTCATGGCCAGATGACCAACCTCTCATGGCCAGATGACCAACCTCTCATGGCCAGATGACCAACCTCTCATGGCCAGATGACCAACCTCTCGTGGCCAGATGACCAACCTCTCATGGCCAGATGACCAACCTCTCGTGGCCAGATGACCAACCTCTCATGGCCAGATAACCAACCTCTCATGGCCAGATGGCCAACCTCTCAACTAACCTTAACATCGTTTTTCTTGTTGTCATTCAACTGTAGACACTAAATTTAACGACTATAAAATATAAAAAAACTTTTAGTGGTTCAGTTCAGTTTAAAATATGTGTTCATAAAATGAATTTTATCCGGGAATCTCCTGTGAAAATTCGGGATAAGAAAAACTAAATTCCCGTTTTCCCGGGATAAGCAAAATCCCGGGAGTCGAGGAACCCTCGTTGCTCATTGGCTAGATCATGGGTCATAACCTTATCGTTTAGGCAAAACCCATTTTAGAAACAATATCGGCTCAGAAATTATTTAGGGAGACGCAAAGAGGGGCGAATTGTCTAGAGGTTTATGTTGGCTGTTTGTTTCCAATCTCAGCGGCGGCTCACCCCAGGGGTCACCTCTTATCAGCGTGATTCCCTGCACACAGCAGCCGGCGGTCTTAGCCTTTTTTAAGTCGGCTTGTAGCAGACTCACTCACGAGACATCCTGTGTGAAAGTGGCCTGTGGTTAAAAAAACAACAACAACAACCAAGAACGCTACTCCAACCCTTAGCCGGTGTTTAATTCTTTGTTCAGTGTAAGCTTAAATACTGCTCAACTCTAAATCTGTCTAATGTCAGTTCAAGTAATACTGCTCAACTCTAAATCTGTCTAATGTTAGTTCAAGTAATACTGCTCAACTCTAAATCTGTCTAATGTCAGTTCAAGTAATACTGCTCAACTCTAAATCTGTCTAATGTCAGTTCAAGTAATACTGCTCAAATTTTAATCTGTCTAATATCAGTTCAAGTAAAACTGCTCAACTCTAAATCTGTCTAATGTCAGTTCAAGTAATACTGCTCAACTCTAAATGTGTCTAATATCAGTTCAAGTAATACTGCTCAAATTTTAATCTGTCTAATATCAGTTCAAGTAAAACTGCTCAACTCTAAATCTGTCTAATGTCAGTTCAAGTAATACTGCTCAACTCTAAATGTGTCTAATATCAGTTCAAGTAATACTGCTCAACTCTAAATCTGTCTAATGTCAGTTCAAGTAATACTGCTTATCTCTAAATCCGCCTAATTTTAGTTCAAGTAATACTGCGTATGAGATAACAGTAGGCCTTAAAAGTAAACATTTAACTATAATTGTGCCCTACTTCAAGCCTGAAGTTGTTATCTGCCATACTTCAAGCCTGAATTTGTTATCTGCCCTACTTTAAGCATGAAATTGTTATCTGCCCTACTTCAAGGCTGAAGTTGTTATATGTCCTACTTCAAGCCTGAAGTTGTTATCGAATTGAAAAGCAAAATGGCCGGCTGATGTTTTGAAAGGATGTTAAATATTCCAAGAAAGATATATCGTATAATTAGAAGGATTTCTTTACTGCTGACACAAGACTTGTTTTAACTTTCAGCCTTTACCCATATACTCACACCACATTCCCATACCACATTCCCACACCAGATACCAACACCACATAAACACACCACCTACCCACACCAGATACCCACACAACATTTCCCACACCAGATACCCACACCACCTACCCACACCACCTACCCACACCACCTACCCACACCACCTACCCACACCACTTACCCAAATCGCATTCCCACACCTCATAACCACACCATATAACCACACCACCTACCCACACCACATTCCCACACCATATACCACGCCAGATACCCACGCCAGATATCCACACCACATATCCACACCACATACCCACACCATATACCCACAGCATATGCCCACAAAAGATACCTCCACCATATACCGACACCACTTACCAACACTATATACCACAACATATACCCAAACCACATACCCACACCATATACCCACACCATGTACCCACACCAGATAGCCACACCACATATATACACCATATACCCACACCATACACCTACACTATATACCCACACCATATACCCACACCATATACCCACACCACTTACCCACACCATATACCCAAACCCCATACCCACACCATTTACCCACACCACTTACCCACACCATATACCCACACCATATACCCACACCATGTTCCCACATATACCCGCACCACATACCTACAACACTTCCCCACATCACATACGACCCCAAACACAAACTCAAACAACAGCACACAAAAGCATCCATCAACATCAACTCATGTTTTCAACGTTATCAACTAGATGTATTCCCAGAAAACGTCTTCGTCCCATTCTGTCTGAGGATTCTGTCTGAGGATTCTGTCTGAGGATTCTGTCTGAGCGATGAAAATATGTATTGTTGTTCTGCGTCTAAATAAAGAATATTCACAAGACTATGACTGTAGAAGACGACAAGTCAAACACCTTGAGGGACATTAACGTTGTCCAAGGACTCAGTTGTCCAAGTACTCAGTACTGCAGTTGTTCAAGTACTCACTACTTCAGTTTTCCAACTACTCAGTTGTCCAAGTACTCATTACTTCAGTTATCCAAGTACTCACTACTGCAGTTGTCCAAGTACTCACTACTGCAGTTGTCCAAGTACTCACTACTGCAGTTGTCCAAGTACTCATTACTTCAGTTATCCAAGTACTCACTATTGCAGTTGTCCAAGTACTCATTATTTCAGTTATCCAAGTACTCACTACTGCAGTTGTCCAAGTACTCACTACTGCAGTTGTCCAAGTACTCACTACTGCAGTTGTAAAAGTACTCAGTACTGCAGTTGTCCAAGTACTCACTACTGCAGTTGTAAAAGTACTCAGTACTGCAGTTGTCCAAGTACTCAGTACTTCAGTTGTCTAAGTACGCAGCACAACATGACAAGCCAATGGGGCGACTGGTTGAGCGGAAGCTGCCCTATTAGTTCATTTCGTTCGTGGAACCATGACATCGCTGCCATCGTCCGGACTGTGTGCTTGTTGCTGTGTCAGGATGAAACCTCTTCATTTTGGATCTCTACATACATTGAAGTTCACTGTAATGCTTTGATGTCTAGTCTTCCATCAATGTCCACCTCTTTTGGCTGTATGCGTCAGTGTCCAACTGTTTTTTGTATGAATACTTCAATTCATAGTAGTATCTGTTATGAAAAGGATGGCTTATTACTAATGGTGACATCTAAGTACTTATATGCCTCTACTTTTTCTACAGTTTGATTTTTTAATGGTGAGATCAGTAATCTGGTGTTTCCCCCTTCTGAAATCAACAACCATTTCCTTTGTTTTTGAGACATTCAGCTGGAGAGAATTTTTGGTTGTCTACTTCAATGTCCACCTGTTTTGGTTGTATACTTCAATTTCCACCTGTTTTGGTTGTATACTTCAATTTCCACCTGTTTTGGTTGTATACTCCAATGTCCACCTGTTTTGGTTGTATGCTTCAATGTCCACCTGTTTTGGTTGTATGCTTCAATTCCCACCTGTTTTGGTTGTATGCTTCAATGTCCACCTGTTTTGGTTGTATACTTCAATGTCCACCTGTTTTGGTTGTATACTTCAATGTCCACCTGTTTTGGTTGTATACTTCAATGTCCACCTGTTTTGGTTGTATACTTCAATGTCCACCTGTTTTGGTTGTATACTTCAATGCCCACCTGTTTTGGTTGTATACTTCAATGCCCACCTGTTTTGGTTGTATACTTCAATGCCCACCTGTTTTGGTTGTATACTTCAATGCCCACCTGTTTTGGTTTAATACTTCAATTTCCACCTGTTTTGGTTGTATGCTTCAATGCCCACCTGTTTTGGCTGAAAATGTCACCAAGTACTAGTTTGACGTCCAATTGTATGTGCGCTAACATCCTTTCACGGAGTATTTTCGTATCACCATTGCTGAGCCAAACTTCTCTGGAGACGTAGGACCAATTAACAGTTATCGGAGTCTACAGCATCCCGTGTTTCCTCGCCGTGGCGTCCCCAGAGATAAGGACTGGTCTTGTAGTGTAAGTAAGAGGTCGTCGCAGTAAGCTGAGCCAATCGTGGGCTCTCTCGTCATGATAGGCGCTGGCGCAGGGGAGCGTAAATCACAGGGCTACGTAGGAGAACAAGGCGCATCTTAGCGTCAGGTATACGGACCTCAATGAGGGGCGCTGACGGGAAGCTAGACTAGGGCGCCTCGCACATTTATGTCTCCAACAAAAAAAAAAAAAAAAATGCTGAGTATGGTAATTACCATCCTGATGTCAAAGACGAGTTGGGGAGGGGTGTCTTAGCAGCTCTCAACAAATGGCGATTCCTATTGTTGCTTAGATGTTTGCTGTTTGGTGACATAGTTAATATCTATCAGAAGTCACACAACTCTAAATATAAACATGTTACTGCATAATTTTGACACGTTGTGGTAATGGTTGCAAGATTTTCTTTTTTTTAAGAGAGAGATTTGTTGACGTGACGCCTCAGTTGCTATCATTTTAGAGCGAGTTTAAAATGGGGGATTCATTTTTCAACGAGTAATGGATTATTTTAAAATGTTATTTCTAATGTTTGTTAGTAAACTGAACACTTCAATTATATGGTAACATCAATGATGGCGTAGTACATCCTAAGATTGGTAGCCTGAATGATTGCGGAGAACATCCTAAGATCGGTAGCCTGAATGATTTCACTGTACATCCTAAGATCGATAGCCTGAATGATTTCGGGTTTAATGAAACTTAATTAATGCGGCCAATTTATTTTTTTAAATTTAAGAACATTAATTTTTTTTTTGTTTATTAAATTCAGTTTAAAACCCCAGACATTTTAACAGCATTTTACCCCAATGGATTTCCAAAAATAAATATTTTCTATTTTGTGACTTCTGATAGATTTGTGGTTTCACAGAGACACCTTCTGTCTGTGAGCCTTTCATCTGTCTGTGAGGCATTTTTCTGTCTATGGGGCGTTTTTCTGTATGGTAGGCTTTCTTTTGAGGATCAAATTTGTGTCTTCGTGTATTATATATTATTGCTTTGTGTCTTTATGTATTATATATTTTTTTAGTTCTTTTAATTATTTAACTTTATATATCAGAATAATGAAACTCAATATATATTTTTTTAATCAAATATTTTTTTTTTACTTTGTTTTGGTTAAAAAGTCTTTAACTGTTGTACTCACGACTTACCAAGCAAATGTCTACAAAAGCGACTTGTCTACTGGTATAGAAAGAGTACTCAAGGTCACCTCACGCTTGTTCAAATAATAGAAAACACCTCGCCTATTTGAGACTTTTATGTCGCATGACACTTCTGCCAATTTAAGAATGTGTGTTAACAAAAATCTTTAATATTGGAAAAATGTATAAAAGAAATCATTTTCGGAGAGAGAAGAGCCACTGGATTGTTTCCCGCCATTTCCATTTCAATATAGTTTGGGATTGTCCTAGTTTGGCAAAGTAAAAATGGAGTGGATGACGTCATCGTGAATTGAGGGAGGTATGGGTGGGGGGGGGGGTGATTATTGTAAAAGTAAACAAAATATTTTAAGAATTATTTTATTGTGTCGGTTTTAATTATCTCTATTAAACTTACTGGACTCGAGTTTAGAAACACCAAACATTATATTGGAAATATTGGAACCAACCCGTTTGGGAAAACAGGCGATAACCACGGGCAAGCTACTCTGTTTGACACAAATTTGGACGCGCCCCGTAACAAGACACGCATGCGAATAACGGGCACTCTCCTGTTGGTTTATTTCCTGTCTAGAGTCTCCCTACATTCTATATTTAAACATCATCTTCCATTGCCTACTGGTATTGTAAGTGTTTACATTTTAACATTAAATATATAAAAAAGTAACAAAATATCCTTCCCCCCCCCCCTCAAAGAAAACATAAAACATGCACATGAAATAAACAAAATTCATAAATAAGACCACGCCCCATTAAGTTTGGAAGAAGATCATTAAAAATAGACCAGGACTGCCTAGAGATTGAGGTCTGATGAATTAATGGTTACGCTGTGGCTGCTAAGACTGCAGAACATCAGAGAGGCCCAAGTCACTAATTACAGGTAATCACATTACATCAACCATCTGAAGTGGCCCTTGTGCTCGTGGTTGAGGGTCGTTAGCAGCTTGAGTTAGGAGATGGTCTAATCTGATAATCTTAGCAGCATGTGTGTATGGGAGTGTTTGTATGCGTGTGTATGTTTTTGCGTGTGTGTTTGTGTGTGTGTTAGTGCGTGTGTTAGTGTGTGTATGTGTAAAGGAGTTAAATCCCCGCCAAAAGATGTCAAGGCCGCATGGTAAATGCTGATAAGTTTGGGGGGGGGGGCGGCTATGTAACTTATAGAACCTTTTAAATGAGTGAATTAGCAACGTGGGGGGTAGCTCCCCCCAGGGCGGCTGGGATTTCTGTGGGGGAGGGCGGTAAAATGATCAGTTTTTTCTTAGGTGTGCTGTTTGTTGTTTGTTGTTTGCTTGTTGTTGTTTTTTTTATCAAAAGGTCATAGGCTATTTAATTAGAGTGGCATTTATTCACCGATAAATGAACACAAATTGAACACAAACACCAAGCTGTCCAACATAAATTGAACACAAACACCATCCTGTCCAACACAAACACCATCCTGTCCAACACAAACACCATCCTGCCCAACACAAACACCATCCTGCCCAACACAAACACCATCCTGTCCAACACAAACACCATCCTGTCCAACACAAACACCATCCTGCCCAACACAAACACCATCCTGCCCAACACAAACACCATCCGGCCCAACACAAACACCATCCTGCCCAACACAAACACCATCCTGTCCAACACAAACACCATCCTGCCCAACACAAACACCATCCTGTCCAACACAAACACCATCCTGCCCAACACAAACACCATCCTGTCCAACACAAACACCATCCTGTCCAACACAAACTGACTAATGAAACCACTTTTACAGCCTGTGTTCCCATTTGTATTCTTCCATAGATCAGCTTTATAAATACCAGAAAGCTTACATAACAATATAAGGTTCTACGTGAACTGATAACTTAGGTTTAGAATTGATTGACATGCCCTGAATTTAACAAATTAAAATAACGTTGCATTCCATATTAATAATATCCACTACTGGGGCCGGATATTGTTATATAATGTTATATAATTGATATAATGTTTCAAAGAATTATCAAGATTATGGAAAGATCAATTGGATCTAGTAAAGATTTATAGATATTTATACTTTCTTGGAATTTCCTGGGGATCAGTGAATTTATTTTTTATGAGTTTTATGAACTTTGCATTTTTTACATGGGTTCGAAGATAAAATAAATTTCCGTTTATTTTTTGATCGAATACTTCCACAGGTCTATGGGATCTTTCTTTAACGTTGGGAAATCATAGCTGAAGATATTTTTGAAGTTTCTATAACGTTCAAAATGAGTGTAATAGTTACTACAAATTTATTTTTATTACAATAGCCAAAGGCATACACGAAAGCTGTGATTACAGAGTGTAAGCTTCTACTTAAATTATTGCATCTAGACAAGTGGTTCTCAACATTCCTAATGCCACGACACTTTGATACAGTTCCTCATGTTGTGGTGACCCCAAAAAGAAAAATATGTTCGTTGTTACTTCATACAAATGTGTTTTCGGATGGCCTTAGGCGACCCCTATCTAAGGGTAGTTTGACCGCCCAAAAGGGGTCACGACCCACAGATTGAGAACCGCTGATCTAGACCAAAATTGGTAACATTACATGTCACGATCCCTTTTAAAATATCGGTGAATTTCATTCAAACTATAACATGTACTCCTTTGTTATATGTCAGTGGGGCCAGACTATTATCACAAATAAAAGACTTTATATTTGGCGTTATTTCAATCATGTTTGTTGTAAAATATTAAATTAAAGCTATGTCCTTTTGGCAACGTCTTTGAAAAACATTCAACAGATTTTAAAGAAATAAATTTGAAAATGTATCTTTCATATTTATCTGAATGATTTTTATAGATCCCTTATCTTGAAACCACTTTTAAAAATGGCACTAGTTCGCTAGTTTGCACTTTCCAGGAATCCTACTGTAAAGGATTAACGTCTATAGCTATGTTGAATAACTTTTTCTTTTAAGTTAAACATCTTTAACAAGTTATTTTAGTCTTTAAATCATGGTTTGTTAATGAAATGTTCTTGCCACAAAATTTAATATTTACAATAGTTAATGAAAAATCTGGATAACTTATAGGAGAAAACTTTAAATTTTAATTGATAATTGAGCAAAGTTTTTTTGACAGTGCCCTACATTAACGGGTCCTCCGCTGAGCTTTAGAAGTTTTTTTTCTTTTCGAACTCAAACCCGAGAAACGCCGGGTATGTTGACTTGTAATTAATAAATCTGGCGCAGGGTCCCTGCTGCAATGGGGAATATGTCAACCGGTGGGCCAAACTTAAAGGTTTGGGAGACGCTGATCTAGCTATCTGGTGACGTGGCTCTCACCTTTCAGGAAGGTGATCTGCGTGTACTCACCGCATACGGCACACTTGATGCAAACACTCGTGTAAGTCAGCGACTGCACCACATGAGCACCAAACCCACATCTTCCTACAAACAAACCAACTCTAGCAGAAGTGTACTCAAGTTCACGAGCACTCAGGGCAAAGGGGGGGAGGGAGAGGGAGGTCAATGCGTGTACTGGGGGCGTCAGTCTAACAGTTTAATAGGTTTACATTTCTGTGCAGAGATCCCAGCTGAGGATGAGCCGAGTGGTAAAACACTTTTGATAAGTGACTGGGAATTCTTATGATGTCACCATCTGTAAATCCCCATCACGTGATAGCGGTCCTTCTGTTTTATCTGATGTAATACTAAAACTATATACTGATTTTATTTTTTAACTTGACAATCCTAAATATTTCACCCCCCCCCCTTTTTTTCTTCGTCATCATGTCTTAAATAGTTTGAAGGATATTCAACATGTTATGAAATGTGTCTGTTTATTACTAGAGGTAGTTTAATCCATTGAATATACATGATGATGATTGATGGTGATGATGATTGATTACTTGTGTAGCGCTTTGTCCATGCTATTTTAACATGTTCACGGCACTCTGATGTCATAAATTCATTTTTTTTTAAGGCTTTAAATATTTCTTACATGAATTTTTTATCATTTTTAATTTCCCAACAAAAATTGCGGCAAAGTTCCCAAATTTTGGCGCTATAGCTTGAGAAAGCGCATCCACATTGGGAACTTTCAGGAGTGACTGTTATGAGGGGTGAGTGCAGCTTCTGTAATGATGCATGTTTAGAGATCAGTTTTTGAAGATATTCAAGTGCAGCGCTTTCCATACAGCTGTACGCCAGGGACGCAATTTTGTGGCCAATGCGCTCACTCACAGAAAGCCAGTGGAGATCTTTAAGAACTGGGGTGATGTGGTCAGATTTCTTTATCCGCGATGCAAAGCGTGCTAAAGCATTTTGTGCCCTCTGGAGTCTCTGACTTTGGTTTTGAGGCAAACGCCACAGAGAGTTTTAATCTAATCTTGATTGGATTAGACTTACTATTACGGCATTTGTTGTTCTCTTATTAAGTTGAGGACGTAGCTGACCAAGGAAACTTACGTTTCCAGTTTTTGAATGTTGATTTTCTGTCAATATGTATTGATTTATTTATTTTTCAAGGTTTCCACCTGACAACTTTTCTTTGTTCTGTTGATTGACTTTAGGAGCTTTCATCTTTTTTTTCTCTCTTTCATAACATGTTAAAAATAATTGCTGAATTGTCGATGCTCCGTTGTAATATTTTCGAAAGTCTTGAAGGTTGAGGTCAGGGGTCACCAGGCAAATTATTATTGAAATACATTTGGTAATTTATTGACTTCAGTCAAATACAGGATTCCGTAGGAAGGTTTTTTTTTAGGAGTGTTTAAGGTAGGCTTTCAGTTGGCGGTTGCTAAGGGAAAAATTGAAAGATGGAAACAATCTATGTTTAATTCTAACATTTGAATTCGTGATTGCTACTTACTTGATGAGACTCCCGATACTTGCATGATGAGACTTTCGATACTTGCATGATGAGACTCCCGATACTTGCATGATGAGACTTTCGATACTTGCATGATGAGACTTTCGATACTTGCATGATGAGACTTTCGATACTTGCATGATGAGACTCCCGATACTTGCATGATGAGACTTTCGATACTTGCATGATGAGACTTTCGATACTTGCATGATGAGACTCCCGATACTTGCATGATGAGACTTCTGATACTTGCATGATGAGACTTTCGATACTTGCATGTTGAGACTTCTGATACGTGCATGATGAGACTTCCGGGCTCGTTCCAGACATCTTTATAATAATAAATCAGTTTTTGAATGATACTTCTGCACAATATACAGAATTGTCACGAAAAAAATGTCAACAGTTAAGTGTGATGAAAGATGGACTGCGAACAATCATTTGTGCATTTTCATGGAATCAGTTTTGTCAATGCTATGGTGATTATGAGTTTAATATATCTTAAGATTAAGACACACGTCGAGAAAAGACGAAAAATATAAATGAGATCTTCCCGTCTTCGAAAGACGATGCAGTTGCTTGGATACTTCATCAAATGGCTGACTAGGCCGATCCTGTAATTGCATTCTGGGCTGCATGGTTCGCAGGAGACCCTTGACCCCTGATTAGACTTCGTCTTTCGTGATGTTCTTTTTGTTGCAGGGGCGTTTCGCGCATCTTCTGCCTTTTTTTTACTCATTTTCCTTGCTTTAAAAAAAAACAAAAACAAAACTCTGCTCCTGCCGAGGTGACGTCACCGGTGCAGCTATTTGGCCTGGGCAGGGTTTTTATGGAGACCAGATGTGCCCAATGCAGCAGATCCCCACTCTCCACGCAACCAGTGGATCCAGATCCCCACTCTCCACGCAGCCAGTGGATCCAGATCCCCACTCTCCACGCAGCCAGTGGATCCAGATCCCCACTCTTCACGCAGCCAGTGGATCCAGATCACCACTCTCCACGCAGCCAGTGGATCCAGATCCCCACTCTCCACGCAGCCAAGTGGCCTGGGCAGGGTTTTTATGGAGACCAGATGTGCCCAATGCAGCAGATCCCCACTCTCCACGCATCCAGTGGATCCAGATCCCCACTCTCCACGCAGCCAGTGGATCCAGATCCCCACTCTCCACGCAGCCAGTGGATCCAGATCCCCACTCTTCACGCAGCAAGTGGATCCAGATCACCACTCTCCACGCAGCCAGTGGATCCAGATCCCCACTCTCCACGCAGCCAGTGGATCCAGATCCCCACTCTTCACGCAGCCAGTGGATCCAGATTCCCACTCTCCACGCAACCAGTGGATCCAGATCCCCATTCTCCACGCAGCCAGTGGAGCCAAGGGAATGACAATTGTCAATACAACTTGGCACTGACTGCGTCGCAGGAACCGCCGAAAAGGTATCGGCGTCAGATCAACTTCGGGACTCCATCTCCGGATTTCAGTTTGGTTTTAATCCCATAGTCTTACCCTAACTTTCCCGCACATGATTTTTTATATCTATATTGATATTCATTCAAAGCTTTCCCGTTTTTTATCAATTTTGGTACACAAAACATTGCTAGTCAGCCATCTTGTTGCTAACCGGAAGAATATAATATATCATTAAATGTATTATAGAAAACCAAACTGATGTGCAAAGGTCACTAGGCTCAAGGCCGAGGATTAAACATAATTTCCGGTATATGACTTTAAGTCATTCATGATTGCAGGACTTGCAGGTTACTGGGGCATTCTAGCGACACTTCGGAACAACGACTCCCTGTTCATTGTTATGTTGGTGGTAGACGGGCATCTGCAGCTCGAGATGAATCGTTGGCTTAAAACACTTTTCTTTTAATAATTCAAGTAGAGAGGACTATTTTTTGTTTACAATACCTATTCAAACACACACACTTACACACACACACACACACGCATATATATGTATATAAAGAGGGACGTTGAAGTCGTCATAGACTTAGTGTAAGTCGTCATAGACTTAGTGTAAGTCGTCATAGACTTAGTGTAAGTCGTCATAGGCTTAGTGTAAGTCGTCATAGACTTAGTGTGAGTCGTCATAGACTTAGTGTGAGTCGTCATAGACTTAGTGTGAGTCGTCATAGACTTAGTGTAAGTCGTCATAGACTTAGTGTAAGTCGTCATAGACTTAGTGTAAGTCGTCATAGACTTAGTGTAAGTCGTCATAGACTTAGTGTAAGTCGTCATAGACTTAGTGTAAGTCGTCATAGACTTAGTGTGAGTCGTCATAGACTTAGTGTAAGTCGTCATAGACTTAGTGTGAGTCGTCATAGACTTAGTGTGAGTCGTCATAGACTTAGTGTAAGTCGTCATAGACTTAGTGTAAGTCGTCATAGACTTAGTGTAAGTCGTCATAGACTTAGTGTGAGTCGTCATAGACTTAGTGTGAGTCGTCATAGACTTAGTGTAAGTCGTCATAGACTTAGTGTGAGTCGTCATAGACTTAGTGTGAGTCGTCATAGACTTAGTGTAAGTCGTCATAGACTAAGTGTGAGTCGTCATAGACTTAGTGTATGTCGTCATAGACTTAGTGTAAGTCGTTCACCGGTTGTTGTTGTTTTTTTCTCAAAAAATGACTAAGATCTTTATGGCTAGTCCCCCAGCATCGGTCGCAGAGAATCTCTCAAGTTTCCATCATCCGGTTTTATGTCTGTGACACTTGTTTACCTTTTTGTTGACCACCGTCAACATCTGCCAACGACTTTAGTTCGTTTCCAGTAGATTGGTGTGAGTGATCCTACATTCCGAGTCTCACTCTGAGCCCGTGCTGGCACGTTCACGTGAGAACCCCCGGCCGTTTTCCCCCCCCCGTGGCGTGGCCTGATGAACCATCCAGCTCTCTGTGGTAGTTAATTGGTACAAATTGGTCTCAGGCCGTGAGGTGCTGCCGCTGCTGCTCATACCAGCGGACTCATCCCGTCAAGGAAGTCGCCTATGATCACCGTGTGCGAGTGTGCATGTAGCAGGGGTGGCGTGTGAGTCAGGGTGTCGGTGGGGAAGAGGCTGGTATCTAAACTCATTGATGGTTATGATGAAGGTAGATGAATAAGATGCAGACCTTTCAACCATTACCTGGTAACGCTGTGGGCGGACTCTCCTTAACATTCGCTCACCCACACTCAGGTTGATTCTGCCACCGCCTGCCACTCAGGTTGATTCTGCCACCGCCTGCCACTCAGGTTGATTCTGCCACCGCCTGCCACTCAGGTTGATTCTGCCACCGCCTGCCACTCAGGTTGATTCTGCCACCGCCTGCCACTCAGGTTGATTCTGCCACCGCCTGCCACTCAGGTTGATACTGGCACTCACTCAGACTAAGGTTGATACGGGGTACTGACATTACAAAGTACTTTCATTTAACTTAAATTAATGATGTTTCAAAATATGGGGTACATTTTATTTACCAACTTCTCTGCACCCTAAAGAGTTAAAATGATGACGTAATCATCCAAAATACCATAGCAATAGACTCTATTGGCTTAAACTCGGGGATTCTAAAACTATCTAAGGATGCGAGTTTTAAGGGATGTTTTTCAGGGAAGTTATTTAAAGGAAAGAATTCCTGGGAATGTATTTCAGCGTCTATACTTTAGGAACTGAGTCACAATTGACGTCAAAATTATAATTTTCTTAGCTTTGGATTTAAAGAGTTGGATCATTGAAAAGTAAACATCAAACAGCTGCTGAGGCAAGATGGTTCTAGGAAGGGTTCATATCTAGTTAACACCGCCATCCTATTTGGAATATCTAGTTTACACCGCAATCCTGCACTATATGCTATTGTGAATATTCAGGTCAATGTTATAGGAACAGGTGGCTTTGACGTCAGACAAATAAATAGAATCTGATGCCAGGTATAGCATCAGTTTTATGCAGGAAATAAAAAGCTGATAATCAGACAGACTTATGCAGATATTAAAACTTTTTCCAATAGTCAGAAAATAAAACTCCTTCTGATCAGACAGTCTGTAAGATAATAAAACTATTTCCAATCAGACAGTCTTAGGCATGCACATAAATCATTTGATCACAATTTTGCTTATTTAATCAGAAACTATCAACTTCCATAATTTTAACATTAGACATGATATCAACACTTGATATAACATTAACACGTGATATAAAATCAGAAATTCCACATAATAGCAACACTCCTCATAATATCAAAACTTCACATAATATCTTGTACGGTTCCATCATTTACATTTTCCCCATATTTGGTGCACTACAAGGGGCCGTAGACATCGATGAATGTTTCAAGCCACCAGTCGGATAGAACTGTTGGACCCACAATGAAATCATGCACCAAAACCCATGGGATGAACCAGGCGAATGCAACTTGTCATTTTAGCCTGATAGATTCGAACAAATCGCTGAGTAATTGGAGAAACGACCCTGTGCTTAGTCTAAGCTGGATGGATGAAGGTGAAAGGTGTCGTCCGATGTACCCGTAGCACAAGCCTCCGGAGACTAGATCTCCCATTTATTACCTGTCTTACATTACCTCGCGAGACAAGCAAGTTATCCCCCAGTACTGGCTATGTATTACTTCCCGTCTATTCAACTGTAGAACAAGACAGTTCTCGTAAATGCTATACAACCATGACAAAAATGTAGTGTAAGAATCAGTCGGCAATTGAAATTTAAAAAAAACAACAAAAAACGATATCTAAAATTGTACTAGCTGCAGACTACAGACTATTGGTGATGGAATGACCTGGTGACCAGACTACAGACTATTGGTGATGGAATGACCTGGTGACCAGCAAATCTGACAAGATGGGCAGGCCGGGCAAGTCTAGATAACTTCTCAGCCAGAGGCGACGCCATCAAATTTAACATGGCGGGTCCCTTGCAGGTCTTAAAAAATGTTGGCGAGTCCCAAATAAATGTATTACAAATAAAATGTATTTATTAAGTAATATTTATTAATCTACTAACTTAACCCAAAGTTTACATACATTGTAGATTACGCTTAATGAGCATATATACAATATTCGTAACTAATAAAAATTTACCAGGTCATTTGCCAGGTCCCAAGTTTTTTTACCAGGTCCTGGGACCCGGCGGGACCTGGTGTAGCGTCGCCACTGTTCTCAGCCATATCTGAACCAACTCCTCTCAGCCATATCTGAACCAACTCCTCTCAGCCATATCTGAACCAACTCCTCTCAGCCATATCTGAACCAACTCATCTCAGCCATATCTGAACCAACTCCTCTCAGCCATATCTGAACCAACTCCTCTCAGCCATATCTGAACCAACTCCTCTCAGCCATATCTGAACCAACTCCTCTCAGCCATATCTGAACCAACTCCTCTCAGCCATATCTGAACCAACTCCTCTNCCCCCCCGATTGCAGCCTGGTTTAGTTTTTTTCAACCAAACTAGTTGAACGGGTCCTTGTTTCTGTTTCAAGCTATATTTAGATATCACGTGATTCACTCCCCCATATCTTTAACCACCACACACCACCCTAATTTGATCTTAGACCGCTTCAGAATCCAAGAAAATAATCGTCATCTTTCAGTTCTAAAAATAGCATTGACAAGAAAAAAAAAAAAATGAAAACAAGGACCTCTGAGTTATGGGTGGTGAAATGAGCAGGATGACGCCCAGATAATTATCATGATGAGCTGTGTGTGCCTTACAGAAGGAAAGAGAGCGTTCATTATACACATACAAGCTGTATCAGAGCCTGCTCTCTGACAGGAAGATAAGTACACATACAGGCTGTATCAGAGCCTGGTCTCTGACAGGAAGATAAGTACACATACAAGCTGTATCAGAGCCTGCTCTCTGACAGGAAGATAAGTACACATACAAGCTGTATCAGAGCCTGCTCTCTGACAGGAAGATAAGTACAGATACAAGCTGTAACAGAGCCTGCTCTCTGACAGGAAGATAAGTACACATACAGGCTGTATCAGAGCCTGCTCTCTGACAGGAAGATAAGTACACATACAAGCTGTATCAGAGCCTGCTCTCTGACAGGAAGATAAGTACACATACAAGCTGTATCAGAGCCTGCTCTCTGACAGGAAGATAAGTACACATACAGGCTGTATCAGAGCCTGCTCTCTGACAGGAAGATATGTACACATACAAGCTGTATCAGAGCCTGCTTCTTCCATTGAATAAGTCCTGCTCTCCCAGTGGAAGATAAGTACACATACAAGCTGTATCAGAGCCTGCTCTCTGACAGGAAGATAAGTACACATACAGGCTGTATCAGAGCCTGGTCTCTGACAGGAAGATAAGTACACATACAAGCTGTATCAGAGCCTGCTTCTTCCATTGGATAAGTCCTGCTCTCCCAGTGGAAGATAAGTACACATACAAGCTGTATCAGAGCCTGCTCTTCCAGTGGATAAGTCCTGCTCTCCCAGTGGAAGATAAGTACACACACAAGCTGTATCAGAGCCTTCGATCCTAATGGAAGATAAGTTCACGCGAACGCTGGTATCGGAGTATCAGAGCTTGCTTCTTCCGGTAGATGATACGGAAATTAGTGATCTTACAAAGAGCAAATGGTTCAAGCCAACTTAATCTATGTATTACATTTGTCAAGATGGCATTTAAAATTATATTATATTGTCGACACTTGTATCAATTTAGTTGTTTCATATATTCAATGATTTAAAAATTATTTAAATATTTAATTTTATTCGGACTAGAAATGTTAAAGTGCACAGTTTAAATTTAAATTAAGAAAAATGGTGTAAAACATAAATGCCCAATAAAGGACATTATATCGATTTGAGCGGTCGGGACCAAACCATTTTTCCCAAAAACAGAGTTCAAGGTCACTGAGAAATGTTTTGAAGTTGAAGATTCTGACCGCAGATTATTTCTCGAGTCAGAGCTGGGGCACCAAATCTGTACTCCGAGCAAATTTCATCAGATCCCCGGTCACATCCTTAGTAAAAGTTCAGTCTTGAACACTGTGTTGTCATACAGAAACATTGTGCTGTCATACAGAAACACTGTGCTGTCATACAGAAACACTGTGTTGTCATACAGAAACACTGTGCTGTCATACAGAAACACTGTGCTGTCATACAGAAACACTGTGCTGTCATACAGAAACATAGTGATGTCATACAGAAACATTGTGCTGTCATACAGAAACACTGTGCTGTCATACAGAAACACTGTGCTGTCATACAGAAACACTGTGCTGTCATACAGAAACACTGTGCTGTCATACAGAAACACTGTGCCGTCTTTCAGGAAAAATGTGCTGTCATACAGAAACACTGTGCTGTCATACAGAAACACTGTGTTGTCATACAGGAACACTGTGCTGTCATACAGAAACAATGTGCTGTCATACAGAAACAATGTGCTGTACAATGTGCTGTCATACAGAAACAATGTGCTGTCATACAGAAACATTGTGATATCATACAGAAACACTGTGCTGTCATACAGAAACATTATGCTGTCATACAGAAACACTGTGCTGTCATACATAAACACTGTGCTGTCATACAGAAACACTGTGCTGTCATATAGAAACACTGTGCTGTCATACAGAAGCATTGTGATGTCATACAGAAACACTGTGCTGTCATACAGAAACACTGTGCATCATACATAAACACTGTGCTGTCATACAGAAACATTGTGCTGTCATACAGAAACACTGTGCTGTCATACAGAAACATTGTGCTGTCATACAGAAACATTGTGCTGTTATACAGAAACACTGTGCTGTCATACAGAAACATTGTGCTGTCTTTCAGGAAAAATGTGCTGTCATACAGAAACATTGTGCTGTCATACAGAAACACAGTTCTGTCATACAGAAACACTGTGCTATCATACAGAAAGATTATGCTGTCGTACAGAAACATTGTGCTGTCATACAGAGTTTATTTAGATGTTGCCCAAGTGGGATGTTTCGTACGGGACATGATATTCTTCTGCAACACGAGGTAAAGCTTTTGGAAAAGAAGGAAGAATGAGTGAGTGAGTGAGTGAGTGAGAGAGAGAAAGACTTTCTCTGACTTGTCGAAGACTTGTCATCTTGCAGTCATGATCTCTCCATTTGATCCCCACTCTGCTGTCAGGTGCACGCCCTTGAGAATCTGGAGGTCATCGGGAGAACCGTTCCATCGCATGCTCACAAGCGCCAGAAGACAGACTTGAAAAGAAATAGAGAGCAGACGATATCGAGACCTCTTCAGATGTCACGTGGTCGCTTTGAGAACGGATCTCAAGCTTGTGGTTCTAAAAGTAACTGCGCGTAATGAATTGTGTCTCTAACTACACCTATCACTGTCTATACTTATCTCTAACTACACACGCTTGGCTTGCTTATAGTTGACTAATTTCTTTAACTGGAACTGCTGCGGTGCAGGTTGGGAGTTTACTGCCAAAGAAATCTATCTCACCGTGTACACGTCTGTGTACATGTTATGTCACGTGACTATGTGCGGTGTTGAAATAGATCATTGATCTGAACATAAGTTCAACTTACAGGCTCAGGGGCGGCGCTAGAAAGTAATACTTCCCTTTACTTCTTTGTTATTTTAACAGGGAAATTACAATATTAGTAATTGTGCGATAAATGATTTAAAGAAAAACTATTTGACAAATTAGATTTCATTATGTCTCCAATGTTTGGTTAAATGATGACCCATCCCATCATAAAGTAGCACACATTTATTGTAAAGGAGTAAACATTTATTGTAAAGGAGTAAACATTTATTGTAAAGGAGTAAACATTTATTGTAAAGGAGTAAACATTTATTGTAAAGTAGCACACATTTATTGTAAAGTAGCACACATTTATTGTAAAGTAGCACACATTTATTGTAAAGGAGTAACTGTTATTGAATCATAGTTTAGAGCTTTGCAGACATCATCACTCTATTTGCAGACATCATCACTCTATTGCCAGGCACCGTCATTCTATTTGCAGACACCATCACTCTATTGCCAGGCACCGTCATTCTATTTGCAGACACCATCACTCTATTTGCTGTCTCCATCGCTTTGTTTGCAGACACCACCATTCTATTGCCAGGCACCGTCATTCTATTTGCAGACACCATCACTCTATTTGCTGTCTCCATCGCTTTGTTTGCAGACCACCATTCTATTGCCAGGCACCGTCATTCTATTTGCAGACACCATCACTCTATTTGCTGTCTCCATCGCTTTGTTTGCAGACACCACCATTCTATTGCCAGGCACCGTCATTCTATTTGCAGACATCATCACTCTATTTGCTGTCTCCATCGCTTTGTTTGCAGACACCAACCATTCTATTGCCAGGCACCGTCATTCTATTGGCAGACACCATCACGCTATTTACAGACACCACCACTCTGTTTCCAGACACCATCACTCTATTTCCAGACACCATCACTCTATTTCCAGACACCAATCACTCTATTTCCAGACCCATCACTCTATTTGAGGACACCATCGCTCTATTTGCAGACACCACCACTCTATTTGCAGACACCATCACTCTATTTCCACGTTCTATATTCACGTTCAAGTCCTTCTCCAAGGTCTCGGCTCTATGGAGTCAGCTTTAGTGGCTCACCATCTGTGTTGGATTAAAATCCTGCCTGGGAAATCCGAAATGTAAGTACCCCCACCCCCCAACACCCAACCCATACACTCTCCCCCTTTCTGTTTTCATCTTAAGCCCGCTAGTTCAAATCTTTGATAATCACTGCCCGTTCCATTCTCTTTGAACTTGAAACTTCATACATTACGGTATCATTATGTTATAACATTATCACTCATGTATCCATATACAATCGCTCTATACATGCACAATCATTCTATCCATGCACAAGCATTCTGTCCATGCACAATCATTATATCCATGCACAATCATTATATCCATACACAATCATTCTATCCAAACACAATCATTTAATCTATACATCGTTATTCTATCCATACACAATCATTCAATCTATACACAATCATTCAATCCATACACAATCATTCTATCCATGCAAAACACACGCATCTTAAAACGCACACAAATTCGCATCCTAAACACATCAAGTAACACACTCAAGTAACACATCAAGTAACACATCAAGTAACACATCAAGTAACACATCAAGGAACACATCAAGAAACACAAAGAAACACATCAAGAAACACATTCACAGACACATCCAGATAAAATATCTTGGAATAATTATAATTAAATCTTACACGCAAAAACCCTTGCACTCTCTAAACAACATGTCTGCATGTACTCTCTAAACAACATGTCTGCATGTACTCTGTAAAAACATGTCTGTATGCACTCTCTAAGCAACATGTCTGTATGCACACTCTAAACAACATGTCTGCATGTACTCTCTAAACAACATGTCTGCATGTACTCTCTAAACAACATGTCTTCATGTACTCTCTAAACAACATGTCTGCATGTACTCTCTAAACAACATGTCTGCATGTACTCTCTAAACATCATGTCTGCATGTACTCTCTAAGCAACATGTCTGCATGTATTCTCTAAACATCATGTCTGCATGCACTCTGTATACAACATGTCTTCATCTACTCTGTAAACAACATGTCTATAAACTTGTTAAGATGTAATTTTGTAATCATATGTTTTCAGAAATCATTTGATATGCATATAAACAATATCACGCTTCTCAAACACTTGTGTTTGGCCCACATGTGGACACATTTTCCATTGCACCAGGGCCCGCTCTGGGACTGATTCATTATTGCTCTTTTAATTTTACCTTAAATATGTCATAAAATATTTAGTAATCCGTTTTGGGCAATCCGATAACACTCGATTAACTATTACCACTTAATCTTAGACGTTAATATTTATTTTTATTTATTTTTTTTAATTGTGGGGTAGGGTGGTTTTAATCTTTTTAAAAAATGTTGTTTTTTTTGTTTTTTTTAATATTTAAAAAATTCAAAATAGTTTTTTTACTGTTATCACAAAAATTCTGTAGGTAAAGCAACTCACTTTTTTAGTAAACAAAGACTATTTCATGAGAAATGTGAGCATGATTTTTATTAACAAACTATTAAAATCTTGGCTCAATGGTAGACAGTGCGTCCGCGAGGGAGACAGAATATCCATTGTGTTCATATCCTTTGTCTCAATAATGCTTAAGGACTTGAAGCCAGTTTCGCAGAGGTAAGTTGAAGGAAATGGTCCCCATTTGGGTTCACTCCTCAAAGGCGTCCACTGTTGCCATAGTGAACCAGTTTTATGCTGAATCCTGTACATAGTTGGATCATTATGGCTCACGTTTCAGAGAGAAAGAGAGAGAAGTGAGTGCTAATTTTATATCCACGTATGACGTACCGAACTCCAAGTACGATACATCCGCCAGATAAGCTTCCTACTCCTCCGGAGTTTACAGGAAGCGTTGCCGCTGTTTCATCGTCTAGCAGGCGGAAGTGTTCAAGGTCATTGGGAGGACACATTTGCCATCATAATTTAGCGGCGGAGGGACTCTCGTGAGCAAATGGGACACTTCCACTATTGTTTCTTTGAAAAGTACTACTGTCCTTGAACTCTGTGACCTCGTTTGTGCCGGAAAGGAATTACAATTATTTGTAGATTATGGTAATATAAATCTAGCAGGGCTCTCTAGCCAGCAGGAACATCTCTTCGTATGCAACAAAAAATCGTTTCCTTTCTGTATCAATTCCATTGTAGCCTGCTAGAACTCTCTGGTGAGACATCAGATTGCTCAGATGTTTACAGATGGGTGTCTTACTCTTTCTTTGGAACAATTAGCTGTGAAACATGTTTCCGGACATTTCCTCTACGGATTGTATTCTGAAGGTCGGAAATGTTTTTATCTGGTCTCGTGGGTCCACAACAGCCTTCACTCCCCAACCACTGCCAGTCTGAGTGGTCCACAACAGCCTTCACTCAACAATCACTGCCAGTCTCACTGGTCCACAACAGCCTTCTCTCACCAACAACTGCCAGTCTGAGTGGTCCACAACAGCCTTCTCTCACCAACAGCTGCCGGTCTTACTGGTCACAACAGCATTCACTCATCAACCTCTGCAAGTCTCACTGGTCACAACAGCATTCACTCACCAACCGCTGCCAGTCTCACTGGTCACAACAGCCTTCACTCACCAACTGCTGCCGGTCTCACTGGTCCACAACAGTCTTCACTCACCAACCATTGCCAGTCTCACTGGTCCACCACAGCCTTCACTCACCAACCTCTGCCAGTCTCACTGGTCACAACAGCCTTCTCTCACCAACCGCTGCCAGTTTCACTGGTCCACAACAGCCAACACAGCCCTCACCCAGCGCTGTCTGCTATCGGCATACGTATTCCGACTGACGGTCTGGCACAGGTGGCATGGGTTCGCTCCCAATCACCGTTTATCGTCTCACTGACAGCGGTACTCACCCACTGGCCCGACATGCTCCGCAGGGCGTCTCCCACACTAGATACGTCTTGTGATTGCACGGGGATGAAACTGAGACGCATTAGGAAGGGCGTGGTCAAATGGGGCGTGGACTAATGGGGCGTGGTATAATATGATGGAGAGAGGAAAGTACTTGATTCTAATAGTTGAAAAAAGAAAGAGCCGGTTGGGGGGGGGGGTATAACTAAAGACAAGAATATTTTTCCAGGGAATAGAAAAAATTTTAACAGAATTAAGAGAGGAAAGTACTTGATTCTAATAGTTGAAAAAAGAAAGAGCCGGTTGGGGGGGGGGGGTATAACTCAAGACCAGGATACTTTCACCAGGAATATGAAAAATTTTAACAGTATTTACTCCAGCCTATGACATCAAGCAGGTAGTTCTCTGGAGATGTTGGTCTGGAGATGTTGGTGATATGGATTATGTTGTGATGTTGATTATGTTGGGGATATGGATTATGCTGTGATGTTGATTATGTTGTGATGTTTATTATGTTGTGATGTTGATTATGTTGTTATGTAGATTATGGTGATGATAAGCTAACACTTGAGTTATTTTCACGAATATAAACTTTTTATTTGACCAAACACATAAAGTGAATTTAGCATATACAATGCTAATAGCACATTTTTACATAAAGCACTCGAACAAAATACAAGACCTAAAACACATATACAACACATTTAGCACATATAACCTATCCACCCCTTAAATCAAATACAGAGCATTTAGGAAACTGGGCCCTCCCAATAGTTTCCCACACAAGTCCTGAACTATATTTCCCTGTCACAGCATATGTCACAGCATATGTCAAAAATTTTGTGATGGATTATTTTGAAGAGCATGCTTCAGGGGTCAAAGGCTGCTAACCCATGACTTACATGTCATGAGTACTTGACATGGTGTTGTTTTTTTTAAAACTAATTAATACACATTGTAATCACCAATTTACTTGAGTAGCTTGCTACTACTTTGAGATCGGTATTACTTTGTAAGAGAATGTTGCATAAGAGCTTGACACTGAGGGACACGCCTTTTGTTGGGTTGTTGGGGTTTTGTGTTTTCAAGTTGAAAGTATTAAAATATCAATAGAGCAAAAATTCGACATCTGTGGTCAAATATTTGGCGGGTTATATCTAGTCTTTTATGTTATCGCCGTCTGTTACTCACGCTCTCACACACACAAACATACAGGTATAAACATACAAGCACACACACACACATGCACACTTCCGCACACACACGCACACTTCCGCACACGCACATACACAAACACACACACACACACACACGCACACCAACACACACACACACACGTACACACAAACACACACACACGTAGTCCCGATAAATTCAAGCTTACGTGTATCACTGACAATACGATAGACCACATTCTACAGTGAATGGCACTGTTCTGTAGTGTCTACATTTCACGGCAGGACATATTCCAGGCTAGGACATATTTCGTAGTAGGACATATTCAGGTTATGACATTTTTCATAGTAGGACATATTCAGGTTAGAACATTTTTCATCGTTAGACATAATTTATGGTAGGACATATCTCATAGTAGGACATATTCAGGCTAGGACATATTTCATAGTAGGACATATTCAGGCTAGGAAATTTTTCATAGTTAAACATAATTTATGGTAGGACATATCTCATTGTAGGACATATTCAGGCTAGGACATATTTCATAGTAGTACATATTCAGGTTATGACATTTTTCATAGTAGGACACATTCAGGTTAGAACATTTTTCATAGTTAGACATAATTTATGGTAGGACATATCTCATAGTAGGACATATTCAGGCTAGGACATATTTCATAGTAGGACATATTCAGGCTAGGAAATTTTTCATAGTTAGACACAATTTATGATAGGACATATCAATAAATATTTAATTGTAGGACATATTTCATGTTATGATAAAATTCATGATAGAACATACAGAGCACGCCACCTGGTGCTAATCACGTGGCTCAACCTTCAGGAAGCATCGATGTCATGCCAGGCACTTGACGAGCTCGTCACAGCGGGGTGTCGCTTGATAAGCCATTGACAGTACACATCATGGGACCCATCAGTCTCACAAATGTGACCTGACACTTCACATCATGGGACCCATCGGTCTTATTAGTCTGCCTTGGCGGTAAACATCATGGGACCCATCAGTCTCACAAATGTGATCTAACAGCACACATCATGGGACCTATCAGTTTTATGAGTCGGTCCAGCTAGATAATTAGTATGTTCTACTTGACAGTTGCATCATGCTGTATCATGCTATATCGTGATATATCACGCTGGATGGAATTAGCTTTACAAACGGTCATCAAATGTCATCTGTAAACGATATAAAATACTCTAAATGTGTCAAATTTAATTTTGCGCTGTTTTTCATATAGAGAATTTTGGGGATGTAGAGGTATCTTACCGAGGCGACGCCTCTGATCCAATGAATTCTGCGGTCAGGGTCCCCAACATAATCCAAATATAGATCACTTAGCACAAATTGTCCGGTGGCGAAACAGTGCCATCTCGTCTCTACCGTAATTGTGCCGATGGCGCCCAGTCGATGTAAGCAGCAGAGATGGCCGGTGCTGGCTGGACGTGGCACTTAACTTCATATCCATTATTGAGATTGCATTGACAGCCCCAGTGCCGTCTGCTGGGAGCCAAATAGAGTTATCATCCCTTGGCGTGTTCAGAGATCAGGAGAACCACTTCACTCCAGGCTTGAGTGAGTTTTAGAGTTTCAGTCATTAGTGTGTATGAAGGAGGGTTATATACTGTATCGTGATTTTTTAAAAGTTATTTTAATGTGTGGAAGTGTGCGGGACATGTTCATTAAATATAGGACATTAATGTTTCGAAGTGTGCGGGACATGTGCATTAAATATAGGACATTAATGTTTCGAAGTGCGCGGGACATGTGCATTAAATATAGGACATTAATGTTTCGAAGTGTGCGGGACATGTGCATTTAATATAAGACATTAATGTTTCGAAGTGTGCGGGACATGTGCATTTAATATAAGACATTAATGTTTCGAAGTGCGCGGGACATGTGCATTAAATATAGGACATTAATGTTTCGAAGTGTGCGGGACATGTGCATTTAATATAGGACATTAATGTTTCGAAGTGTGCGGGACATGTGCATTTAATATAAGACATTAATGTTTCGAAGTGTGCGTGACATGTGCATTTAATATAAGACATTAATGTTTCGAAGTGTGCGTGACATGTGCATTTAATATAAGACATTAATGTTTCGAAGTGTGCGGGACATGTGCATTTAATATAGGACATTAATGAACAGGTTATGTTGTGTTAATTTTTTAGATGTGTCATAAATAAAGCCATGCGTCTGTTTGCTGTTGTTCTTTTCAATCAGCCGTGTCGGTCCACGGCTGGCGAGGCTCGAGTACGGCGCCCTTAGTATCAAGAGTTTGAGATGGTGTCTCACTGGCGTACCCCCACCCTCGAACCATGTTAGCTTCTCATCTGGAAGCGGGGGGTGGGGGGGGTCTTTTCTTGCTTGTGAGAACACCTCTTTTGAGTTTTAAGTTCACTGAATCTGGCGTTAAATATAATTCACTGTATATGACACAAATATGTCATGTCTATGTCATTAACTCTTACTTGTTTTGTCCTGCAATGTCTGAAAGTATGATCATTTCAGGTCTCCTAAATCTTTTAAATCTTAGTGGTTAGACTCCATCTTGCCATGAGCATCCCATGAACCGTAGGCAACATGTGACCCATTGCTCCATGTCAAGTTCTTTTTATCTCTATTATGTAAGCAATGCGTACCGTTTCTATACGATGGCATTAAGGTTAAAGGTCATACCAGAGAGAAGGGACAAGATGGCGGGGCAACGGGGAAGGGGGTGAATACGTCATCGAGGTGTTCATATCATACTTTGACATTTTTGGGGTCTAAACAATTATATATTAGTTATTTCTATTCTTTTCGAGAGAGCCTTCACATTTTTCACATATATATTACGTTGTCTATGTTTTAATGCTATTTAAAGGTTTTTCAATACCTTCTTGTTTTATATTGGGTTGTCTATGCTTTACTGTTGGATCCATAATTCGAAAACGGGTGCCCATCACCGACATGGGACAAGGTCTCCATTATGTAACAGTGACATTGGAAAACATACTTAGTGGCAGTGTGACAGCTGTCAATTATGTAACAGTGACATTGGAAAACACACTTAGTGGCAGTGTGACAGCTGTCCATTATGTAACAGTGACATTAGAAAACATACTTAGTGCCAGTGTGATAGGTGTCCTTTTTGTAAAAGTGACATTGGAAAACATACTTAGTGGCAGTGTGACAGCTGTCCATTATGTAACAGTGACATTGGAAAACATACTTAGTGGCAGTGTGACAGGTGTCCATTATGTAACAGTGACATTGGAAAACATACTTAGTGGCAGTGTGACATCTGTCCATTATGTAACAGTGACATTGGAAAACATACTTAGTGGCAGTGTGACAGCTTTCCATTATGTAGCAGTGACATTGGAAAACATACTTAGTGGCAATGTGACAGGTGTCCATTATGTAACAGTGACATTGGAAAACATACTTAGGGGCAGTGTGACAGCTGTCCATTATGTAACAGTGACATTGGAAAACATACTTAGTGGCAGTGTGACAGCTGTCCATTATGTAACAGTGACATTAGAAAACATACTTAGTGCCAGTGTGATAGGTGTCAATTATATAACAGTGACATTAGAAAACATACTTAGTGTCAGCGTGACCAGAATTCACAGGAGTCGCGCGCAAAAAATGGTTTCAAGTTTCAAGAATGACCGCAAAAAATGGTTTCAAGTTTCAAGAATGACCGCAAAAAATGGTTTCATGTTTCAAGAATGACCGCATGGCACAAATTGGTTTCAAATTTGAAAAAAAAAATTAATTAAATAAATTTCATTGCTTTCCTTGATGAGATATTTTTATTCTTTAATAACATTTTTTGTTTCTTTTAAAACTTGAGACTCGTCCCTCTACTTGGAACTGCACTCCCTATTTATACTGGTGCTTCTCATCAACCTTATTTATAATAGTGCTTTTTATCAACCTTATTTTTATTGTGTTTTTTATCAACCTTATATATTATTATTTGCTTTTTATCAACCTTATTTATAATAGTGCTTTTTATCAACCTTTTTATAATAGTGCTTTTTATCAACCTTATTTATTATTATTTGCTTTTTATCAACCTTATTTATAATAGTGCTTTTTATCAACCTTATTTATTATTATTTGCTTTTTATCAACCTTATTGATAATAGTGCTTTTTATCAAACTTATTTATTATTATTTGCTTTTTATCAACCTTATTTATAATAGTGCTTTTTATCAACCTTATGTATAATAGTCCTTTTTAACAACCCTTTTTTATAATAGTGCTTTTTATCAACCTTGTTTATAATAGTGCTTTTTATCAACCTTATTTATAATAGTGCTTTTTATCAACCTTATTTATTATTATTTGCTTTTTATCAACCTTATTTATAATAGTGCTTTTTATCAACCTTATTTATAATAATGTATGGTAATAAAACGTATTTATACTAATGCTTCAGACGGTGCTTCTCACACCTTTCAGTGTGACGGCCTAGCATTATTTTTAACCGTTCATTGAGATCATCCAAAGTGATGCTGCCGACCAGATAGAGAACCACTGCTAGAAAATTACATGTAGTCATCTATTGTGAAATACTAAGCAATATATAGCAGCTATTAAAGAAACTGTAGGATAATGAGCAGTTGCATCACATCAAGCGACGTATTTCCTGCAAGGCAGCCAGTGGCAGCTTCGTTTCTGAAGTAGTTGCTTTTTACTGTTGTTAAACCTTGTTCTCCATTTCTCATCTTACCGACAGGAAGTCCAGGCCTCACAGGGTGCAACCCATCTCTATACAGGAAGTCCAGGCCTCACAGGGTGCAACCCATCTCTATACAGGAAATCCAGGTCTCACAGAGTGCAACCCATCTCTATACAAGAAATCTTGGCATCATAGAGTGCAACACATCTCTATAGACCGGAAGTGGGGTGCCATTAATGGCCGCCAAAAAAGTGTTTCGTGAATGAATCACGGCTTACGTGGACTTTGACTCTGGTCTTCCCTGAGCTTACGTGGACTTTGACTCTGGTCTTCCCTGATTTGGTCCTATATTACTGGACTGGCCAGGGTCAAAATGACCTTGATCTGAATGACTAAATCGATTTGAAACAGGTCAAAAAAGATGTGACCATAATGGAAAGATAATTATTTCTCATCAACACATAACTTCCAGGAGATATTTTATTGCCCGCAGAATAATGTTGCTGAAAAGTCGATGGAAATCAACAACTGAATTTTTCAGGATTTGAATTTGAATTTTTTTTTTTTTTGTATCATCAATGATTGTTGATTTCAATACATCGCCTACATGAGGATTTTCTGATCCACTAACCAAAGGAGTGCAATGCAAGACCAACGTGTCGTCTGTCCACTTGTCCAACCCGTCTCCCGAAGATTCCCACCAACCGGTCCCTCTGCTTACACGACAATGCCCACGTGACCTTGAACTTCGGCTGCCCTCGTCGGACTCCCAACAGCCATGCGGACCATGCCCAGGCTGTTGTTGCTGCTGTTCGGGATGTCGGTGGTCACGATGATGTTCATCGCGCGCTGTGGTCTCAACATGGACAGCCAGCTGCACAACAGCCCACACGGGGGCATGCCTGTGTCATCAGGGGGGTCGCCTGGGGAGAAGGCGCTGAGGGAGGTAGGTTGGTTTTGTTTCATTTGTTTGAAATTAGAAGTTTCAAGTTTGACTTTTTTTTTATTCCAGTTTATTGCTGCCAGTTGTCTTCTAAGGTGAGCAGTACTCTTAGTTGTTTATGCGCAGTCAAGAATTCTCTTTTTCGTTTATGCGTAGTCAAGAAGTCTCTTAGTTATTCATGCACAGTCCAGATTTCTCTTAGTTGTGTATGTGTAGTCACGATTTCTCTTAGTCACGTATGCGAAGACATAGGATGAGGAGTATGATATATCGATTCTATGATTTTTATCCTTATGACAAGCTACTTAAACTACTATTTAAATAAGACAATTTTTTAATTGCATCTTAAGTCATCAACTTTATATCATATACATGACACAAGTGTTGAAGTTTACGGTCAAGGCTCAACAAAATTAAAGTCAGGGGTTGATCTTCTGATCCCATGGAGTCCATCCAATATGATTGACATGTGGCTTTCTTGGCCCTGATTTTGGCAATGAAACAGATGTTTACAGTACGAGTCTATATTATAAAGTGTCTAATTCTGGTAGTGTTCGTTGCTGCATCCATATATTGGCATCTGTGCAGTGGTTGGGGAAGCGATGTTGCTATTATTATAGAAAATAATTTCCATGTACCAAGTGGGTGGCCAGTCGCTAATGAATGATTACCCGTGTGAATTTGGGCGGTAAATCTCCCCGTAAGCGAGCGGAATCTCACCTTTCTTCGATTCCGCTCAGTCCATTAATTTGTGTTGAGCCTCAAGGACGCTTCCTCACTTCTCAGGACCCCACACGGCGCTCGAGTTACGCCCGGGCCCCGTAGGCAGTCAACAGTTTGGCACAAGGCAATATGGGCCGCTGTGTGTAGATCTGGTCCGTTTCACCAGTAATGGGGTGCTACTGCAGGTGGCGCCTCTGGCAGCACGTGGTTAAATTCACGCAGGTGTCGAGAGTTTGAGCGTTCAAAGAAGCCTGTCTCAGGAAGACTGGCGCACTTCCGGTGAGTCGTTGTAGCAATGACGTGACGTCAGAATCGAATCTCCGTAAAGATCTCGAATCGCGTTACTAATTAACCGGGAGATTAGTTGGGACGCGTTCCCCCGGAATGGTCACGTGATATTTGGTTTCTGCGTGCGGTCATGTGATATTTGGTGTTCGGAGTGGTCACGGGATGTTTGATGTATCGGGACATGATTAGAATGAATACACAAGAATGATTACACAAGAATGATTACACAAGCATGATTACACAAGAATGATTACACAAGAATGATTACACAAGAATGATTACACAAGCATGATTACACAAGAATGATTACACAAGAATGATTACACAAGTATGATTACACAAAAAAATGCGTTGCTCCTTGAAACAACTGTGTTGACGTAAACGACATTGCATTATTTTCAACAAAACTTCCATCGTTATTAATCTATTGTCATTAATCGTTCTCCTTAATCATTGTCATTCATCATTCTCCTTGATCATTGTAACTGATCACTTAATGAGTCGTTAGGAAGTTTTCATCATAGCACTGGAACGTGTCTCCAAAGTTTAGTCAGGCTTTCTAATGACCGCACCGAGGTTATAGACAATGATATCTATGTATGGCGTCGTTGGTGTGCTTGTTATTGAGCATCGATACGTCTGTAGCAGTGGTTCTCATACCGTCCCTTATTATAAACGCATTCTCGGGGCCATCCCTCCATGTGCCACTGCCTGGTTATTATTTTGTACATGTTGTATTAATTAATATAGATAAAACATCACCCCTTTTAAATGAGTGATAAACATTTTATAAACAGCCCCCCCCCGGACACACACACACACATATCCACACTGACACTGTCAAGTCTGAAGTCCAACAAACTCTTATTGTCAGGTCTAACGACCTGCAGACTCCTACGGTCAGGTCTAACGACCTGCAGACTCCTACGGTCAGGTCTAACGACCTGCAGACTCCTACGGTCAGGTCTAACGACCTACAGACTCCTACGGTCAGGTCTAACGACCTGCAGACTCCTACGGTCAGGTCTAATGCCCTGGAGACAATGTTCCCTTTAAGCTTCGGGGCCGCGCAGCAATCTCACAGACGCCGCGCAGCAGTTTTGAGTAACGCGCAGCTAATTTCCACTCAAGTTTGTGTCTGCAGGCTGTAAAATTTTGCGCACAAAAAAATTGATGCTTTAAAAATTTGGAGACAACTTTATGATTTAGCACACGAACCAACAAACCTTTGAGGGAACATTTCCTAGAGACCCCTACTGTCAGGTCTAACGTCCTACAGAAACCTACTGTCAGGTCTAACGTTCTACAGAAACCTACTGTCAGGTCTAACGTCCTACAGACCCTTAATGTCGGGTCTAACGTCCTACAGAAACCTATTGTCAGGTCTAACGTCCTACAGACCCTTACTGTCAGTCTAACGTCCTAAAGAAACATATTGTCAGATCTAATGTCCTACAGACCCTTACTGTCATGTCTAACGTCCTACAGAAACCTATTGTCAGGTCTAACGTCCTACAGACCATTACTGTAATGTCTAACGTCCTACAGTCCATTACTGTCAGGTCTAACGTCCTACAGACCCCTACTGTCAGGTCTAACGTCTTACAGACCCCTACTGTCAGATCTAACGTCCTACAGAACCTTACTTTTTGGTCTAACGTCCTACAGTCCCTTACTGTCAGGTCTAACGTCCTACAGACCCCTACTGTCAGGTCTATGTCCCACAGACCCTTTCTGTCAGGTCTAACGTCCTACAGACCACAAATGTAAGGTCTAACGTCCTACAGACCCCTACTGACAGGTCCAACGTCTTACAGATCCCTACTGTCAGGACTTATGTCCTACAGACCTCTTCTGTCACGACTTAAGTTGTCACATTAACACTGTCATCAAACAGACCCTCAAAATGTCTATAAATGGACATTAGATATATCCATCACGACACTGATTTCCTGCAACAACACACCAGAGAGATTTATAATGGAAAACAAATTAATTCAGATTTTTGGCTCAATATAACTAAATAGAATCAATCAAATACCCTCAAACTATTGATCCTGAATTTCTCTGTATTGTTTTTTCCTTTTTTCTTAAATTTTAAATATCTCCACACAAAAAAATCTGTTGAGATCTTATTTTTCACAGTAATAATACATAAATTATTTCACTTCCTGTAATTTTGGTTTCGGAAAATCCAACTTCCGGCAATAACAATGGCGATCACTTGAGCTCATTAGCTCGTTTCTATTTCTTGTCGTATCGTCATTAGTCTTGTCCGCCGAGGAAGGCTCTTGGCCGAAACGTTCTTCTCTTATTATCCTGTCTTTCGATTCAAGCTTCCCCTATTCTCCCCTTTCCCCTTTCTTTGAACAGATCCCTAAGCTAACTCTGTCATCAAATATACCCTTAAACCAACTGTATTCTGTTACCTCTCACCAGGTGATGAGAAGGAAAGAAGTGGAACACCTCCGTGACAAGTCTGTCCTACAGGAAAAAATTAAAAGTCTCGAAAGTCAGCTGTCAAAGGTGAGTGACAGGCGGTTCATTTATTTAAGTGAAATTGTAACATACCAGAGTTAAACTGCATATTTTGGTGTAGCATTTTATACCTTAGTTTTACACTCAAAATCTTGGTTTTACCCACACTATCTCAGACATACACTCGCTACTTCAGTGGTCCCCAACATCTCAGTGTTACGCTACATACCCAGAGAAAATAGTTCGCCTCCAGCCGCCATGTTTAGCGGCAAGCGTGTTTCTATTTTGTTTGCCAAGATTTGTTGATGTTTAGAAGAGAAATCCTGCAGGCTCAATTCACAACCCCCAAATTTCCAGCTAAACAAATACGGCAACACATTGGGTCTCAACAATATAGAACTAAAATTATGTGTTTAAACTCTCAAAATATGTCCCTAAACGTTACCCCCAATTTTTTTTTTTTTTTGTTTCTTTAAGAAAATCCAGTCGTGATAAATTCCGACTTCTCGATGTAGACAATTGTCCCCCTTGATGTATTTGTGTTGTATTTATGTTATGTTGTATTTATGTTGTGTTGTATTTATGTTGTTGACATCTTTTTCTTTTGACCATTCATGTAATCGCATATTTGTCAATAATTAAGAGCGTTCAGCTTCACGGTTTCTAAGACACAACTCTCGACCTACATTGTCTGTTGACTAAATCAGACCTACATTGTCTGTTGACTAAATCAGACCTACATTGTCTGTTGACTAAATCAGACCTACATTGTCTGTTGACTAAATCAGACCTACATTGTCTGTTGACTAAATCAGACCTACATTGTATGTTGACTAAATCAGACCTACATTGTCTGTTGACTAAATCAGACCTACATTGTATGTTGACTAAATCAGACCTACATTGTCCAAATCAGACCTACATTGTCTGTTGACTAAATCATACCTACATTGTCTATTGACTAAATCAGACCTACATTGTCTGTTGACTAAATCATACCTACATTGTCTGTTGACTAAATCAGACCTACATTGTCTGTTGACTAAATCAGACCTACATTGTCCAAAGCAGACCTACATTGTCTGTTGGCTAAATCAGACCTACATTGTCTATTGACTAAATCAGACAACTTTAAAAAAACAACAACTGGTTTTAATGATGGAGTGCACTGTAGGTCCCATTGAAGATCATCTATAAATCTATTTCCAGGTAAATTTCTAACATTTCAAATTGGTACCATTTCGTTTGGTAGACACGTGTTTAAGACTGTGTCCGAGTGCAAGTTTCATTACAAGCTACATCTAAGGCGACCGGGTAATCTTATAATAAAATAATTCTAAAATAAGATACACGGAGAACATTAAAATAAGATAGACGTAGAACTTCAAAATAGGATACACGGATGACATCAAAAATAAGATACAAAGCACGTTTTGTCCTGAACCGCTACAGGACTACCTCTAGTGTTGGCAGCATGCTGGAAACACTGGACTGGTCACCATTGGAGGAGTGACGACGACCATCCAGACTCTCCATGATAAATTATGGTCTGGTCCACTGTTCCAGTATTTAACAGAAACTCGTCCCTCTCATTTAGCGAGCCCCAAATAGGATATCCGTAGAAGTCCGAGTCTCCTTATAGGAAGTCGTTTTAGAAACTCTGTTCTTTTTATAAGTGTATCCTGCTCGGAGCCTAACAGGTTCAAGAATCTTTCTAATGTTAAACATTTTTTTTTAAATTGCTGCATCGCTTAAACTATGAGATACGATTTGAAATAATCTGTTCAACAAGTTGCGCTCAGAAAACTTAAGCCGGCTGATCTTATTTCGAGACCATTCCTTACACTGGGCCACTTTGTTCTAAAGCTGTTGGTTCTGTCTGATACCCACTTTGTTCTAAAGCTGTTGGTTCTGTCTGATACCCACTTTGTTCTAAAGATGTTTGTTCTGTCTGATACCCACTGTGTTCTAAAGATGTTTGTTCTGTCTGATACCCACTTTGTTCTAAAGCTGTTGGTTCTGTCTGATACCCACTTTGTTCTAAAGCTGCCAGTTCTGTCTGACACCCACTTTGTTCTAAAGCTGCCAGTTCTGTCTGACACCCACTTTGTTCTAAAGCTGCCAGTTCTGTCTGATACCAACTCTATTCATCTCTCAATCCCCAGGTTGTGCTAGAGCCGAGGCTGAGACGCTCTAGCAGCATGGCTTTATCTCTTATTTTATGATTTCTCGCCGGTGCTGAGAGCACAAAAGTAGCGTCGTCACAATTAGCGAGGGGCGAACTGGTGTCAGATTTAACAAATACACTTTCACGTCAAGGTGGCTGATTCTCAAACTATCACAAAATGTTTGTTAATAAGACACAGGCAAGGGTGCGGGCGGGCAGCCCAACTATTCAGGACTTGTTCGACAGTAAGACTAAGTCGTCTGCTTCGCTTCAATATTTTACATTTGTTTTTATCGTGTGGCAAACACGAGTTACGCCCATGTAGGAGATGAAGGTCTCGCGGTCACGTGATGTTAGGGTGAGGTTCAGATAATGTTTCATTCACCGGCGCGCCGGGTCATCACAACATGACCACGTTGTTTACACTCACGCCCACGGGGTGTCAATGGCTTAGCCGTCAGTTGTGGCACCCGACACTCATGCCGGGTGGCGCCACACACGGCTTGTGGTATTTGTGGCGCCCGACACGCGTGCTAGGTGGTGCCACACACAGCATGTGGTAGATGTGGCACCCGACACTCATGCCGGGTGGCGCCACACACGGCTTGTGGTATTTGTGGCGCCCGACACTCGTGCTAGTTGGTGCCATACACAGCTTGTGGTAGATATGGTACCCGACACACATGATGGGTGGCGCCACACACTGCTTGTGGTAGATATGGCACCCCGACTCATTCTGCTTGAGGTAACAGATTATGTGCTGTCTCTAATTGATAGGCTATCGATCCCAAATTAATAAAGTGATAAACGTTATTTGATTAGGGGCTGAACCTGAAAATGAGAGGGGGCTGAACTCTGCGACTTATTCCTTATAGTGTACAAGGTGTCCCTGAAAATGAGAGGGGGCTGAACTCTGCGACTTATTCCTTATAGTGTACAAGGTGTCCCTGAAAATGACAGGGGGCTGAACTCTGCGACTTACTCCTTATAGTGTACAAGGTGTCCCTGAAAATGACAGGGGGGCTGAACTCTGCGACTTATCCCTTATAGTGTACAAGGTGTCCCTGAAAAATGACAGGGGGCTGAACTCTGCGACTTATTCCTTATAGTGTACAAGGTGTACCTGAAAATGAGAGGGAGCTGAACTCTGCGACTTATTCCTTATAATGTACAAGGTGTCCCTGAAAATGAGAGGGAGCTGAACTCTGCGACTTATTCCTTATAGTGTACAAGGTGTCCCTGAAAATGAGAAGGAGCTGAACTCTGCCACTTATTCCTTATAGTGTACAAGGTGTCCCTGAAATGAGAGGGAGCTGAACTCTGCGACTTATTCCTTATAGTGTACAAGGTGTCCCTGAAAATGAGAGGGAGCTGAACTCTGCGACTTATTCCTTATAGTGTACAAGGTGTCCCTGAAAATGAGAGGGAGCTGAACTCTGCGACTTATTCCTTATAGTGTACAAGGTGTCCCTGAAAATGAGAGGGAGCTGAACTCTGCGACTTATTCCTTATAGTGTACAAGGTGTCCCTGAAAATGAGAGGGAGCTGAACTCTGCGACTTATTCCTTATAGTGTACAAGGGGTCCCTGAAAATGTGTCTAGAGACTTCTCTGACTCTCACTCCGACTCAGTCTCTGAGGTATTTCAATGCAAAACATTTGGTGGCATGTCTTTTAGTTTTAGTGGCATTTCTTTAGTGGCATTTCTTTTGAAGTCATTTCTTTTGGGGGTATTTCTTTAGTGGCATTCGTTTTATCTTTTGAGTTAAAGATGTCTGCAAACACTACAGTTTCAGCCTTGCTCTCATCACAGAATATTGACCATCAGATTAAAATCCTTTTAAGTTTGAGCATTGCTCTTATCAGAGCCTAGTGACCATCAGAGTACAGTCTGTCTGCAAACACTACAGTTTGAGCATTGCCCTCATCACAGCCTAGTGACCATCAGAGTACAGTCTGTCTGCAAACACTACAGTTTGAGCATTGCCCTCATCACAGCCTAGTGACCATCAGAGTACAGTCTGTCTGCAAACACTACAGTTTGAGCATTGCCCTCATCACAGCCTAGTGACCATCAGATTACAGTCTGTCTGCAAACACTACAGTTTGAGCATTGCCCTCATCACAGCCTAGTGACCATCAGATTACAGTCTCTCTGCAAACACTACAGTTTGAGCACTGCCCTCATCACAGCCTTGTGACCATCAGATTACAGCCTGTCTGCTGACACTACCGTTTGAAAGGCCATGTTTTTGTTACTCACTCACCGTTGTGCTAGACCTCAATGTTGACAAAGGAATGCCACAAGCATCAGACGTCAGTAACAACATTCCGATCACAAATCTGCCCCAGGGAGATTAAACATTGGAGGGCTGTGGCGAGGCCTGTGGCGCATTCGTTCCCCGTCTGCTAGTGTATTTTTACTTGATCTCCTGTTCTTCAACTACATCTTGTGACCTTCTTACAGGTTGATTCTGATACAACCTACCCTTTATCTGATACAACCTACCCTTTACCTGATACAACCTACCCTTTATCTGATACAACCTACCCTTTACCTGATACAACCTACCCTTCGTCTGATACAACCTACCCTTTATCTGATACAACCTACCCTTTAACTGATACAACCTACCCTTTATCTGATACAACCTACCCTTTATCTGATACAACCTATCCCTTATCTGATTATAAAAGTGTTGGACTGAGATAAAGCTTTTAAATAAATTAACAATTTGTGTCAATATAACAATATATGTTAAGCTTTAATAACAGTTTTACATACTTTACAAGTCAAAATTTCGGGGAATTCCTTCATCAGTGTAACAACAAAACATTTAAATAAGTCTAAATTAAATTGACATCATATGTAGATAGGCCTTCATCTATCCTACCTAAAAAAAAGAACACAAATAAGAACAGTTATATGTAAAAAAAAATCTAGTACTAAAAAGGTCAAAAATACAGGTACAAATATATAGCAGCAGTCAGAATTAAATTTAATCAACTGATTATAAAGTGTTGGACTGCGATAAAGCTGTAAAATAAATAAATTGACGCGAACAAATTATTATCGAAGCTTAACATATAGTGTTGTATTGACACAAATTGTTCACGTCTGATAAATTTATTTTAAAGCTTATCACAGTCCAACACTTGTATAATTAGTTAATTAAATTTAATTCTGAGTGCTACTATATATCTGTACCTATTTTAACTACTAGACTAATTCAACATATAAGTGTACCTATTTTTTTCTATTTTTTAGGTAGGATCTATGTATGCACAAATTAAGTTAATGTAATGTATACATTTAAATGTTTTGCCCTTATCTGATTCAACTTACTCTCCCCCGCCGCCCGCCCCCCCCCCCTTATACATGCGACCGATTACAATTGTGTTTCTTTTTAGATTTATTTATTATCTGACTCTGTCATCACCTGCCATCACCTGCCATTACCTGCCATAACTTGCCATCACCTGCCTTTCCCTACCATCGCATAGCATTACCTGCCATCACCTGCCATTGCCTGCCATTACTTGCCATCATGCGCCTTTCCCTACCATCGCATAGCATTACCTGCCATCACCTGCTATTACCTGCCATTACTTGCCATCACCTGCCTTTCCCCACCATCGCATAGCATTACCTGCCATCACCTGCTATTACCTGCCATTACTTGCCATCACCTGCCTTTCCCCACCATCGCATAGCATTACCTGCCATCACCTGCTTTTACCTGTCGTCACTTGCCATCACCTGCCATACCTGCCATCAACTGCCATTACCCGCCGTCCCTTGCCGTCAACTGCCATCACCTGCCATCACCTGCATTTACCTGACATCATCTGCCATAACCTGCCATTATCTACCATCATCTGCCATCACCTGCATTACCTGCCATCATCTGCCATCATCTGCCATCACCTGACATCACCTGCCATTACCTGCCATCATCTGCCATCACCTGCCATCACCTGCCATCACCTGCCATCACCTGCCATCATCTGCCATCACCTGCCATCACCTGCCATCATCTGCCATCACCGGCCATCACCTGCCATCACCTGCCATCACCTGCCATTACCTGCCATCACCTGCCATCACCTGCCATTACCTGCCATCATCTGCCATCACCTGCCATCACCTGCCATTACCTGCCATCACCTGCCATTACCTGCCATCATCTGCCATCACCTGCCATTACCTGCCATCATCTGTCATCACCTGCCATTACCTGCCATCATCTGCCATCATCTGCCATCATACATCCCCTGCCATCTTCTGTCATCACCTGCCATTACCTGCCATCATCTGCCATCACCTGCCATTACCTGCCATCATCTGCCATTACCTGCCATCATCTGCCATCACCTGCCATTACCTGCCATCTTCTGCCATCACCTGCCATTACCTGCCATCATCTGCCATCACCTGCCATTACCTGCCATCATCTGTCATCACCTGCCATCACCTGCAATTACCTGCCATCACCTGCCATTACCTGCCATCATCTGCCATCACCTGCCATTACCTGCCATCATCTGTCATCACCTGCCATTACCTGCCATCATCTGCCATCATCTGCCATCATCTGCCATCACCTGCCATTACCTGCCATCTTCTGCCATCACCTGCCATTACCTGCCATCATCTGCCCTTGGGCCTAAATCGGCAATAAATTTAGTTTGACTTTTACAAACACTCCAGCGTTGTCTGTACTAGCACACAGCAAAATTAACTTGAGAAATGGCTGCTGCATCAGACGTCTCACATATCAATTATCCTGACAAATGTCTGTTTAGACCAGACTTCTCACATATAAATTATCCTGACAAATGTCTGTTACATCAGACTTCTGACATATAAATTATCCTGACGAATGTCTGTCTCATCTGACTTCTCACATATAAATTATCCTGACGAATGTGTGTCTCATCTGACTTCTCACATATAAATTATCCTGACGAATGTCTGCTACATCAGACTTTTCACATAAAAATTATCTTGACAAATGTCTGCTACATCAGACTTTTCACATATAAATTATCTGGACAAATGTCTGTTAGACCAGACTTCTCACATAGAAATTGTCCTGACAAATGCCTGTCAGACCAGATGCCCTTCAAAATCGCAAGTAATAATAAACATCTGATGCCTGTAGCGGGGAAATGGAAGTTCACCCCCCCCCAAACTCCCTGGTCCAACCCTCTACCTTGCGTCCCTCCCCAACCACCACATTCCCTCCCCTCAAGCTGCCCCCATCCTTCCATTGTTATGATACATCTTGACACCAGGAAATGGCAGTCGTATCACCTCTGGAGTGAAATATTATTCTTTGCTCCATCGGCTCTCACACGATTGAGTATAAAATGATGGCTTTCCGATGGCCTTCCAAGCCTTGAAGTGTCAATCAGAAATTTTACCAAGGGAACTTTCCACGCCCCGTTGTCATATCCTAACTAGTAACATGCTAACCTGACGCCCCAACGCCCCGGGGACTCGGCGCCTCCCTCACACATCAATTATGAAGACAAAGTCATGCAGTAAAACGAAGTAGCATTTTAACATATATTATGAGCCGAATAGTCAGTGTCTGTTGATGGGAGTCAAGTTATGAGGACATATGCTCGTTACATAACTGTCCATAACCTCAATCTGTATCCCCTGAAGATTCATGAACTAAATATTCATGACATGTTAGTACTCCACCGACTGAAGTCCCACTCAAACATGCTGAAATGTGTCATTGTTTTTGTCAAAAGTATCGCACCGAAATGACAGTTGTCTCGGACGATGATTGTGACAGTTGTCTCGGACGATGATTGTGACAGTTGTCTCGGACGATGATTGTAACAGTTGTCTCTGACGATGATTGTAACAGTTGTCTCTGACAATGATTGTAACAGTTGTCTCTGACGATGATTGTAACAGTTGTCTCTGACAATGATTGTAACAGTTGTCTCTCATGATGATTGTGACAGTTGTCTCTAACGATGATTGTGACAGTTGTCTCTGACGATGATTGTGACAGTTGTCTTGACGATGATTGTGACAGTTGTCTCTGACGATGATTGTGACAGTTGTCTTGACGATGTTTGTGACAGTTGTCTCTAACGATGTTTGTGACAGGATGGCTGTGTTTGAGCCCTTTCATTAACACACCTATCAAACTAAATGCTTGTACTCTCTATTCTAATTGTTTTAAACGAGATCTTGTTTACCGATCAAATCCAAGTCACAAATAATTGATGGTCCTGGACTTATTATCTAGAGTTGTCAATACAATTTCATAGAAGTGTAGCTTAACATTAAGTTAAAAATAAGTTAGTGGAATGCATTAATACAACCTAAATAAAGATTTGGTTTGGCCCTGGGGGTGGGGGTGTAACTTAATGCAGTCATTTAAGTCCGGCATTTATTTGGTGAATAAGACATACACACACTCATTTCACTCATCGAATTAAATCGTTTGGATTGTAGCACGTGATTTGTTATGTGAACATATAAAAAAGAAACTCTCTAATGACATACATATTACGCTTTTCATATTAAATATTACAGAATCTACATAGTTTTAAAACGTGTTAAATAACTGTTGACAGTCATGATTAACTTTAATTAAGTAACGATTTTTAAAAAAAAATAGATTTAAAAAAAAAAAACCGACGTGCCTTGGTGTGTGAGAACCGCTGGCCTAACCCACATGGAAGCCGTTGCACCATATGGTATCACCGATGATGTCACTTTGCTTGATTCAAAGCACATGTCGAGGTGCTCATGGGAACGGAGAGGCGAATAGGAGTCGGGTCTTTTGGGCCATCATCAAGAGCAGTGTCTGAATTATTAGTTTCACGTGAGCCACGTTCTGAACAAAGCCTAGCGGTGGACCAGGTCTGGCCAGAGGTGCATGCAACAATCGCGACATGTCAGTGAGTGGGCGGGCATCTGGGCTCGTCTGCCCGAGTCCGTGGGAACTTTGTGAGACAATAGTTTACCTTCATTCAAACTCAATCATGATTGTATAAACTGGAAATAGCGAGAAGCGGCTCGAGTGGGCATAAATTTGGAATCGGGGGTCAAGAAATGTGGCCGTTATATGCAGCCTGATTTTAGCATTAAAAATGTTTTGCATGGAATCCAGAATAACAAAATAAGATGTGTATCAAAAGTTAAATAATAGCAGCAGGGGCAAAAAGTCTTACGTGGATCAGGAAAGCAGTCAATACAAAATATTGTACGTAGCTATTTGTATCTAGTTTAATCTATTTTTATTGGACATTTCCAGGTTCAAGGCCAAGTTAACAACCTGACAGCCAGCATGCACTCAGCAGACCACGACTGGGCCCAACATCCCGCCAGGGGCGCCAACGACTCGCCCTACTCCAACAATGGGGCGTACCAGGGCGTCAACATCAACCAGAACATCCCTCCACCCAACGCAGTGTACAGACACGCCCCTGACAAGCCCCAGTCTTACGGCGAGTCACATCTGAGGTTCCCAAGCGATGGACTTAACCCTTTGCCGATGCACCGACCGCAGCACAACGAGCGAGTGCCCTTGTACGATCACATCAACAGGGCCAGGTCATCCATAGAAGTCAGGGACCGCGCGGGGCCGCCCTTTTACGATCAGCGGCTTGTCAACCCCTTAGCGGACGTGGAGGGCATTCAAAGAAACATTAGGAATTCTGCTGAACAACTCGGAGGCGTCCATTTCAGAAACATTGGTGTGGGTAACCATGAGCTAGATATGGGCGTTGTGGACAGGCACGCCCTGGGCGTGGTGGAGAGCGAAGACAACGCAAACAAAGCTGATTTTATGCCTCGTTTTGGACCGACAAGTTTTGGAATGGATAGCGCGCGGGTACCTCGAAGTGCGCCGGTGGAGAGCTCGGAGTTTAGAGCGGATCCACGAGACGGGACCAGCGTGGATTCCGATATTTTGAGGCGGGTCAACGCAAGTTTTGAATATGTGAAATACTTTCACGAACGTTTGAAGTCGGCCGAGATTCTAAGTGGACAGCCTTATAAGACGGAGTACGAGTTGATTCCGTTCAACCGGTTTATTTATAACAGGATCTACATGGTGGACCCGGGACTCGGGAAACGTGTCGTGGAGAAGCCGATTGGCTCCAAGAAGAAAGACCTCAATGAGATCTTGTACCACGCCGTGGAGTCTCTCAACAACAACCGGACAGAGGCGTTTCAGTACAGCTACGATGACTTTGTCGAGGGCGTGTACCGGACGGACCCCGCCTGGGGCTCGCACTACGAGCTGTACTTCATCAACAAGGATGACTCGAAGAGGCACAACTCTTACGTCAAACTTTCTGTCTTCCGTCCCTTTGCGCCTCCGATGACGGTCTCCCAGAACGTGATCACCACCGGCCCGGAGTGGATCAACATCATCCTGCCGTTATCCAAGCGCGTGGAGACGTTCCGGCAGTTCATGGAGCAGTTTGTCCGCGTCTGCATCAAGCACGACAAGCGGATCTACCTCACCGTGGTCTACTTTGGACCGGAAGGCCTCAAGGAGGTCAAGAGCATCATGGGTCACGTGGCCAAAGCCAATAAGTTCAAACACATGAAGCTCGTGACGCTGAACGAGACTTTCGCCAGGGGGCGTGGCCTTCAGATCGGGGCGCTCAACTGGAAAGGTGGCGGGGACGTGCTCATGTTCTTTTGTGACGTGGACATCGTCTTCTCCCCGGAGTTTTTAGAGCGGTGCCGGTTAAACTCCGAACGAGGCCAGCGCGTGTACTACCCCATAGTGTTCAGCCTTTACAACCCGAAGATTGTCTACTCCTTACAAGACGTCGCCATGCCACCCTTCCAAGACCAGCTGGTCCTGTCTAAAGACACCGGGTTTTGGCGGGACTTTGGCTACGGCATGACCTGCCAGTACCGGTCAGATTTCTTGAAAATTAAAGGCTTCGACGAGCAGATCACGGGGTGGGGTGGGGAGGATGTCTTTTTGTACCAGAAATTCGTGCGCAGCGATTACTTCGTCGTCCGCGCGACAGATCCCGCAATATTCCACTTGTGGCACGAGAAGTTCTGCGACCCCACGCTGACGGCCGAGCAGTACAAAAGCTGCATACGCTCCAAGGCCCTCAACGAGGCCTCGCACGCTCAGCTGGGACTACTGGCCTTCAAAGATGAAATTGATGTCCACAGGGGAGTGAGCGAGAGAAACAGTTTGTTGTCTCGTGGCGGCGACGCAGCTGCTGCGTTGGATGGTAAACATGTTGGTCAGCAAAATGGAAGCCACGCCCACCCCGTAAAGCCTTAGACAAGGTCAGATTTGAAATGCTGTGAACGTTAACCATGAAACCTTGCTTAGTGGACTCATGTTAAACCAGTGTCCGTGCACACACATACACATGATGCCACGAGTTTGTTGGTGAAGTGTTGATAGTGCGCCCAAAATAATCCTCGAAATTGCGCTTATTTTCTTGTTGTTACCGATTGTCATTTTATTTATACGGGCTACATTTATATCACTACATTTATTCGGCATGTGACAGACCATGTCGTGTGACAGACCATGTCGTGTGACAGACCATGAAATGTGACAGAACATGTCGTGTGACAGACCATGTTGTGTGACAGACCATGTTGTGTGACAGACCATGAAATGTGACAGACCATGTTGTGTGACAGACCACGAAATGTGACAGACCATGTTGTGTGACAGACCACGAAATGTGACAGACCATGTTGTGTGACAGACCACGAAATGTGACAGACCATGTTGTGTGACAGACCATGGCATTCAGTGAAGCTTATCACGCCAACTTTCATATTGAGGAATCAATAATTTAATGACGCAATATGCTATTTCCTTTTATATTCATACTCTAGAAAAAAATTTTGATTTCTTTTTTTTTTTTTTTTTTTTTAAAATTCAATGAAAATTAAATCAATTTTTTTAGTTGCAGGCCTTAAAAGATTTGAACCCTTGGCTTTTGTAGTTGAGCAAGTAAAACATGACGTGGCTTAAAGCATGTGTTAAATATCCAGTATGTCTTATTTAATTGTATAAATAGTATTGGCAAAGGTAAAACAACAACAACAATCAGACTTGAACAAATCAACGCTGTTATCAATCATTTGTTTGTAAGTTCACAATCTAAGACATGTTGATTGTTTTCAAACCATCACATTGATAGACGTCTAGTCAATAAATTAANTGAGGAATCAATAATTTAATGACGCAATATGCTATTTCCTTTTATATTCATACTCTAGAAAAAAATTTTGATTTCTTTTTTTTTTTTTTTTTTTCTAAAATTCAATGAAAATTAAATCAATTTTCTTAGTTGCAGGCCTTAAAAGATCTGAACCCTTGGCTTTAGAAGTTGAGCAAGTAAACACTGACGTGGCTTAAAGCATGTGTTAAATATCCAGTATGTCTTATTTAATTGTATAAATAGTATTGGCAAAGGTAAAACAACAACAACAATCAGACTTGAACAAATCAACGCTGTTATCAATCATTTGTTTGTAAGTTCACAATCTAAGACATGTTGATTGTTTTCAAACCATCACATTGATAGACGTCTAGTCAATAAATTAATGTATATATTAATACTATATGTTTATTTATCAGTTGCATATTTCAGAAGATACATATCCAGCCCTCACATATCTATAATTAGTGAAAGGTAGAAATAGGTAGAGGCCATGAAGGATAGAAATAGGAACAGACCATGAAAGATAGATCTAAGAAAATGCAAGGCAAAATAGAACTAGGAACAGGTCATGAAAGGTAGAAATAGGAACAGGCGAGGAAATGTATAAATGTGAACAGGCGAGGAAATATAGAAATGGGAACAGGCCAGGAAATGTAGAAATGGGAACAGGCCAGGAAATGTAGAAATGGGAACAGGCGAGGAAATGTAAAATAGGAACAGGCCAGGAAATGTAGAAATAGGAACAGGCGAGGAAATGTAGAAATGGGAACAGGCCAGGAAATGTAGAAATGGGAACAGGCCAAGAAATGTAGAAATAGGAACAGGCGAGGAAATGTAGAAATGGGAAAAGGCGAAGAAATGTAGAAATGGGAACAGGCGAGGAAATGTAGAAATGGGAATAGGCCAGGAAATGTAGAAATGGGAACAGGCGAGGAAATGTAGAAATAGGAACAGGCCAGGAAATGTAGAAATGGGAACAGGCGAGGAAATGTAGAAATGGGAACAGGCGAGGAAATGTAGAAATGGGAACAGGCCAGGAAATGTAGAAATGGGAACAGGCCAGGAAATGTAGAAATGGGAACAGGCGAGGAAATGTAGAAATGGGAACAGGCGAGGAAATGTAGAAATGGGAACAGGCGAGGAAATGTAGAAATGGGAAAAGGCCAGGAAATGTAGAAATAGGAACAGGCTAGGAAATGTAGAAATGGGAACAGGCGAGGAAGTGTAGAAATGGGAACAGGCCAGGAAATGTAGAAATGGGAACAGGCGAGGAAATGTAGAAATAGGAACAGGCCAGGAAATGTAGAAATGGGAACAGGCCAGGAAATGTAGAAATAGGAACAGGCCAGGAAATGTAGAAATGGGAACAGGCCAGGAAATGTAGAAATAGGAACAGGCGAGGAAATGTAGAAATGGGAACAGGCGAGGAAATGTAGAAATGGGAACAGGCCAGGAAATGTAGAAATAGGAACAGGCGAGGAAATGTAGAAATGGGAACAGGCGAGGAAATGTAGAAATAACAGGCGAGGAAATGTAGAAATGGGAACAGGCGAGGAAATGTAGAAATGGGAACAGGCCAGGAAATGTAGAAATAGGAACAGGCGAGGAAATGTAGAAATGGGAACAGGCGAGGAAATGTAGAAATAGGAACAGGCCAGGAAATGTAGAAATGGGAACAGGCCAGGAAATGTAGAAATAGGAACAGGCGAGGAAATGTAGAAATAGGAACAGGCGAGGAAATGTAGAAATAGGAACAGGCGAGGAAATGTAGAAATAGGAACAGGCGAGGAAATGTAGAAATAGGAACAGGCCATGAAATGTAGAAATGGGAACAAGCCAGGAAATGTAGAAATAGGAACAGGCCAGGAAATGTAGAAATGGGAACAGGCGAGGAAATGTAGAAATGGGAACAGGCCAGGAAATGTAGAAATAGGAACAGGCCAGGAAATGTAGAAATGGGAACAGGCGAGGAAATGTAGAAATGGGAACAGGCCAGGAAATGTAGAAATAGGAACAGGCCAGGAAATGTAGAAATAGGAACAGGCCAGGAAATGTAGAAATAGGAACAGGCGAGGAAATGTAGAAATAGGAACAGGCGAGGAAATGTAGAAATGGGAACAGGCCAGGAAATGTAGAAATAAGAACAGGCCAGGAAATGTAGAAATGGGAACAGGCGAGGAAATGTAGAAATGGGAACAGGCCAGGAAATGTAGAAATAGGAACAGGCCAGGAAATGTAGAAATAGGAACAGGCCAGGAAATGTAGAAATAGGAACAGGCGAGGAAATGTAGAAATAGGAAGAGAAAAGAAGATCCATGAACAGCCGTTGATGGAGCCTTACAGCTGGTCACATCTGCCAGATAATCCGTCAAAGGTGATAATTTACTAGCTGGACACGCCCACTCTATCATGATAAGACAATTTAAGAGTCCCTGTAAGAAAACTCCTACTTTCCTCCTCCTCCTCCTTCAGCTAAAAAGCTACGTGTTTGACTCTTGTGAATGTTAAAGAGAACATATAAACAGCATATGCAAACAGGGAACATACAAAGAGAAAATATGCAAACAGAGAATATACAAACAGATAACATACAAACGGAGAATATACAAACAGAGAATATGCAAAAAGGTGAATATACAAACAGAGAATATTCAAACAGAGAATATGCAGAGATGTAAAAGTGGTTTGAAATGTTTGGGGAAAGCCTGTAGCTGGTGTCCATTGTGTATCATGGAGTTGACCTCCAGTCCTCCTGACCACATTTCCGCCTTCCGAAGATGTGTATAAGCCTGTAATTCCCAGTTACCGATGACAATGTGAAAATATGCAAAAGGGAGATATCTATTAGATAACAATTATAAATGTCTTTTGTTAACCCTGCCCAAATTAGCTGCCGACCAACTGGTATTTTCTGTTACAGCCCTGCACAACATACGGCCCACGAAGTAACGAAATATTATTTTTGATTATTAATTTCTTGATAGCTTTCCCCCTGTCCTATTTTCTTTCGGCCCGCACAATTTTTCTTAAAGTATTACGGCCCGTCATACATTTTGAGTTGTGCGGGTCTGTTCTATTGAAGAGTATAACGATATTTTAGTGATCTAAGAAACACGTTGAAATATTTAATTTTTTAATCAGTGGAAGAAATCCCCCATTGAGTCTAGACATGAAATATTATTTCATAGCAACGGATTACGACCATCTGACGCTGAATCCTGCCACCAGAAAAATGACTAAGCCCTCCAACAAGAAGCGCGCTGTACCGGAAGTGACGCAAATCGTATTTTTTAAGGCCATGCCATAATGGCGCCGTCTTTTGTTTTCCCTGTGGATAAATGTTGAGCTTTCTGTGTGTGACCCTAGTGAACGCATAGCTCAAACTTGACTATCGCAAGTCTGACGTGCGCATCTGTCGGTGCGTAACTTCCCGATAGATAAATGTTGAGCTTCCTGTGTGTGACCCTAGTGAACGCACAGCTCAAACATTACTATCGCAAGTCTGACATGCGCATCTGTTGGTGCGTAACACAATGGAAACTTTGTGCTTTTCAATGCTTCTTGATTTTCAATGCTTCGTGCCTCTTTGCCCTCTCTGTGGGCGGTTTAGTGCATCTACAAGGTCCGTGTGGGCGTGTCAGATCATCTATGGCGTCGGCGTGGGGGTTTCAAGGAATCGCTACGTGCCCAAATTATCTAGCGGGCTGTATGAGGTTTTCATTCTACACGTCACGTTCAGCTTACGTTCTTCCAAGTATTCTGTAGTCACAGGACAACTGCTACTACATAAGACTCTGTTCAAAGTATTCTGTAGTCATATGACAACTGTTACTCTTTAAGTCTCTGTTCAAAGTATTCTGTAGTCATATGACAACTGTTACTCTTTAAGTCTCTGTTCAAAGTATTCTGCAGTCACAAGACAATTGTTACTTCATGAGTCTCTAGTTTAAACATTTTAATTTTACCTGTAACCTGTTATTCATTAATCTGTCATTCGGTAATCTTGTAATCATGGGCGCCC